GGATATGGAATTTCAGGCCCCAGCTGAAATCCTCATCCTGTCCTGAGAGTCCTGCTGAGGGAAAAAAGGAAACCCTAATTCAGTTGAATGAGGGTGAAACAATTTTGGTGTTGTGCCTCCCAGGCTCCTCAATGTAGATGCACGTGATGAGTTTGCACCTCTCAAAAGTAAGATTAAACTTATCTGAAATACCATTTATCTCAGAATGCATTAATCTGATTTTTTTTTCTATTTTCTCCTATTTCTCCCTAACGTAATTGACAGCAAAATTGAATTGGTTTCCTACAGAGTTGGACTTGAAAGGTGAACACTGAATTTTCTATTACTTGGTTTTAATGCAATGTGTACACCTCACGATTTGATAAATTCAGACCTGCTGGGGAAAAGCCAGGAACCACATTTTGGACACAAAGGATCAGATCTTGTTTTATTTCGCAGGATCTATTGGTTTAAATTTTGAAGTTATGAGAGGAAAATGGTTTCTCTGCAAAATGTGTTGAAAATTCAGGGAGTTGGTTTCTGGAGCAGGAGCTTCTCAGGTTAGGGAGGATGTTGGAAGAAAAACAGAAACAGGGATACCTCACAAAAAACCCCAAAACAACCACCCCATAAACAAACCCAAACTAACAAAATCCCCAAAACACAGAGAAACTGAGGAAATGAAACTTAGTGAGGATTGCTCAGGAACGGGGCAGGACAACATGAGAAGAGTGAGAAAGAGATGAAAATAAAGAGATGTTTCCTCCAAAAAGAGACATTTGAGAGAGCAAAGAATCATTAATCCAGACATCAGAACAAACCAGTGACCTGGTGTCGTCTGTTCCTAATGGAGTAGGGAAAAGTCTCTGGCTAATGAGTAATTTCCTAATTGTGGAGTGCTGAAAAGCTTTGCTTAGGGAAGCAACGTCAGGGCAAACATCAGGTGAGCCTAGACCTGACAGCTCCTGCCTCAACAGGTTTGGTAAGCTCGAGGATTTTCCAATCCTACATTCTGCAGTTTCATGTTTATTTACACAAAGAGTTCTACAAATCCAGCAAACAAAGCTTTGCCTGCCAAGCCGCTTCCACATCAGTGCTGGTATGAATTAATTCTAGTAAGGTGCTGCCTCTGTTCTGTTTTGCCTGGTTTCCTTCCGTTCCCAAGTGACTGCTGTGCTTAGCTCTGCTGCCGCTGTGAGATGAGGTGCTGCTGGAAGCGTGTTCCCCTTCCAAAGCCCTGTGCTCCTCTGAGGTGCAGCGTTAATGGTGGAAAGCTTATTCAGCAGATGTTTTAGGGTTTGGAGAACTGTGCTCAAGCAAGGTGTGAGCACTTTATAGAGCAGGTAGTGCTTCTCTCCCGTGTAACTCAGCACAAATCCCCGTGTTCGTTTGCACTGCTATGGATTAGCTGGTTTCATTAGCAGCTTCAGAGGCCGGGTGATTAATATTAATAATCCCTGTTAGCCTATAGACTTAATTAGGGTGAGAAACAGCTGGATGCTGTGCGGAACCAGCCCTGGCTCCAGACGCGGTGTCTCTGCCCTGAGTGCTGAGCTCTTAACTCGGGCAGCTGGGACCGCCAGCTCCTCACGGTTACCTATCAATAGCGCTCCTCCTTCCTGCTTCCAGGACCCTTTAAAGGCTCCTGGCTCCTACCCAGGACCTGGCAGCGTGCTTGGAGCGCTCCCTGGAGTCGGGCGGGTTTTTTCCTGTGTGGGGTAGCCGCTTTTGCTCTCCTGGGTGAGTTTTCCTCCCTGCTGCTCTCAGGGACAGGGGGTTCGTTCCTTGGGCTGTCAGCAGCAGCTTCCTTCGTTTGTCCTGGCTCTCCTTAAAAACACTTGTGCGAGCGGAATGCAGCTTTTGAGCCCTTCGGGCACGGCGAAGTGGGAAAAGCCTCCAGGAATGGTGGGAGTGCGGGGCTGTGAAGGGCTCCTTAAGGCGCAGAGCTGCAGCTCCAGGGGCACCGACCCAGCGCTCGATGGTGGGTCGGGTTCAGGCTCTGAAACCCCGGCAGCAGCGGAGCTATGCAGCTCAATTAGCACAGCTCATAAACTATGCAGCTCAATTAAGGAAGCCCTGTCTGTGGAAAGCCAAGCCAGTGGAAGGAGATGTCTGAAGTAATAAAATATGCGTTCAGTGGGGAAATGATGCAGGTGGTTAATGAAAATGTTACCTGAGATGTGAAATGCGAATGTGTGTGGGGATGTGAAAACAAGGCTGGGTGTGTTTGAGTTTGTCCAAAGGGAGGCTGAGGTGACTTTTTTCTGTTGCTTGTGAATATTTTGGAGACCTCTCCGAACCAGCAGTGGCTATAAAAAGAAGAGTATGCAAAGTTTCCCTATTTGTGATAAACTTTATCACCACGGTGGCGCAGCAGATGTTGGGTTTGTGATGCAAATGAGCCTTCGGAGCAGGGCAGCTGTTAATGAGCTCTGAGCATGGCACCAGGCAATACCCACCTGCAAACCCAAACAGCAATGCCCGGGCTCGGCAGGGTTTGGCTCCTCCAAGACCTGGGTCATAATCCCCGAGTTTTATTCAGGGAAAACCTCTTTTAATTTCAGCAGGGGCTGTGACTGTGGCTGGTACACGGTAACTGGAGAAGAAGCAAGACTTGGTATGGCAATAAGGGGAACCTTTACGTGGTCCTCAAGGCATTTATTTGTGTCCTGGCTGATTCCACCAGAATCAGGGGAATGTTGCCTGATTTTAGGAATATGAGTGGATTAGGGAAACACTCATGGGTGTCCTGCATGGAGTGCACATATTTCAAGGCCATTTATAAGTGGTGATCTGTCCCCTGCTGAGGCTACCCCAGCACAGAGACGTATTTGAAACTCCTTATTTGTCCCATTCCAGATTTCAGCCTCAAACCCAGACAATTATTAGCCAAACTGAAACCCTCTGGAGGTGTGATCTGTGAGTCCTGCACCATTCTCCTTGGTTTTCCCTGGCTGATTCCTGGCATACAACAGGATTTTGGCATTGGGACGGGCTGCAGGGACATAAACCTGATTTTGCCATTAGCCTGTTATGCAGGGAGGGGAGTGGATTCTTATGAATACCCAAAATTAAAGAGACTCCAGCCTGACTGTGAAATTAATAGAGCTATCAACCCCCCCTCTGTCATTATACAACAATTGTTAATTATTTACAAGCAAAGTTCTGCAAGAACACTATTGTAGCTGTCGGCATTGTCGTTATTAAAATTAAAACACTTTGTCTGGGTGGAAGATAACATGAGTCATTTTGGTGAAATGTAATTGAAATGTAATGAATACGGAATATTCTGTTGCTTTTCCCCAATTAGTCAGAGGGAGAACAATAGCCTGTCTCTTCCCTAACAAGATGTTTGTTTTTAAAAGTCTAACAAAATAAATATTTCCAGGGCTTTGCTGAAAAAGGGCGTCATTCATTGTAGCTGTTGTAATAAAAATTAAAACCAATTTCTTTTTTTCCTGGATGGGGAAAAACCTATTTTCATAAAGTAAATTCTCTTCTGTCAGCTGGTGAAAGATCTATGTGAACCTTTTTGCTTTATTGCCACAATATCTTGGTTTGCCTTATTATTAGAGCAAAGACTTTAAAGCTCATTTTTTCCCACCCCCTGCCATGAGCACCTTCCACTATCTCAGGTTGCTCCCAGCCCAGTCCAGCCTGGCCTTGAGCACTTCCAGGCATGGGGAATTCACAATCTCTGGGTGATTTTGGCTGCTAATAGAAGTCAAAGTTAGGTTCATGGTGAGCAAAGGAAGCTCTGAATTCCTGCTGTACAAGGAATAAAGTTGTTATCAGATGCAGAAATAAAATCCAACCCCCTGCCTGTGCTCTCCTAGTCAGACCACCCTGCCCTGTGAAATTTGTTGCATTAAAATCTCTTGTTTAGAAAATGAATTTCAGAGTGAGACTATTTCTGTCCTGCCATCATCTTACGAGCTTTTATACAGTCTCGTGGAAGTGGGAGAGAAGCTGTGTTCCTGTTGTTCCTGAGCTAAAAGGAAGATGTAGGAAACACACAATTGGATTTCCCTTAAAGAACAACAGCAACAGTAACTTTAACATCGTTAAAGGAATGTGTTCACCCCCCATTAATTTTGTATTTGATTGCCCAGGCTGTGGTGCAATGAGCAGGAGCAAAAAAGCCATTAGGAGGAATTGCCATCAAAATTGAGGACCTGTGTGACTGAATGTGTATTCTAGGGAGCAGATTTTTTTAAAAACCTATAATTTATGAACTCCTTCAGTAATACAGAAGCCCTAACAAGAGTTGTACAAATGTTTCCCCTCATTATCTTTGGGCAAACAGGCTTTCCTTTCTCCCAGCAGCTGCCCAAGGGTGCTTGACCTTACACTTGGCTGTTCCCAGTTGGTTCCTTTGATATTTCTTTGGCTGTTATTAGAAAAATGTCCTTGCTAGGACACTCCCAGTGGGGCTTTGCTGCTGTGCTCTCCCAGGAGAGGAGGACACAGCCAGGCTCAGATCCCTAGGGTCAGCTTTAGTTAAGCTTGACTTGGTAAGAATCTGGGATTCATTTGTCAGAGGGAAGTTAAGGGGGAAAGTATGGACATTCTTGGTGGGGAAGGATCAAGTGTGTGCAGAACGCCTCTGGAATGCTTTGGAGATCATTTCTGTTACAGCTGCCAAGCTCTGAGGTGCTCAGGTAGGTCCTGGGCACAGGTCCCACCTGGGCGGGTCCCTCTGGAAGGGCTGGCTGAGGTTCAGGAGCTGTGAGATGCCACAAGTGTCAGCTGAAAGGTGCATTTCCTCAGTGTCCTGCCCTCCCCTGGCTTCTCTTTGGGCTAAAGCTCCTCCAGAGGCACTGAGAGGCTCCAGCCTTTCAGAAGAGGCCCCATAAGTAATATTAACTTCTGCAATTTCCTTGTTACTCTTAAGCAGGTTATTAATTAACTGAATGTAACCACTGGCTGTTGATAAATCCTTTTAACTAATTCAAATTCCATATCGAGCTGGGAGCACTTTCACTCGATCTGCTGCCCAAGTTAAGCTGGGTGAGGAATTATTCCTGATGTGTTTTCCAGCACCGGGGTTGGGGCAGAGGGAGAGAAGATATTTGTTTGCTTGATTCCACATGACAACTCCAGGGTAACTGAATAGACTGTACGGTCGGCTTGACAGGGCTGAGCACCCGCCAGCAGCCTCGCTCACATACCAGAGCCAGGGGGATGGAAGGGGCACTGGCAGCTGGGATGGAGCCCATCCCAATTTCTCCACAGAGCGCCAATTTGCCATCAATTATTCATGTTTTTCTGAGGTCTCGCTTCTGAGAGGTATGAATAACTTAAATATGTGTTTGTGTAACAGCTAGAATAATGAATAAATTACTGCGAGGAGGGGAGTTGGGGAGCAGGGCTGAGTGTTAAATAATGGAGGGAGTTTGGAGGGGATGTGGTCGTTAGCAGCGTGGCTGTGCCGGGGTTTCTCTGACTGCAGGAGCTGTGGCTGTGGGGTGTAGAAATGTGTTACAGTGATGCCTGTGAGGGGTGCTGGGAGTTGGCTGGGGGTGCCAGGGAAGGAAGAAGGAGTGTTTGTGTGTGGGAATGCACCTGCAGCACCCCTGGATCCTCCTGGGGCTGTCTCCTTCCCCTCACCATGCTCGGGGGCACTTTGTCCCTGAGCTCCAGAATTAAATCCTTGCTTTGGGGGAACCCTGGCACGCTGAGGAGCTGCTGGTCCTATTAAATCACCAGCTGGAGAGACACTGGGGTGGACTGCCAGGTACCTGGGAGGAACTTCAGGACATTCAGTGCTTGTCTAGTGACTGCTGCTTCAGGAGACTTTGAGGTTCAGTGATTTTTGCATTTATTTACTGCTCTAGTCCAATTTTCCCTGCCAGAGTGGCATTTTTCATGACAGGGTCCCTGCATTCTGACCCTGCTGTCTCTCATGCTCTGCCCCATTTCCTCCTTCATTCCCTTTAGACAGAAATGCACATTATTCCCTTTGTAAAATTTTAAACCAAATTCTTTTTCTGTAAGATCACTGCAGTCTTAAAAATAAGTCACAGATCTAAAAGCTCGTTAAGCAGCCTTGAAAATGAGCAGCTTTTGATGGCATCATTGTGACAGTGATGGAATTGGTGTTTGTTATGAAGCAGTTTATTCCATTTTAGCACTGTGTTGTTTAGTTTAGTCTAATATTTTAATATCATGGAAACATTTAAACATGGAATTCTTACAAATCTGCCTTACTGCTGTTAAAAATGCGACGTCTAATGAAGTGTTATATAAAGCATCAATGTGTGCTGAACCAGCAGCCAAATAGGATTTCTTATAGATTGAAAATCGGAGAAAACTGTCTTGACAGCAGCCAGATTATCAAGTAATTTATGTATATGAAAAATTGATCAAGTTGTCTGTTTGCAGCAGTAGAAGTTGCCAAGTTCCTGAGTACATTCCTACATTCTGCAGCAGTGGCTCCTGCATGGGTTGTGCAGCCAAAATTGCCTCGGAGCTCGCTGAGATCTGGTTCACTTTGGGCAGATTGTGACCCACAAACCTGCTGATTAAACCAGTTCATCACAGGGGAGAATACTCCCACATCTGGAAGGACCCTGAGCTGCCTTCAGGCTGTGGTGGTGGCCCAGCCCAGAATTGTGGTAGGAGAGATCTCTTACCAGGCTCTGTAATTGCTGATTGTCCTCAGTGGCCTCCACAGGGACACAGGTTCCTTGTGTCCAAAAGCTGGATGCTGACAGCAAGCCAGCTCTCAGCACTGCTGTGAGGTGTTCCATCAGTAAATACCAGTTTTAACCCCTAAAATTAATTCTGGGGGTTAAAATTAATTAATTGACTTCATAATTTATCATTTCATCGTCTGGTCCAGCTCAGCATCCATGGAATTTTAAGGGATGTGAAGTGTGGAAACCTGTCCTGACAGAAAAGAGAGAGGCTCATAGGAAACAATGGTTGTCTTGTGGGAAGATTTTAAATATATGCAGCTGATCCCATGGGAACTGCTGTAGACTATTCACCCTGTGTGAAAATGATGCTCTCTCAATATAATCTTTAATCCTTTTCTTTCACTGAAAAATGTTAGAAATTTATTTCCAAGTTTTGAAAGAATGCCCTGTTTTAGAGAGTAAATGCTTTCCAAGCATAAAAATAAAATAAATTTTGATTAGTGCAAAACAGAGGGGAAAGGTTCTCTGAAATATCTGGTAATATTCTGTCCATGAATTGTATATGTGGATGTTCTTGGGAAATGTATCCAGGCTTTTTTTTCCCCCTGGGTTGGTGCAGGGAGGAAGGAAGTATCCAGCAGTCTTGGCAATATTACAAACTTCTGTAACTCTTTGAGACAGAAATTCCACCAATTTTTTTTTATTGTAAATTGGGGAAGAAGAATTTCAACAGAAGGGAATTCTACCTGAAATTCAAATCTTTCTTTGAGGATATTCTAATCTTCCTGCCATTCATGGAAAAGGAAATGACAAGTAAATATGCAGTTGTTACAAACATTTATCCCCAGAGCATGGAAATGCAAACCTGCTCTGTCACTCATGTGAATAACCAGCCCAGGGCTCAGCAGAGCTGCTCCCCTGGCCTTTAAGGCCCCGGTCCCGAGGGTCAAACCCTGTTGGTGCAAACCAATCATTCCTGGAGCAGTCCTGGGGGGAGTTTCCATTCTGGAAAGGCAGAGTCACTAATGCCATTTTCCTTCTGTTTTCCTCCAGTGCCTTTCATCCACTCTGTGTAATCCATGAGTTAAGCATGGCAACATGGCTTCGAGGTAAGGAAAGAGTTTTTGTTTCCTTTTTAAGGCTACTCAGAGCTCTGGGCTGTGTTGTGCCCAGGATAAAACAGCTCCCAGTTCTCTAACACAAGTCTCTCCAGGTCAAGGGAATTCCCAGATCACTTTCCTCTCCTGTGGAATTTACTAGACACTGTAAGTTACATTTTTGAAGTGGATGCTCATTCCATACCTTTTAGATTTTTGAAGATTTCAGAAAATGAGCATGGCCTTGTGTTTAGCAAAGAGCTTTGGCACCTGTGGTGGCTCAGCCCTTCTGTGGGGAATAAGCAATTGGAAATGGGAGCATCCCTGTCCTCATTGCAGCTCCAGCAAGGGAGAAACCAGAAAATCCTGTGAAGGTTCATTTAAGATGAGCTCCAGTGGCCTGAGTTCTCTAAAATTCCTTAAACAGAATGAAAGCTTTCCTGATGGATGTTGTGTAGCACAGAACTAGATTAAAAATGTCATTGTGCAATTGTTTGAAGGTTGTGGTTCTGTTTTCAGTGGGATAACACCCCAAAATCAAGCAGCTGGATTTATATTTGATGTATTTTGGATGTTAAGGAAATTGTCTTGTAGAATTTCCTTCACTATAAGTATTCAAAAAATTATCTTCTCCCTCTTTAGTTTAAAAGATTATATTTTTTTCTTGTCCTTCTAATGTCATTCTGCAGAAGCTGAGCTCCTGATAAACTGTAAGGCTCAGCCTTTCAGCTCAAGTTCAAATGGCTTTTGGATGCCTGTAGGTCCAACTGCCCTTTTACATGGGATTTTTATTGTTAATCTTCTATTATTGGGGGAATTATTTTGCAAACAGACCAATTCAGTAGCTTCAAGCTCTGAAACCTGTCAGGCTGGCTTTTATTCTGATTGCTTCTGATAAGGAGCTTTGGTAAGAATGCTGTGCCTGCAGCAAGTGGAGAGACTCACCTTGGAGGGGAGCAGCTTCAAGGTCCCAGGGAAAGGGTGGCTCTTTCAGCTTGGCATGAAACGGGAAGGGGGGTGTTGAAAATCAGATCAAACCTTGGAATTAATGTGGGACTGCACCAGAACCAGTGCAAGTGGTTTGTGTTATAAGCTGAGGGTTTTTCCCTGCATAATGATGAGTTGAAGTTTGTTCCCAGTGCTGGCATTCCTGCTTTGTTCCCCATGTTTTGGCCTTGGAAAGGTGTGAATTCCTGCTGTGAGTCCCCTCTGCAGTGCCAGGGGGACCCAGGCAGGATGGACAAACTTTGGCCAAACCCTTTGCCTTGTCCATTCCCTCGGTGTGTGGGACACAAATACAGCTGGTGGAAAACTCTGATGGGTGGTGTGGTCTCCATCTCTGATGAAGATTCAAGGTGATGAGACACCTCAGGAGCAATTTCATTGCCCAGCTTGACCCTTTAAAAAAAGAAAATTTAAAAATGACATTTTATAAGACACATGATTTGTTTTCCCTCTTGCTTAGTGCCAGCTGCCTATTAATAGCAAATCTAGGTCTCCATCTCTGATGAAGATTCAAGGGGATGAGACACCTCAGGAGCTACACCCTGCAGCAATTTCGTTGCCCAGCTTGACCCTTTAAAAAAAGAAAATTTAAAAATGACATTTTATAAGACACATGATTTGTTTTCCCTCTTGCTTAGTGCCAGCTGCCTATTAATAGCAAATCTTGTAGTGAGCAAGGAAATGCTTAAGGAGCAATTCTCTTTAATGCTGATGGAAGGAAAGTATTTCCAGCACTGTTACACAATGTAAGCATTAAGAGGATTTGCTATAATTCCATTTCCAAGAGCTCACAATAAAGAAATGTTTTCCTGCATTATCCTGAGTGTTGTCTATAAAACTCACATAAAATTCTGTGTTTGGGTAGAGCTCAGGACCTCTCTGAGAAGCTGCTGTGCGGGAGCACACCCAGGGGAGGATCATTTGCAAAAGGCCAATGATATTCCCAAGGATCAGGGAATATCCTGAGCTGGAAGGGACCCAGGAGGAGGATGAAGCCCAGCTCCTGCAGAAAGGGCTGCTGTGTTTCAGAGCAGCTGATCCAAGGGAGGGCTCAACAGACCTTCCTTCCTGGAGCACTTTTCTGCATTATGTGGGCACATTTTGTTGTGCTACTCCTGAGGCTCATGTTAAAAGCCAAAGCAAACCTCAGACCCTCTTTTGTGCTCGTGTAAAGGCTGCAAAACAACAGCATTTATTCCTTTGGCCAGGAAATCTCCTCTCCAGCAAGGCTGTTCAGTTGTTTGAAAGAAAGACAACAGTGTGAGCTTACTCAGGGCTGCTCCCCTCCTTCCCAGGGAAGGATAGCTTTCCACTAACACAGAGAGTTCTGTTTCCTCTATTAAAAACAACTGCCCTCGAGTGGAGCAGGCTTTGTATTTTGCCCTGGAAACAGAGCAGCTCATTCAGAGATAAGGCCTCGCTGCATTTGGGTTCCTCGGTCACCTGACGGAGCCCTGGGTAACTTTTAGGCTGCTTTAGTCTGCATTCCTGGCATGCCTTCCCCGTGGCACCGCGATTCACAGCTCCGGGATGCCTGCCTGCCTGCCAGCCTCCCCGGCTGCCTGCTGCCCCTGCCCGGGGGGACAGGAGCAGAGGGACAGCCTGTGTCCCCAGAGCTCCTGTCCCCGTCCCTGAGGAGGCTGTGTCCCCAGAGCTCCTGTCCCCATCCCTGAGGAGGCTTTGCCCCCATAGCACCTGTCCCCATCCCTGAGGATGGCCTGGGAGGTTCCCAAACAGGTAAAAAAAAATATCTCTCTGGGGCTTTCTAAACTTTTATTTTTGGACTTGGGAATGGCTGAGTGTGAGCAGGTGAGAGTACCTGCCCTGCCACCCTCCCTGTGGTTCGGGTGGGTGATTTGTGCCTCGGGATTTGCAGTCTCAGCTCCTTTCTGCTTCTGCTCGATGGGCTTGGGAGTGCTGTGTGATGGCATTGGTAGAGCTGGGGAAATGAAAACAGCCCTGCCTTGTGGCATTAGCAAGTGCAGTGTGCTGCCTATTAAAATAGAGACTGGTGCAGGGAGCTGCTTCCAGAACGTTCTCAGGGTTTTGCCTTGGTTTTGTCCCTTCTGTGGATGCCCCAGCCCTGGCAGTGTTCAAAGCCAGGCTGGGTAAGGACTCGGGCAACCTGGGCTAGTGGGAGGTGGCCCTGCCCATGGCAGGGGGGCTGGATGGGCTTTAAGGTCCCTCCCAGCTCATTAATGTTCTTTGATCCTATTAGTATATTTTGCTCTCTTTTTCCCTGAAAAAGAGAGTAAAATAGAGATTGGGTAGTCCATATCTCAAATAATAATTATAAGTGATGTGTCTTGTGGCTTTGTCAACTCCGGAGAGAACTCCAGAGGAACTGACACCCAGAGTGAATCCATGTGGGACCTAAGCAGAGTTTTGGGACTCAAATACAGGACACTTCCCGAAGTGTGAGCCTGGCTCAGCCTCTGCTCCATTCCTCAGCCAAGGAGAAGAGCAGAGTTTCATCTCAGCCAAGGCTTTGTTTTACAGGAGTTTAAAAGACCCTAGGGATCATTTTGGCAACAAAAGTGACAGTTTGTTCTAAACAAAGCTCGCTATCTTCTCAATCTTGCTAGTAATGTTTTTCTGAGTCAAGACACAACAACCCAGGAAACAAAGGAAGAGGCTTCACCCTCCTCCTCCTGGAGCTCTGCTCCTGACCAGGGAAAGGGGTTTGGAACCTTCAGCACTGGTTCAGGGACCAGCCTGCTCAGGAAACATGCATGGAAATGAAAAAACCTTGGGTTCTCTTATGAGGTATTTTTAAATCTAATTTTAAGCTACTTAGTGTTTGACAGTAAAAATACACACAGTTCATGAATGTGCTTGAGGATGTCCCTGGCTCAGGGGTTCTGTGTGACACTTTCACACACATTTAAAAATCTCTGCTAAACTGGAATATGTCCATCAATGCATTTGCTAATTTTTTGTTTTCTTTTCTTTAAGACTGGGGCCAAGGAAGCCTTGAAATACAGCCCAGATTTCTCCTTCATATGAAGCTGATTGCTCCTGGCCGGGCCTGTTCCCGTGTTGTGCCCAGCTGAGTGCCCATGGTGCCTGCAGAGGGCGGCACAGCAGGGCCATGCATCACCTCTTCGGGCTGGTTTTGGCACAGAAGGACCTGTCCCGGGCAGGGGATCTCTTCTCCCTGGAGGATGCTGAGATCGAGGGAAGCCTCTCTGAAGCTCTTGAACAGATCAGGATTATTAGTTCAGCTGCAGTGAGTGAAACGTTGTCCTTAATAAAATTTTAAATGAGATTATATTGTGTTAATGAGGGGAGGGGAGTATATAAACATTTTAAATTTCTGATGAGACTTGAAGAGCAAATATTTTAAATATATTTATAAATTTTAAAATAAGTATATTTTATTTATATTATATATTTATTTATATGTGTATATATATTTATAAATTTTATATTATATATTTATCTTTTGATATATATTTATATAAATATTTATATTTTTTAAAAATTTTAAATCTGCTGGCAAAATCCAGTTCCCACCAGCTTCCAAGATATTTCATCTTTATAATAATTTTTATTAAATAGTTATTTAAAGCATAATAAAGATTATATGAAATTACAGGGGTCCATACCTTCCCAGTAATGAGAATTAAGGCCTGTGGGATAACAAATTCCAGAGTTTTATCATGCTGAACATTTGTTGTAAAGGTGAACATGGAAAAAAGGACACTGGAATGCTACAAAAACGTAATGGGGTGGGGTGCTGGCAGAGCAGTTCAGTTCAGGTGTGCTTTGCTTGCCCCAGGACTACCAGACCAACGACAACGACCAGGCCGTGGTGGAGATCTGCATCACGCGCATCACCACGGCCATCAGGGAGACTGCCTCCATCGAGAGGCACGGCAGGGCCCTGGTGGCCCTCTGGGAGTCCTGTCTGGAGCACAACCTGACCCCCTCTGGCAAGGACGAGGATGCCCCGCATGCCAAAATCGCCTCTGACATCATGAGCTGTATCCTGCAGGTAGAGCTGGGCTGAGAGCAGCAGTGTCCTCATTGCCCGTTGTTTTTGTTTTTAAAATGCTTTGGGAACTCTCTTTTTGGGTGCTTGTGAGTGGTTTATGTTTAAAACTCAGAGCTGGGGGAATTGCACCGTTCTGATTCCTCCTCTCCTGAGATCATTGAGATAACTCATAGAATCACGGAATGGTTTGGGATGGAAGGACCTCAAAGCCCATCCAGTGCCACCCCTGCCATGGCAGGGACACTTTTCCCTGTCCCAGGTGCTCCAAGCCCTGCCCAGCCTGGCCTTGGGCACTGCCAGGGATAGGGCAGCCACAGCTGAGTTATAAAAGTACATTTGCTGCTCCCTAAAACAGAGCTTTTATTGGCAAGTTCCTTTGCATTAAAACAAAGAGGTATAAACTGAGATTTCCAGCAGATGTGGGGGACAGTTGGAACAATAATGAATATCTGCCAGCTGGGCTGGATCTCAGGCAGGTCTCTGTTGATATCAGCAGCAGGGAGGTCCCCAAGGTTTGCAAACATCACTGTATCAGTTTATTGAAATCTGCTCTTCATTGTCACCTCCACATCTTCTGAGTGTGCCTTCCTGCCCTGATGTTTATCATGGAACAAATGAAACCTTTCTCCTTCCCTCTGAATTCAAACCTTTTCTTAACTAAGGATTTTATCTTTATTGTAAGGGGTGGGGGAAAAAAAGAATTGTTCTTTAGAATTTTCTTAGATCTTTTAAATCCTAGTCAGAGAGCCAAGCCTTATCTTCCCATTCTTTGTGTGGAGTAGCAGAGCAATAACTTGGAGCAGCATTTGGCTCCTGCTCCGTGGTGTCTCAGCCAAACATAACAAGGCATTATGTTGATTTAAACATGCTGCTGCAGAAAGCTTCATTTACTTGGAGGGCTTTTCTCATTAAAGATGCAGCTTTTGGTCATATGGCAGCTGCCAGAATGATCTGTCTTGACACCAAGGGGTGGCTGCAGCCCCTTCTTCTTCAGGGGCTCTGGAAGGGAGTGGCCACTGCTTGGCATGTCTCTGCTCCAAGGGGGAATCCTCAGAGCTGCTCAAACTCTGTGGAATTACAGATTTGGGGTTTCTCAGTCTAAATTTATTCTATTCAGAGCTGCTCCAGAATGAAAGTCTAGAAAGTCTGCTCTGCCTTCCTTTGCACTGCTCTGTTGCTGTCTCAAACATCTGGGTTCCAGGTTTGCCTGGGATTTTGGCTGCTAATTAGACATAATCACACTGCAGGATTATTTTCAGAAACAGGGATGTGCTCCAGTTTCAAAGATCTGAGTGGAGAGGCGAGCACAGCACTGGTTAAGGAGGCTCCAGGGGGAATGTGGGTGCTCAGTGGCACACAAATGTGTCCTGCTGCTGTGGGAATTCAGCAGGCAATGGATGTGTGTGCTTTGTACACACAATTTCCTGTATAAGTAATAGCAGAAAACCTTTCCTGACCTTGTTCCAAGCCCCAGTGTACACTCAGGGACCCTGACACTTCAGAAGCTTGGAGCCATTTTAGGAAGAGGAGTTTGTATTCCTGAAGGATCTCAGTGCTCAGAGGAATTGGCTGGAGGTGCCCAGAGCAGCTGGGGCTGCCCCTGGATCCCTGGCAGTGCTCAAGGCCAGGCTGGACACTGGGGCTGGAGCACCTGGGGCAGTGGGAGGTGTCCCTGCCAGGGCAGGGCTGGAACTGGGTGAGCTTTAATACCTTTCCAACCCAAACCATGCTGGGGTTCTGTGAGTTTAAATAAAAATATGAAATCTTAATGATTACAGAATAATTAATGATCAATACTACAGCTATTAGACTGAGCAAGTGTCCAGTGCAGTTCCAGGGAGTGGCTGCTCCAAGCTGTTTCCTGTGCTTTGGGATGTTGGATACAGCCTCTGTCTTCCCAGGGAGCCCCAAACACAAAATCTCTCATAAGAAATGGTAGCATGTAACTAGTGCATTTCCTATCTTCTGTATTTTATTTATATTGATTTATTTATGCATCACATATTTTGTTCATGCCCCACTGCTTCCTCTAGCAGGAGACAAAAATGGGACTATTCTTAACATTTCCTGCTGCAGTAGTTTTAAATGTCTGTATTTGCTCTTTCTTTGACTCCTGCCTTCAGTGGTGGTACCAAAACATGACCTTCCTTGACAAGTTTTTTTCTCTTTTCCCCTTGGTGCTTTGACTTTGGTTTCCCTACTCTGCCCAGCACAAGGCTTTTATATAAATCTTTTTTTTTTTCCCCTGTTTTTGCAGAATTACAACCGGCCTCCAGTGATGGCCTTGGCTGTGCCAGTGGCAGTGAAATTCCTGCAGAGGGGCAACAAGGAGCTGTGCAGGAACATGTCCAGCTACCTGTCCTTGGCTGCCATTGCCAAGGCTGAGCTGCTGGCTGAGCACACAGAAACCATCGTCAGGAGTGTCCTGCAAGGTAGGCCCAGCCCAGAGCTGGGGTTGAATCCAGGTGTGTGACCAGATCAGGCTGTGCTAGCCACGTACACAACCATGATCTTATAGAATCAATCAATCATTAGGGGTGGGAAAGACTCCAGGATCAATTCAACCATTGAACAAATCATATGAGCTGCATAAAGCAGACCTATGGAAATATCTATAAATGTGATCAAATGTATTAATCACACTCGAACAGCAGACTTTCTCAAGGAATATGTGAATTTACTGCAGCTCTGGAGGTTTTGGTATGGATTGGCTGACCCACAGGGCAGGAAATACATCTGTACTCGTTAATATTCCCTGCTAATGGACTCCAAATTATCAGCCCTGATATGAGGCACCAGCCATGGAGCTCTTATCCTTCCTCTCAGTGTCACTGGCAAGGCTCCAAAAGAGAAATGGGGATGAAATTAATCCCATTCTGTGGTGGGATAGTCAGATGGAAGATATAAAAGCTTTGTAGTGGTTCTTTCATTTTGCCTACGTTATTAGCTTTATATAGAACAATGTTGCTAATCTCTTTACATTTTATTTTTTTGTGGTTTAAAAAGCCAAAAATATTCATTCCTCTGTAAAAAGAACTCCAATTGAATTGGAGTAATAAAGTTCGCAGTGTTTGTTGCAACAAAGTGCTACTGCAGTGGTAAAATCAGTGTTCTCCTTTGAGAAGAGGTAATAGCAGTAAGTAGCAATAACTAATTATTAAAATAACATTGTTATGAAGGTGTTAAGCTCTCAAAATAAACATGTGCATCCTGTATTTATTAATATATAAATTAATTTATAAATTTATTCTTTTAAGACTTACTAATGTGCTAATGTTGTGTTGCCTCTTGTAAATGTTAGGTAGTAACAGAAAGAAATAGTGAGTGCATTCATGGTTTTGGGAAAAGTGATGCACAGCCACAACGGAAGGTTTCAGCACGGCTGAGTTGTATTTATATTCTTCCACCAGCAGATGTTGCTGTGGATATCAGGTTTGGGAATTCCAGCCTGGAAGGGGCCGCTCAGAACAGGCAAAATGATTTGTTTTGCGTAGTGACTTAATTACACTGTACATAATTGGTGTTTGAGGCTGGGTTTGCAGCAGGCTGGAGCTGAGAGCTGCCCTGAGAGTGTTTGCTGAAGGGAGCAGGAGGCGAAGCTGCTGAGGATGGATTTCCAAGGCAGTTTTTGGAGACAAAGCCGTGTTGTGGGGCTGCACAGACGGGGCTCAGCCTCGTGGCACCAGGCTGAGCAAACTTTGGCCCCTTGCCTGCAAATGCTGGAGAGGAACTGGAGTTTTTCATTACTTGGGGCAACTCTTTGGCTGCACAAGCAGGTTCTTATCTCGTTAGCTAAAAAAGAGCCCTTTAGGAAGGGTTTGACTGCTCTGGCCCAGTGAGCGTGGGCTCTGAACTGTGTGCTGACACCGTCCGTCAGCACTGGGGTCACACGGATTTATTCCCATTTATTCACGAGGGACAGCAGCAGCTCTGCCCTGTAATCCGAGAGTCCCATGGCTGCTCCCCCTTCCAGGGCAGCTCAGGCATCCTGTGGTGCTGGGCTGTGCCTCAGCCTCGCTCCTCTGTGTTGGCAGTGCAGGATTGCAGAGGCTTTTTCGTAACTGGAGCCCAATTCCCCAAAATGCTATTTCCTCCAAACTGCTGACACAGGAAAGCGTAGTTGAGTGAGGAAGGAAGGAGAGAAGTGTGCTGGAGGAGGTGGGCTGTGGTGATGGGCTGTGGGAGAGCTCTGCTGGTGCTGGGGGTGATGAAGGAAGAGCAGAGCACTCTGGAAAAGGGAAGTTTTCCAGCTGAGTCAGTGAGGATGGAAGGCCTGGCTTAGCCTCTGGTCCTCTGCCAAACCTGAGCTGAGACAGGAGAGGGACCCCTCCAAGACAAAGCATTTCAGGTATGAGCTGCAGTAAGAGGAGCAGCCAGGAAGGATTTCAGGAGATCTTTTTGAGGATTTTCCTTTTCCTGCTGCATTTCAGGGACATTTGTTTTCACTTAATGGAGGGTACTGAACAGAGGGACGATTTGAGAGTGGTTTTGCCCTTGCACAATGGTGGGACCCTGAGTGTTTCTGTAACTCTGAAGATCTGGGTTTTGGCTGCCAGAGATGAACAGAGGTAATGTTTCATTGTTCTCTAGCTAAGGTTATTTGCAGATATTACTTAGTGAGGGATTTTTGTCAAGTTTATTGCCAAGCATTTATAACGTAGATACATTTTTATTGCAGGGTAACAGGAGAAATCCCAGCAATCAGAGCAATTCTTTTCCCTTAAATAAGCAGTGCTGCCAAAATTTTGGAGCAGTTCGTATAACTTTAGGTATGAAGTACAACCCTCTTGAATGGCACAGGAAAGTGGAATTTACCTTTTTTTACTACTTTTGTATCCAGGCAGCAAGGATCTGTCATGGTCAGGAGGAAGTGTAGCAGCAGCATGTCAAGAAATTTGTCAAAGTCTGTTCTTAGGACATCTGTAGAGAATGAGAGAGACATGGGGATAGAGAAGAAGGATGGGCTGCTTCCAGGGGAAATAGGAATTGTTTGAGTAAGACATTCCTCATGATAACTTCTTCAGAGGCTTCAACAGGTAGCAAGTAATGGTTCTTGTTGTAAATGGTTACATACACAGTGAGTAGGGTATTCATCATTCGCTGCTTGTGCTCTGTTTTCTACACGAAAATCAGCAGTTCCTTGGCTCTCTGCAGCTGCTGCTGTGCTCTGTATCCAGCCCTAGGCTTTTAGGGGATTTGGGATAAGTTTGTGCAAGAGAGAAGAGAATCACTGGCAGTGAGCAGCAACTGTATCTTGTACAAACCCCCTGAGGACAGCAAACAAGTCCAAGTGTACCTTAAAACCTGGCCCCAGAGGGCCAGGATTGTGCATGGGGTCCCTGCTCCTGTGAGATGTTGCTATTGGTGTTTTCTCTATCAGCAGCTAAAACTGCATGGTTCAAAATGTCGAAAAAGCCCCACATGGGACTTGGTTCAGACTTTTGGTTTATGAGAAGAGTAGAGAGTTTTAGTCTAGTAAAGTATCTTTATTTACAAAACAACTTTACAAAAATAATTTCAATAAAATTATCACAAAGTCAATGTACAATATAATACAGCTGCATTTCCTCCCAATGTCATATCAGATTATGATGGGGAATATTATTTTTATATCAATCTGTGGCACAAATAATGCTTTAAACAAGGAACTAACTTTCTTAGAGTCTACACATTACTAACAACGATTAATAGACAACACACTTCTTGATTTGATTCCTCTGTAAAATTCACATTAACACTATAGAACCCAAGGATTGGAGGGAGTCTGGAATGGTTTGGGTTGGAATGGACCTTAAAGCTCATCCAGCGGGAACACTTTCCACTGTCCCAGGCGCTCCAAGCCCCAGTGTCCAGCCTGGCCTTGGGCACTGCCAGGGATCCAGGGGCAGCCACAGCTGCTCTGTTTTCAGAGCCAGGTCAGATTTTCCTCAGCAGGGATGTTGGGAGCTCCATTTGGCTCCTGAATGTCCACGGTGACCCTCATTTTATACATCAGAGAACCCTGCACTGGAGAGACGGAGCTGCCTGACCCAGGAACAGCTTTCCCAATGCCATGCTTTGGTGTGTGGCTGTTTTCAGGGTTTCTCCAGGACAGCAGGCAGAGATCACTCCCATCTCCACAGTGCCTCTTTCTGTCACTTTGCAGGGCTGATGTTCCTTGGGAATTCCAGAGGCAGGGGCTCCTGCAGCTCTGGCTGTTTCAATGTTGCTGTTCAGCTCTGTGCAATCCATTCCTGTGCAGCCCCCAGCTTTAGGACACGTACTGGGCCCCTCCGTAGGGCAGCACCTCGGTGACCCCCCAGCCCACCACGTTGCCCCGGGTGCCACAGGTGTCCCCCGTGCTCTGAGCTGTCACCTCGGCGGGGCTGAGCACTCGGTCCCACAGGTTAAAGCCAGTCAGCTTCCCCGAGAAGGCCAGAGCTTCATCAAACCCCCCTCCCACACAGCAGCCGTTCTTCTCCTGGCCCAGCTGCAGGATGCCCCCGTCGGGGATGGTGTGAGCCCCAGCCACGTCCCAGGCGCTGGCTGCCAGCTCCCCCTGTGCCCACAGGGATGCAGATCCATTCTCTGAGCTCCAGGAGCCGCACAGGTGGAGCCACTTGCCAGGAACAACCACATTTGTGGCAGCCAGCTTGTGCTGGGTGCCGCCCACGGCGAGCACGGCCGCGGCCCGGCTCAGGTACAGCTGGATTTCATAGGGGTTGAACTTGGTTCCGTAGGAGAACACGATGGTTTTGTCCAAGGCCTCGGTCACCTTGAGCCAGATGCAGGCAGTGAAGGAGCTCAGGGTCATTCCAGAGGTTGGGTGGACGCTCCCAAAGATCTTCCTCGAGCGCATGGGGAACAGAATTGCGGTTTCACAGCCTGGAAAGGTTTAGAAGATTGTCAGGTAAATAAGAACTGGTTTATTTGTATGTGCACAGCTGGGACCTTTGACACTACATGGCATCATTAAGGTTGGAATTGCCTCTGTGATCACCCAGTTGTGGCTGCCCCATCCCTGGCAGTGTCCAAGGCCAGGCTGGACACTGAGGCTTGGAGCAGCCTGGGACAGGGAAAGGTGTCCCTGCCCATGGCAGCTGGGATTGCAACAAGATGATCTTTAAAAATCTCTTCATCCCACATCATTCCATGTTTCTGTGAACTGCCAGCCAAGCACCACTGTGTTCACCACTCAACCAGGTGCCACATCCACCCATTTCTGAGCTCTCCCAGGGATGGGGGCTCCATCACTCCCCCAGCAACCTGTCCCAGTGCCTGATCCAGTGCTCACTTCGCGGCTTCCCAAAGGGAGCTGAGAGCTCAGCTCATCCAGTGGCATGCAGGAACCCACCCCAGGATGATTGGAAGGAGCTGTCAGAGCTCTTTTCAGTGTGGGAATTGCTGGACACTATGGCAAGGGATAATCTGGCTGCAGGAATCTCTTGGCTCTTCCCTGCCTGCACAGGGGGCACTGTACACTCCTGGGACATCCAAAGGGTTAATGCAGCCTGTCTGCCTTGCTGCTTCCTTTGGGAAACTGGGCTTCTTGCTCTGAATGGAGCACCACCTCCTGGGAGAGGGACTCTGTCAGCCCCTGGAATTGGGTAATTCTGCCAGGTAATTGAGCAACCCTCCCTTGGCGCCACTGAAGCGATGTTCTATCCTCTGTTCTAAGTGTGGAGTAGGGAAAATACCAACATTCTGCAGAGGGAAGGGGTCTGAGATCCCCTCAAAGAGCAGGTTTGGCATTCCCAGGAGAGGGGGGAGGCTGTGCCTGGAGAAGGGAACTGCTGGGAGGCTGTGCCATGGATAATGGGCATCAGGAGCTGCTGAGAAGCAGAAAATGTTGGCAGGAACGTGCTGAGATAGGTTGCTTCCTTAATTTCCATTACTCCCTTTCCTGGCCCTGCCTTTGGGATTTTTTGGTCAGGAGCTTTCATGCACACTGGTTAAACAGGGGAAATGATGTGACAAGTGATACCTTTTAACCAGCTCTTCTCTCATGTCCAATTAATCCAAGCGTTGATAATAGAAATTACATTAGTTAAAACCACTAAGAGAAATTTATGCAACTTGGGAAAGCAACTGGAGATCAGTAAAGCCAAGACATTTCTGGTGGTTTCTGTGCTGTTCCCTGGTTGCACCTAAGTTAATATCCAAGGTGACAGGAGGGAACAAGCAGCCCCTTCTCCAATTAAGCTGCTTCACTTCCTGTTTAAAGAAGCTGGAGGATCCGAAATGTCTAAAACGTGTGTGGAAATTTCTGCTCCAGGGAATGAAGGACTCTTTGTGCCCTCCAGGACTGAGCTGCTGTGGTATTTCATGGGCTGCTTCCCTCCAGCTTTGAACAGATTTTACATCTCCCATTGACGCTTTTGAGGAGGGGCAGGGTCAGTAAGCAACTGCTGGGGATTCTCCTTAAAATGCTACTTAGGAGCACTATTGTGAAAAAGCTTTTAATTAGCAAGCTTTCAAGCTCTATTATCAAAACCTAAACAAAATTAAAACCAGCCTCAGTGAAGAACAAAAAAGTGTGATTAGAAAATCCCTCCAGAGTATGGCTGGCAGTAAGTCAAGATGTGAGAAATTAAAGTCAGTTGCTAAAAATTCCCTTGGAAAAAAAATCCAGGGAGATACTCTGGAAGTACTTAAAATGTAGCCTTTAAATTTACATGTATGGTTGTTTTATGTAAAATCATGTGGGAACCAGTGGAAATAAAATGAATTTCCACTGATGATCCTCACTGCAGATCAAGTTTGTTGCTCTCACCTAGGGCAGAGCAGCTGCTGAGGCTGGCTGGGGTACAGGGAGATAAGGAATGAGATCGTGCTCTTTGCAAAGTTTGTGTTTGGGGAAAAGAGGAATATGCTCAAAGACCTCCTCCCAAAGCACAAAGATTTCTGAGGTGGTGTGATAAAGCAATGAAAACAATTTACTTCTGAAGCCGAGTCTGCCCTGTGTGAAGGGATGGGCTCAGGTTAGGCTGTAAAGGCTTTGATGTGAACAATGTTGTGGCTTTTTGTGGCCTTTGCTGTAGCAATTACTGCTCCTCTCCGCTCCCTGGGGTGAGAGCTCTCTCTGGAGATGCTGCACCCCCTCCTTCCTACACACCCACCCTGCGGGGGTGGATTTTGGGGGAGTTTAGGTGACAGTAACTTATATTTGTAGAAAACAGAGCCATTAACCCACAGTTAGAAGGCTGCCAGTGAAGCTCGCTGGTGGGCAGGGTGATTTCAGTGCAGGTTATCTTGCACATGGTGATTCTGCACCCACATTGACACAAATGAGGGGCTGCTCTGCCACACCCAAGCTGCTGCTGCTTTTTTAGGCGTCCCCTTGCCCTGCACAGAAAAGCTGGGTTGGGATTTGAGGCGGGAGCCCACCTTTCTACAGCCACCCCACTGACCAGTGCCAGTGCTTTGGAAAAGGAAAAATCCCCCAAACAACAGCAGCACGGGTCACTGATTTCTCTGTGCCAGTGGGAATATTCAGAGCAGAATATTCCCACTGGCATGCAGGGAATGTGCCCTCCCTGCCCTGGAAGTGTGCTTGGCTGGCTGGCAGCACCATGTCCAGCTTTGGACACTGGAGCTGGTGAGGAGATGTTCATGGAGGAAGAGGAAGGAGTGGGAACATGCAGGAGAACAGAAGAGCTCTGTGACTGCTGCAAACTCACAGGAGTCACCAGCTAGGAAGGAAAAAGGTGAGAGAACATAATCTGGATGTCTAAAATACATGTACTGCTCTCTGACAATGGCTTTGATCTGGGAGAGCCTGAAGGAGGTGGGATCCTGGCTGGCGCTGCCCTGCACAAGGACTGTGATGAAACCTATCTTTGATCCCATGTTTGAAAAGCTCAGTGCCTCTTTTTGCACCAGTTCTGGGGTTCCCCCCTTCACACACAGCCTGTTCAAAGCTGCCCTGCTGCTCCTGGGGCTGCTTTGGAGCCGTTGCAGAAGGAGGTGCCCAGGAGGGGCTTTGTGTTAGTTTGGAGCTCTCAGGCTGGCCTTACCTGCTGGCAGCAGGTGCTGAGCTGCCCATTGCTGTGACGCCCTCAGCTCAGCCCGGGTCTGCTGCAGCTCCTTCCACACTGAGCTCAGGATGAGGCTGTCCCCTGTGCTGGCATCCAGTTTGTGCTGCTGCAGAGCTGTTTCCTGCGCCTGCTGCTCGGCCCTGCGGCGCCAGGCGCTCTCCAGCCAGCCCAGCCTCAGCGACACGTTGTGGCTCAGCTGCAGGATGTGCTCCAGAACCTTCCCTTGCTCCGAGTCCTGCAGCCTCCTGGCCTCCTCAGCCTGGTCTCTGCTCCTCGCCAGCTCCTGCTCCACCTGGGACACCACGTGGGAGGTGACAGTGGCGAAGGTGCCCGCCAGGGTGGTGGCCAGCTGGCTCAGCTCTGCCTTCAGGGTCTGCAGCTCCAGCCTGGGGAGCTCATCCAGAGCCTGCAGCATCATGTTCTCCTTCATCTGCGAGTTCTCCAGCATGATGAACAGCTTGTCCCACTTGCTGTGCTCCCGCTGGCAGTCGCACGAAGCAGCTGGAAGGGAAGGTACAGATGTTGCTGTTCCTTTGTACCGAGTTTTACACGGCAGTGTTTGGTAAAACCTGGCTCTGTGCAAGGCTCGTGTCCTCTGGACTGCCACAGAATCGTGGGCTCAGACTGGCTTGGGCTGGAAGGGACCTTACAGACAATCTGGTTCCAACCCCCTGCCGTGCTGGGGCCAGTGCCTTTCCCTCTGCATCAGGACAGAACCGTGCAGGGGTGTGATCAGAGATCCTAAACCCCTGGGACAGCAGCAGCCTTTTGCAGGAAAACTGAGAAATCAAGAGCCTAGAGCACAGTCCAAGGCACCCCATCCAAGGGCTTTACTATTACTGCCCATAACAATCCACTGCTATGAGCAAGAGCTTCTCCCTCTGGGAAAAGTAAATTATGTTTGCAGTAATAACTCCTACAAGACCTAGGCAGCACCAAAGGCAGTTCTGCACTTAAATTCAGTTTAAGTTTACTCACCTTCCTCAGTCGCAGGGGCTGGACCCTCGATTTCATTATCCAGGTTCACGTACATGAGCTCGTAGTCATCGTCTTCATCCACCACAGAGCCAGAAGCCCTGAAAACACAGAGCAGCAGCGTGAGCAGGGAGAGGAGCTCTCGGGGCAGCATTCTGCGGGCTGCTTCCTGACGGTCCTTGGGCGGTGAGGAGCTGCGGGAGGCTGCAGCAGAGCCGGGGCTGTGCGGGGCTGTGAGAAGCTGCGGGGCCGCAGCAGAGCCGGGGCTGTGCGGAGGGAGCTGCGGGGCCGCAGCGGAGCCGCGCTGAGCGCTGCGAGCGCCGAGCCCGAATGAATGAGCTGCTGCCCTGTGAGCGCAGCGCTCCCGGCTCTGCCTTTTGGCCGGCAGGCGAGGAAGGGAAGGGAAGGGGGCGGGCAGCTTGCTCAGTCCCAGCCCTCCAGGTTTGCCTGGGCGATGCTCTGAGTGGCCAAGGGGAGAGCTGTGCTCGCCCCGGGGCGGATTGGGACGGGGCTGGGTGGGAGCGCTCGGGCTGGGCTGGGTTGTTTTGTGTCGTTTGTGGAAAAGAAAGTGTTCCCTGCAAGTTCAGTTTGTGGTGTGTGCCAGGGCTCGGGAGGGGATTGGTAGAAAAATAAACATACCTGGAGTTGGTTTGGATACACGTGTCTGGTTTAGCTAAATAGAGCTTTTTTGGAGGGTTAGGCGCTGCTGTATAATAAATTCTATTATATGCCAACAGTTTATTGGTTTAAGCAATAAAGGAGAGCTCTTAAGGAGTTCTAACAGCTTCTTAGGGTCCTGCTTTTCCAGCCCTAATTAGCACTTACACCACCATTACTCCGTGGGTAATCTGTTAGTGCTGTATCCTGTTTTGGGAACTGTAAATCTGCAGCTGCACAATCAGAGTTGTGTCTGTTACCTTTGAAAATGCAAAACAAGGTGCTTTTGGATGAAACATTAATTTAGTCTAAGTCTTATTGGTATTAATCAGGTTTAAATTCTGTAATCTTATTGGTTCAACAGGCCATTAATCATGTCAGAGATGCTTTGCTTAGGTGAGATTAGGGGTGATCTCATACAAATTGTGTATTGGCTATGAAATATCCAGAGAATAGCAAAAATCCCCTCCTGTAATTACATCTGACTTGGAATCTATGTTCTCTTTCCATTTGTGTCTCTGGTTTTGCTTATACAAACCTGCACTACCTGGGAGGAATTCCTCCCTGGGAGGGTGGTGGGGACAAGGTGAGGATGGTGCACAGGTTGGACTGATTCTGGAGGTCCTTTCCAACCTAAATGATTCCATGACTTTCCAGTAGGTATGTGCCAAACCTGAGTCATCCTGGGGGAAAAATTAGTCCTGGTGCTTGAGCTTCGTCTTTGGAAGCTCCCTTTGGAGTGAAAATCCAACTGCCCATGGGACACTCGTTCCTCCCGAGCTCTCTGTGCTGCTGGGATGGGCAGAGCTGGAGCTCGGGCAGCCTTTTCCAGGAGTGGCTGCAGGGCTGGCACCCCCCCACCACGCCCCGGGGTCCCTCCCTGCCTCCTGTGCAGCCCTGGAGTGTCCCCAGCTGTAGGACACTGTGTGCTGCAGTTGTGTCATTCCCAGCGTGTGGTCTGCTTGGGAAGGGTGAGGAAATCTAATCTGGAAAGTATTGGGGGGTCAGGGTGGCAGGGAAGGAAGAGGGAAGGAAGGCATTTAGGGAATTGAGTGGGATGTTTTTTTCCATTCTCACACAACAAACATTTTCAGGCTCTTAGTTTAGATTGAGGCAGATGTAGCAAGAATGGGAACAAGTGAATTATTCAGAATTCCCGATATTGCCTCTGGCTGTCTGAGCTTTGGAAATTAGGGGGCTGGGTGTGCATAAATCCCCTCAGAGCCCACAAAGATGTGACAAACAAACAGCTCTGAGTATCCTGTGCTACCTCAAACATGAAAAGACCAGAAAATGGCCAACTGGGTTGTGCCTGCTGACCTTTCTTGAGGTCTCTGAAGAACAGACCCAAACTGGGATATCTGGGATTATTTACACGTGTGCACACAGGTTCTTCACTTAAAAGCAATTCCATGTCAGTGAGGTCACTTCAATCTCGCTGCAGAGGGAGGGGATTGCTCTGATTGCCTTTGCTTTCCATTTATCTTGGTTAGGGAATATCAGCCCAGCAGTGTTTGCTGCAGGAAGCTGCCCAAAGCTGCGCTAGCACAAAGTATTTTTTGTTAGAGCAGTTTGGTGGCTGCAGTCCATCATCTGTGATTGCATCACTCCTCTGATACACCCCACACTCCAAATGCTCCTTTGCCAGACTAAATAATCAGTCTTCCCTTCCAGATCCCTTCCTAGCCCTGACATCCCAGCTTAGGCAATAGTATGGCTCAGGTTGGTGTCTTTCCTTGCTTAAAGCTGTTATTTTTGTTACTGCCTCTTGGATTCCTTCCCCTTGCACGTCTATAGCTGGGAGGAAATTTGCCTGTCCAGGAATACGGGAATTTCATCTTTTGCAATCATTGTTGAAATTTGACTGGAGTTTAAGGGCTCTGTTTCACATGGGCAGAAAACTCCAAGTGCAAACTAAGCAAGAGCAAGTGCAAAGAAAGGACTTTAGTGCTGGAAGCACGACGTCATCCAGAGAGGAAAAAATTTTTGGTGTATTCAGTACAAAACGTTTCCATTTCAAACTGTGACATGAGTCTAGGAAAGTTCCAGTGAATCCATCCTCATCCTGGGTTGGGAAGGACCCACAAGGGTCCTCCAGTCCAACCCCTGGCCCAGATTCCCCAACAATCCCACCCTGGGAGCACTGTCCAAACTCTCCTGGCAGCTTTGGGGCTGTGCCTGTTCCCTGGAGAGCCTGGGCAGTGCCCAGCACCCTCTGGGGAAGAACCTTTCCCAATCTCCAGCTTCTCCCTCTGGGGGAATTAGTGCTTGGCATAAATCCCATGGAATATTAGTGGTGACATTTTTATCCAGATCCACTGAGAACCATCTTCCATTGGGAAGAGCCCAGGGAATGTGGTTAGAAAATGGCCAGAGTGGAGCAGTTTGTTCATCTTTTCAGGGTGATTCATCAGCAAATCTTTCCTTTGCCCCTGGCCCTTGTGACTGTGTAGAACAGGACAAGATGAATTTGCCATGTCCATGGGGTGGGAGTGGGGTCTGGCCTGGCCTTTGGCACTGCTGGGGCTGCATGGGGGGCTCGGAGCTGCCTCTAGGAAGCAGCCAGGGATTCTTCAAGCAGGACAAGGTGCAGAAGTGTGGCTGGCTGGAGTGGAGAGCCACTCCTGTGAAGGATAAGGACCCTCAGGGATCATTACAAGCTGTTGGGCTCAGAGCTGTCTGAACCTGCTCTGAGTTATGTGCTCGCTTTTTGGCTCAGGGGGAGGTTGTGAGACCCAGCCGTGGCCTGGGGTGCATTTTCTGTATCTGGCAAGAGCCCCACGTGCTCCAGTCTGAACCCAAATATCCTTTTCCTACCATCCATGAAGAGATCTGCTTATCTTCCAAAGTTATCCAGCTCAGATGAAAATGGGAGGAAAAGCAGCAGGCCAGAGAGCTGATTCCTCTTGGAAACCAAATCCAAAGAGGCCGTGAGGACTTCCAAGGGTTTACAAAAAGGAGCCATACTAGGTTGCAATAGGCAGATGTTTTCCATATGTTGCTCAAGTGAAACTTAAATCCATTGAGGCAGGCATGTACTGCGATGTGAAGTTATACATTTTGGTATGAGCCTGGGCTTCAAATTGAATTATGCACAGACATCTTAAGAAAATGTGTGAGAGAGGGTTTAGCATATCTCTGTCTGTCTGCAGTTGGCTCTCTCTGGCTCTTTTCTATTCCTGGAAATGGCATCCTTAACTATTTCTGTTCAAATGCATGTTTAGCTCTCTGTTCACCAACTATTTCTTCCATATGATGTTTATTTAATTTGAAAATTTGAATCTCAGCAAAGGAGAATTGCAGTTTTTGTCTTTTGTTGGTTTTGTTGTTTCTTTGTCATTTCTCTCCTTTTTTCTTCTCTTGTTTCTTTGTTAATGGAAATCACACTTAGTTTGGCCCAGGACTCAACAGAACATCATCCAAAACTGAAAGCTCATTAAGCAGCATTCTATGACATTCAGAAATAAAATTATAATTAATAGGAATTAGTGGGGGTTTTTTTTACATAGTGTTGTTATGCCTGCAATGATTTGCTCTATTTTGATAATTTATTTGGTTTCTTGGCCCAATATATAATTTTCTACAGTTTTATGCTTCCCTGGTTTTGTGCTGATGATCCTTCCAGGCCAGGTTGGAGCGGCCTGGTGGAAGGTGCCCAGGGGAGGGGTGGAAGGAGATGAGCTTTAACACCTCCCCAACCCAAATAATTCTGTGATTGTTGACCTGCTCTCTCCAGAGTGTGCTGGTGCTGTGGGGCTCTGCCCAGTGCTGGGCACTGACTGACAGCTGGTCCCTGCCTGTCTGTCTGGGTTTGAAAAGGCAGGTGTCTGCTAAGGAAGGCAGGAGCCTGCTGTGACATGGAAAATGTAAACTCCCTCCCTCCAAATTATTATCATTTTGAAATTAAGGGGCTCTGAGGTAAATCTATGGGAATAGGAACAACAGTTCTTTATTAGGGAAATTAAAAATACAAAAGTACAAAAAAGAAAACAACCACAGTCAGACTATGGCACAGTGTGGTGGCACAGCCCCATCCCATGGGGGCTCAGCCTTTAACGGAGAAGATCTGGAGGGAGGATTGGCTGTGGGAGAGAGAAAGAACCCAGCCCGATGAACAGCAGATACCTGCCCCAGCTCTGACAGATGGCAGTGGAATCCACAGCCCAGCCACATGCTTCAGCCTCATTCGCTGTCCCTGCTGTGTCCCCAGGGAACTCCATGCTGCTGCGGGTGCTGCCCGCGCTCTACGAGAAGCAGCCGCGGCCCATCCACGCCCGCCTGCGGGAGCTGGTGGCACCCATGGCCCAGCTGGACCCCCCCGAGCAGCTCCACCTCCTCAGGCTCCTGCACACCGTGGCCAGGAAGAGAGAACTGGGGGTAAAGCATCTCCCTGCCCCTCCTTTTGGGGGGTTTGTGTCTCACAGGCTTGGTGAGGGAGGAATTGCACCACGCAGGGCAGCGCCTTGCTGTGCTGATTCCCTGTCAATTCTCTAATTCCATCCTGAGTTCTCCACCTAGTCATAATAAGAACATAGCAAAGACTCTGCTAGACCAAAAGGTCTGGGTCAAACCGTTTGTCTCCAATGGTTTTGGCTCTTCCTCTGTCAGCTGAATGTGAATTCCCTTTGCTGTGTTTCTGTCAGTGTACATGAACTGTTTTAAAATCCACGTCAAGGACAATTAAAATTATTTAGAAACTAATGAGAACTGATAATCCCCCCCAAAATAAGAACAGAAGAAGGGGTTGTTTTATACTCGTGTCTGTGTCTGCATGTCTTTTCTACAGCTGCAGCAGTTTCCCTGAATCCAAGGTGCATTAGTGTGCCTGTGTACCCTGAATTAATCCCTCAGTACACAACTGCATCCTGTTTGGCAGATGGCTCAGAGGACTACACCCTCAGTCTCCCGAAAATTGTGTTGTTACAAGAAATGACAACTTACCTACAGCACATTTATTATGCAGTGAGGGTCTTGCCCCCCATTTTTTCCTCTATTCCTGCTCCTGACCTTGTCACGTTTAGTTTCTGGTGGAACCCAAAAATTTCTACAAGTACTTTAATTTACTGTATTATTGGGGAAGGCTGAGTCTTATGTTGTTTTAATCAATAAAATATAGACTGGCCTGGAGCAGGGAAAATATTTAGTAAAGGTGAGTTTTGGTATTTTTTTAATTGGGCATTTCCTTACTTATTTATGCATAACTGCCATATTTTAAAGCAGAGCTTACCCTTACTCCATATGTTCAGTTGAACTTGGATTGACCTCGGTGATAGCTCTACGCAAAGGTCACCAAGGGTGGAAAACTTCTATTAACTCAGAGTCTGGTGGCTTATTTTTATCACTCTGGTGGTTGTATCTCCTCTGGTTATATGTGTTCACAATTCAAAACAGCGATCCAATTTGTTTCTGATTTTTTTAACAGGTGCTGAGAGAGTGTTTGCCATTTTTATTTGGACACCTGAGGGACCCCAACCACAGCGAGGTGATTCTAAACATCCTTCTGGAAATATCCAGCTACGAACCTGCAGCCTTGGCCCCGTTCCTTCCCACACTGAGGGAAATTGGAGAGAGTTTTCCCAGTTTGATTGGGCAGACAGCAAAGATCTTCGGAGCTGTTGGACATCTTGATGAGGTAAGGTGGGAAACAAGAGGACTTGCTTGGGTGTGGGGTTGGGGTTGCTTTTATTCTTGTATAAAGTGTCCACGTATTTCTTACCTAGTAACCTGACTGCCCTGCCATGGAATGGTTTGGTTGGGAGGGACCTTAAAGATGATCTTACTCCAGTCCTTCCCCCTTTGGCAATTAATTTGGGTGTGTATTGGCTGGGCCTTGTGTGTCTGAGCAGCACAGGAAGACACCATCCTCACTGTTTCTACTGATCTGGAGCTTTATATTCATGTAAAATTAAATTTATCTCAGAAGAATCAAAACCAGATTTGGTTTGGCTTCATAAATCTTATTTCTGTTGTGTGGAAAGAGGAGCCAAAATCCCATAGAGGCCTGGGAGCCAAATGAAGTTTTTTGTTCTCTCCTTGTTTACTTCCATCCCCCAGCAAGTTTTACTTTTATAAGATCTGTAGGTGACCACATTTAATTCTGTGTTTACTATTTGAGTGTCAGCATTTTCTAGAAAGTTTATGGTTGCTAACCAGCCAATCCTCAGCTGAGCCCAGCTGGGTTCAGAAGTGAAGGATTTCATTTGGATTCTGTGTTTTGGGGTATTGAACCAGCTCTCCCCATCTGGGTGTCTCTGAGGCTCCATTTCCGCTGAGTTCTGCTACTTCAAAGGGGCTGAATTTATTTATTTTGCCTTTTGTTGCTGTGATTGTTTTATACCAAACCAAGAATAAGCGAGGAACCAACTGGCCCTGTTGGATTCCATGTAGTGCTGGAAATGACACACTAGAGTAAAGTTTACAAAGACATGATTCAAAGAATATTTTCCCCTCGCATTTTTAACCTGTTGGTTTATGTGGCTGCACTGGTCTACTGAGTGGAGCACACACAGCCTGCATTGAGCAGCTGATGTCCAGTCTCCCTGGAGTAAATGTTGAGAAAGCTCTCACCATGTCCCTTGCCATGAGTCTGATTTTTTGGGAAGCTGCTGACTCAGCAGCATCCCAGCCTGTGGGGAGGACACATTTGTCATTTGTTTGCTGTGTTTGTCACTGACATCCAGGACCCTGTGCTCCAGACTCAAAAACAGGGATAGAGACAACACCCAGAGGGTGGCAGAGGTGAATGTTCCACCAGAAGAGCAACAGCTCTTCTCTTGTTTTGCACTCTAAAAGGTTAGGAAGTGTGAATAATTCTGAATTGTGGGATATCTTGGAATGACAGAGTGGTTTGGGTTGGAAGGGATCTTGATGCTTATCCCGTTCCCCTGCCATGGGCAGGGACACTTCCATCACCCCAGGTTGCTCCAAACCCTGTCTAAGCTGGTCTTACAAAAAGAATCACCTCACCTAAGAGGGGAAGGAAATGCCTCCATGGCTGATTGCTGAGCAGAGGTGAGCTCATGGAATCACAGAATCTGCCAGGCTGGAAAAGACCTCCAGGACCATCGAGCCCAACCACCAACCCATGTGTGCTCTGATGGTCTCATCTCCCAGCCCCTGTGCCAGGGCCTTCCCAAACCCTCCCTCATCCCTTGTCCCCCTCTCCCCTGTCCTGACACGAGCCGTGCTGTGGATATTCTGTCACTTCCCAGACAGGAATTGGCACCCCCTGCCCTGCCAAGCAAAACAAGCGGGCAAGGAGACATCAATGGCAGTGCTGGAGCTTTATTTGTTGATGTTTTATTTCACTGGAAGGCTTGCCTGGGGAAAAGAGGTGGCAAGGATTGAGGCTTGGCCCTCGATGGTCGAGACTGTGCATCTGAGCAGCAAATCCTTGCTGGCTCCTAGAAAAACCCTCTTGTGCTTCCAGGGACCCTGGGAGAGAGGAGAGCTCTGGAACTGAAAGGTTGCCCCTTGTTTGCACACACCACTTCTGCTGGTGTCAGCAACACTCTCGGGGGGCAAGCTGAAGCCAGAACTTGTCCCTTAACCATAAACTTGTGCAAATGAAAAACCATCTTGGGGCTCAGGGCAGTCGGACACTTTATTTTTTTCCCCTGTTTTGAACCACCTGGGAGTTGGAGTTATTTCTGAAAGCCTTGTGATCTTTTTGTAGTCTCCTGAACCTGTTTTTAAGAAAAAAGCACAGTTTGCCACACACCTCATTGTTTGTGCTTTAGCTCTTCACCTTCTGGCAGATGTAATGCCATAAAATGCAAGGGCTGCTTACGAGAAAATACATGAATACATCAAACAGGCATTACTGAAATAACAAGGGGTTATGTGCATCCAAATAGGGTTTGTGAAACATTTTGGATAAGAACTGTGGCAGGGATAAGGGCTGCTTTCATGTTGAGCTATTTTGCTGTAATTTTGTTTTGTATAACAGTTACATATTATATTACTCAGGCGAGTTTATTGTTCTTTTACCTCACTCCAGGCGAGTAGCAGCATTTCAGCATGGCTGGAGACTCTCCAGCTGGATCAAAGTGACAGGAAAATGGTCAAAACTGCTCCTCCATTTAGTCTGCTGCACAGTTTGTTTAGAAAACAAAAATGTGTTTTAAATGTTAATTGAGCCTCTGTTTATCTCTTGGAGGAAGGATCGGCTTTCAAATAAATGAGTAACTGTGCACCAAAAAGTCAACCTCGTTCAAGCCATTGAGGAAAAACCTTGGTCACATCAGCCCAGCCCAGGGTGTAGCTGGAGCCTTCCCCCATATGGCTGAAGGGGTGCAATTTGTCTGATCCACTCTTCCCATTTATCCCTGTCATGCACGACGCAGCAGAGCTGCTTTTCCTTGAATTACGTTGGTTCGCTCTTCCAAAAAAGTCTCACCCATGATGCAGGGCCACGTCCTGCCAAAGTCTCCCGGGTATTTTTATAGCCCAGCTGGGTCTGGAATCAACCTTTCAGCAGATTTTGCTCTCTGGTTACGAGGTCCCAGAAGAGAGGAGGAAGTGGGGCTGGGACCCTGCAGAGCCCCGAGCACGTGCGTGGCACATGAGCTCCCTGCTGGCCCTTGGAAGAAGAAAGCTGTTTGTTTTCTGCCTTTGTTTGTGCTTCAGCACAGGCTGAAATCCAAACATCTCCCAGTTTCTCCATCAGTCTGCTGAGGACCAAGTGGGCTTCCCTGAGTAAAAGGATTCCCCAGTGAAGGATCCGAGGGGAGTTCCTGAGTTAATTGCTGGTTTTTCCACTGCTTTTCCCACGTGGGTGCTTTTAGGACTGTGGAACCCAGTCTAATTAGGAGAACTCTAACAGAGGAGCCCTAAACTGGAGATGCTCAGATCCTGGCTGGATGTTCCCCATTCCTGAAGGTGTTGGTGGGGCTTGGAGCAACCTGTGGAAGGTGTCCCTGCCCATGGCAGGGGTGGGACTGGGTGGTCTCTAAGGTCCCTTCCAAACCATTCTCTGGTTTTATGGAGTAACTGGGCCAGACTCATCAGAGGTGAAAGGGGAGCTTGGTGCTGCTGGGGCCCTGATCACTGAGCCAGGCTGATCTACCAACCCAGAAGGATGTAGGGCCCTTAAAGAGCCTTCAGGGATCTGGCTCTAGGTCTGAGGAGGAGACAAGATGTCCTGAGTTAGGCTGGGTTAGGTAACACCAAGAGGAACAAAAGTCACTTCAGTGAAACCACAAATAAACTGTGTTTGAGGCAGCTGCTTGTGTCATGGTGGGGCAGCCACTCTTCCCCAGGGACGGTGACTCAGTCCCAGCACACAAAGCCCCTGACAGCAGCAAACAATGAAATCCTGTGTTCAGCCCTGTTCTTATCTCCCCACGCTGCCCAGGAGCGAGCCAGAACCTCCCTGCTGTATCTGGTGAACCAGCTGGCCAACATGGAGCACTCCTTTCACCACCTCCTGCTGCTGGAGATCAAGAGCCTCACGGACACCTTCTCGAGCATCCTGGGCGCCCAGAGCAGGGACATTTATCGCATGAGCAACAGCTTCTCTGCCATTGCCAAGCTGCTGGCGCGGCAGCTCGGCACCGACGGCGCGGCGCCCGCCAGGTACTGCTGCTCTGGCACAGCCCTGCTCGTGCCCTCAGTGCTGGCTTTCATGGCTTCCAGATTCTGTGCTGCCTGAGTGTGTGACTCTGAACTCCATACCAAGTGTTAGCTCTGCAGCTCAGGCACACAGAACAATCCTTTTCCAGCCCCAGAACTAAGGACACCACTGCAGCTTCAGTCCCAAAGTGCAAACAGCAGGGGATGGAGGAGAGCAACCTGGGCGGGTGGGACTGCAGAACCTGGGGCTGGGATTGGAGAATTAACCCCAATATGGAAAGGGACCAAAACTTATAAAGGGGTGAAAACTCCTGACTTGGAGTCCATGCTGGGTGCATCCTGGGCAGAACCACGGCCAGACTCTTGTGCTGCCCAAGTTCCTTTGAAGGCCTTTTAATAAATCCCTGCTTTATTCCTTTAACTCTGTCTAGCCTCTGTTCTAGGTAGCCTCTTTAGGCATCACTGTGAGTCACCAAAATTCCCATTAAATATACTCCCATTGCCATGAAGAAAGTCATGCCCCAGATAAGTAGATTTAAGCAAGCCAAAAAAGCCTTGGTTAAAAATAAATCAGTAAAGTCAGGCCTCACAATTATCAGTGAGTTTATTCTAGAAAATGCCCACTGAGGGTGATGAGAACAATGGCTGGCGTAGCTCCCTGATGAAGATTTGCCCAAACAAAAGTCTGAAAAGAATTTCTGAAGCATCCACAGCGAGATGTTCTGCTGTCTCAGCTGCTTCTGACTGTGCATCCTAAGGTTGAAATGTTGTGGGGTTTGTCACAGTGAGGATGGGAATGTTATTTAAATACAGGGTGGCAGTCACTTCTAATTAGTGAGAGACTTAGAATTCGAGTTGTGTATCCTGCAGTAGGTCAGGGGGGAACACAGGAGCAGTGATTCTTTGGAAAAATGGAACACAGGTGTCAGAAAACTCCTGACAGTGAAGGCCAGCCCTGGAGCCAGACTGGAGCAGTGGAGCCAAAACATTGAGCTCAGCGGAGAAACAAATAATTGGTGTCCTGGAGAGAGGTAAAAATGAGAAAGGAGAGGAATCCAGATAGAGCCCCTCGTCTGACTACAGGGCTGTGAGAAATGTCCAAGCCTGACCTGGTGGCAGAACCTCAGCAGAAAGCAGCCCTCAGCATTCCCAACCCATTGTGGTCCCTCCATTTATGGTTGAAAAATTACTTTGTTTGTTAAAATACTGTGATATTCCTGTTCCTTATTATATTCTGGGCTTAACATTTATCTCTAGAACTGTTAAGAAAACCCAGTTAAAAACAAGGTTTTCATCAAAATCTGGCTGTTTCTAGCTAAAATTCTCTCTGTTAAGGACTCGCTGAAGAGTAGAAGCTTTATTGTCCATGTGAATGTGGTTACAGATGATTTTCTCTCTCTGCTCCTTGATTTTATTTATTTTTTTATTTGTTTTAAATTTCATTCCCTCCCCCAACCCTCTGTGCCCTCATTATCTCAACATGGCTGTGAGAGATCACAGCAAAATGCTGTTTTTTCACAGTTTTTAGCTATTTGGTTTTACATTTCAGGCCTGTATCAAGCAGAGTATCAGCTAAATCAGACAAGGCTGAATGAGAACTCTGCTGATGTAAGCAGAGCTGGTTTTGACTCGTGCTTGGGAAGTGGGACCAGTCCAGATGTGAAGGTGGAAGTGCCCTCCCAGCTCTGGAGCTGCTGCAGTCGCTGAGCTGAAGAGCAGCAATCCAGAGTGTTTGTGCTGTGAAGGGAAAGCAGGATTTTAAACTGTGGGGCTGGATTATAACAATTCCTTCCAAAACTCCTGTGTTTATATAAGGAGAAGCTGATTTCTTCAGAGCCATGGCTGGCCTGGCGTTGTTTGGCACAGGGAATTTTACATGCAGAGACTGGGGAGCATAATCAAAACCAGGTCATGCCCTGCTGCTCCTCACTGTCCCAAAATTCCAAGTTATGCAGTCCCAGAGGGGCTTTTAAAGAACATATGCAGGGTTTTAATGGACTTATCCAACCTAGAGGGGCAGTGCAGTCAATTAAAGGGGAAGAAAGCTTCAAAGTCCTGGTTCTGTGTAAGAACTGAGCTTAAGGGGCTGCACCAGGGCTGCTCCTCCCCCTGCTGTGGCTGCTTGGAATTGTTTGGCACTGGGATAGGAGAGATTTAGGTTAAATACGAGGAAGTTCTTCACTCATAGGGTGGGCAGGCCCTGGCACAGGTGCCCAGAGCAGCTGGGGCTGCCCCTGGATCCCTGGCAGTGCCCAAGGCCAGGCTGGACAGGGCTTGGAGCAGCCTGGGACAGTGAAAACGTCCCAGTGAAAGGAGATGGAATGGGATTATCTTTAAGGTCCCTCCAACCCAAGCCAGTCTGGGATTCTGCTGACAGTTCCATGATCTTTCCTCCACAACTTGCCTCCTTCAAACTTTCTTGTCCATCCTATTTGAGGAGGTGATTTTCTCTCCCCTAACAAACCACCTCACCCATCCTTGTAGCCTTCATGAGCACAGAGGTGAAGCCCTGGCCACAACCCCAGGTCTATTTCATAAATCTCCATTTGGGATGCTCTTTTCCCCACCGTGAGCTCCCCACTGCTGGTGTGGTGATGGTGCTGCTGCTCTGGAGGAATGCCCTCTGTGCTAATGCATCACCTGGGCATTGAGGTGCATTTGCCCAGAGGATTTAAAGCATGAAGCCATCAGCAGCCTGGCACTGTTTTTGGCATGATGGTTTCCCCATGAGCTCGTGCACCCTCCTCCTCCTCCTGCTAACAGCTTTGGTGTAAGCTGATCCTGCTCAGCAGCCTCAGCAGTGCCTCTTGCCAAGACTGCAGACAATGGCTGGTCTGAGAGAGCTGGAAGGGGAGCCCAGCAGGAAGGGCTGCCAGGGGTCCCATGGGCTGGGATGGAGCCCTCACTGAGGCTTTTGGGGGTTTGTGCTTTTGGCTTCCCAAGGAACTGATGTGGGCACAGGGCTGGTGCACAGGAGAGCTCCTGGGCACTCGGTGACCCTCTGCTTCCCACTTGGAATCCTGGCACCAGCAGGGGCAAAAATGGGATGGTGGCTTGAGGAGCCCACCCTCCACACCTAGGAGTGACTTCTTTCTGCTCTACATACAGAAAGTAGAGCTCATCCATGGTTCTTTTCCAGCCATAATAATTCTGTGGTTCTTTAGCAGAAGTACTTCCTTGAGTTCCCTTCACAAAGCCACGGGAGCTCAGCAGGAGAAGGCTGGACAAAGAGGCGCTGTTTGAAACACCATTTTTAATCCCAAACATCACCAAGGCTCCCTGGTTGGGGTCTGTCACTCCCTAGGCCCATCAGTCCATCAATCCCCTCTCTGTGCCCCCAGGCTTTGCCCATATTTACACAGGGAACAGGAGTTCTCCTTAGAGCTCACCTCCCACAATGGGAGCAGTGTTGGGAGCTGTGGTGGAGAGACTGCTTTCCAATAAATTAAATCTTGTCCTACATCCCCAGAAAGATTTGTTAGGAAAGGTCACATCAAGGGTCTTTATTACAGAAGAATATTTTTCAAGTGCTCCTCAGTGTTAATATATTATGAGATCTTGCTTGAATTAAAAACAAAGCAAGACAAAACTTGCCAGCTCCCCTGAGAAATATCCTGAGCTGCCTTTATCAAAACAAGTGAAAAAGTGCATTTTGTGATGCCACATTTCTGGTTGTTTTTTAAAAACCTGGCTTTTTACAATTGGTAATTTGCAGTTTGGGGAGTTTTTAATGGGCTCCCCCGCTGCGAGTGTGACTTGTGAGACTCTGCTGCTTTGGAAGGGCTGTGTTAAACCCCTCATTTGTGGTTTTACAGATCCATGTTTTACAGATTTAACTATTCAGATGTTTGTTCATCAGGGGGGAAAAAAGAAAATCAAACAAAGAAATCGTCAGAAGCATAACAATCTTGTTTTAGAGCTGTGGGTGGAGTTTAAAAAGTAAATACTGTCCAATCCCCCTTGATTCTCCAAGAGATTCCTGTTTGCTTTGTACTGCTCCATGATTTTTGGTGCCAGTTCCTCCCTGCTTGCAGGAGTGAGATGGGAACGTGCACACCATCCCAGCAGGACAGGGAGAGGGGAAGGAGCAGTGATGCTCTTGCATAGGATACTTGATACTTGAGTAAGGATACTCAGAATTCAGATTACCAGCAAATGGCCAAATATTCAGAGGAGCTGAGTCTCTGTGCAGGCTCTGAGCAATGAAGGAACCCAGAAAAAGCCATTTTCAAAGCTGTTTGAGGGAACCCAGCATGTTTTTACCAACAGTGTCTTTCCCAGCAGATTTCTTTTTGTCCTGTAAGATCAACAGCTTCCCTTCAATTTATTGGAAAGTTACCTTTGAATTTTTGCATTAAAATGTTCCCTATTGTGGCTGCCCCTGGATCCCTGGCAGTGCCCAAGGCCAGGCTGGATGAGGCTTGGAGAACCATGGGACAGTGGGAGGTGTCCCTGCCATGGCAGGGGTGGCACTGGATGGGCTTTAAGGTCCCTTCCAACCCAAACCATTCCCTGGTTCTCTGGTTCTGTGATTTTAAGACAAACATAAAAAATCCAAAACAGAACTACTTGCCCTGCAGTCCTACAAGTTCATTTTAACTCTTCATTTTCTCTTTGCTGGGCTGGAGTCACATTGCTTATAACTTTTTCTAAGTTTTAAAAGATATTTTTCTTTCTCAGAGGGCAGTAATTCAGTAAGAACTGCATGTACTTTGGTCAAATCTTTAAAACCACAGATTTCTATAAAGTCTGCAAATAGCTTGACTTTTGCCTTGTTAAAATAATGCAATAAGTCAGTGTTTAGCAATTTTGAGAGAATGGTTTGAGTTCAGATGAAAAACTTTTGACTATCAGGGACAGAGTTGTGATTTTCTGGTGCTTGGCAGTTTCCATCCAGGATTGTCAGAGATGTTCAATACTTCTGATCCATCAAAGATGTTGATGTAGAAGATGTTCCTGAAAATAACCTCAGGGAATCTCTGTTTAAACATAATTACTTTAGCAGATCCAAACCACAAGTCCCAGGCACAAACACAGCATCAGCACAATGAACAGAGTGTGCCAGAGTTAAACCTCTGCTTTCTGCTTCCTCAGGATGGAACAGGACCCTGAGGCAGAATGTCCTGCACCACTGGATGATTTAAAATCTGTCGTGAATGGCAGTGAAGAAGATGAAAAGCTGCAAGTTAAAATCCAGGCTTTTGAAGAGAAAATAAATGTGGACAACAGCACCCCCGGCTCAGTCAGGAGATACAGCCTGGGCCAGGTTTCGAAAGAAGAAAGGAAGGATATGAGGTTTAACAGGTATGGCTCTGGAAAATGTGTGAGGGGTTCAGGGAGATCACTTTTGTCATAAAACTTTATCCAAACATGATGGGTTTGATCTGCTCATGGAATACCCACAGGCAGCATAAACCTAAATTTAACCCATTTTTGCATCCATGAACTTAAGGGCTGGATGAAATCTTTCTAAATCCCAGAACCCCAGAATGGTTTGGGTTGGAAGTGACCTCAAAACCCATCCAGTGCCACCATGGCAGGGACACCTGCCACTGTCCCAGGTGCTCCAAGCTCCAGTGTCCAACCTGGCCTTGGGCACTGCCAGGGATCCAGGGGCAGCCCCAGCTGCTCTGGGAACCCATTTAATCTTTTCTGTGCCCTAAAGAAGCAAAAAGGGCAGGAAAAAAACCAAAACTGCATTGAGATATCGCAGATGGGAAGGTCCTGAGAGCTTTTCTGGGGTATTATCATTAACAATATTTATCAGTGAAAACAGCGTGACCCACAGGCTCCTCAGGCTGTCCCTGCCCCACAGCTCCACACAGAGCTGTGCCCTTCCAGCTCCAGGATTTGCCCTTCCAGCCCCTTCTGCCCTCTTTGCTCCCCTCCATCCCCAGCAGGGATAAGGAGGAGCTGGAGGCAGGGTCCTGTTCAGTGAAATTGCTGGTTGCCATTTTTATGGTGGGGCTGGTGCAGCAGCCACACCACCCCTGGGGCTCTGGGATCCTTGCAGAGGGGCTGGCTCACCCCCCCTGGCAGATGTGGGGATGTGTGAATATCATTTGGATATTGTTCTATTTCATTTGCTTATTAAAGCCAAGGCTTGAGCCTGGCTGTGGAAATGCAGATTTCCCAGAAGGTTCTTGTCCCTGGCTCGGTGAGCCCCGCACTGGGCTCTCTGAGGGAGCTGCACAGGGCATGTTTAGGGGGATTTTTGTGCCCTGCTCTGTTCCAAACCCTTTTCCTTTCCTCCCTGCAGGTCCAAGAGCCTGGCCCTGCACGTGCTCCGGGTGAAGGGGCTGAGCTCGGAGGGAGGCCCGGACGAGGACAGCGGGGACATCCCTGCTGGCATCTCCTTCTCCGAGCTCTGCCTCAGCCAGGAGCACCAGCAGGTGCCTTTTGGGGTGCAGCCCGAAGCAGGGCTCCTGGGGACCTGCCTGGTTTCACAGCAGAGTGCTGATGCTCCCCAGGCAGCCAGTCTGCCAGAGGCGACCCTGGAGACGGCCGTGGAGGGAAGGGCAGAGGCAGCCACGGGCCCTGTGGAACACCAGGACAAGCTGTACCTGCACCTGAAGGAGAACCTGGGCAAAGTCAAGGAATACGTGATGGAGATGGGGAGGAGGATTCCCATCCCTGAGCAGTGTGTGATTGAAGGTAAGGGATGAGCCTCCCAAGGACTTCTACACCCACCCAGACCCCCCTCAGGGCCCAAAGGGGAGCACAGACCCCCAGCACAGGCAGGGAGGAGCATCAGCTGTAGGAAACAACATTTCCCAAAGGGAATCTTTGGAAACCTCCCAGGATTCCTTTCCTTCAGGGACACATCCCATCCCATGCCTCTCCCAGACTCCCACGAAGGCTCAGGTGAACATTTCCTTCTGCATGTCATGGGGAGTGAACCCTGAGGGTGGCAGAGCCTCTGGGCACAAGGCAGGGCAGGAAGGGACATTCCCAGCTCCAGGCTGGAGCTGTGGAGCTCCTGGGACATCAGGGATGGATGTGTGCTGGAGATTCCACGTGCCATGGGCCCCGTGCTGGTCCATGGGGCTCCTGCTGGGCTGGCTCGGGGCAGGTCTGGGGCTCCTTCCTCACTGCCAAGTTATTAAATCAGCTGGACTGGGACAACAAAGGTCAGGACCCTCAGGGCAGCACATTCCAACCACAAAACTCCCTGGGGCACAGCAGGGTGAGACCCCCATGGGCTGGCTTGGGTTGGATCCCATCTCACCAGTCCCTGGGGTGCTTTAATGTTTGCTGCTTTCATCCCTGGTGGGGCTGTGATCTGCTCCTCTCTCTTTGAAGTAATTGCTTTGGGTTGGGCTGTGTTGGGTTGGGTTGGTCCTGCTTTATTCCCTTTGAGGTGAATTTGGGTGCATCCAACTCCTCACTGGTGGCCAGGAGCTGTTCACAGCCCAACCCTTGCATGTGCCAGGTTGATCCCAAAGAGCAGCTGCCTCAATCAATTTAATTTAATTTAATAAATTAAATTTCCAGTCACTTCAAACATCACCTTCTAATATAGCATCACTTCAGCTCCAACAAGCATCAACTGAAGTTGATAAAAGATTTATTTCTTTCCTTTCTCAGTGGTCAAGAAGTGGAAAAGCAGTTTCCACTCATAAAAGGGATATAATTCTTTCTCTCTATATATTTTATAAGCTTATGCTTCTGAAGAATTTCCTAGATACCTTAAATTCCATGTTTAGTAGTTGAAATAGTTATTTGGTAGAATTAAGGATAAAACTTGTGTTGCACAAAATTCAGTGAAAACATGAGAGTGAACAACGTGGTTTTTGAAGTGCTGAGTGCTCTGACCCCACATTAATGAAATCCCATATATTGAATATTTTTTAATGTATTGCTCAGTTTCCTTTCTGCAATACCTCTTATGATACATCCTAGGCATGTGACTATTTCTAAATTCACTCAAACTATTGTAATTTCCTGAAAATCCTCAACTAGCATTCCTGGGGAAATTCCTTGAGCAGGGACACATGTGCAGAGCAGAGATTTATGGGACTCGTTCTGAATCTGTTGAAGAAATGCAGCCCTGCTCATTCCACAGGGGACAGCTCTGTTAATATTCCAGATATTGCATAAAGCTCTCCAAAACCCTGCAGTTATTGCACTTCAGAGATCCCCAAACTCTAACAGGGCCCACTCAAAGGCGTGTTTTACATTTCACCAGCGTGTTTAGCAGAAAAAAACAAGATTAGAAAACATTAATAAATATAGTGAGCTGATTTTATGTTGGCTGTGTGGGAGTCTGGACTGGAAATTTAATGTGTAAGACATGGAAGGTATGAAAAGATAAGAACCCCAGAGCAGCCCCTCATGACACAGAGTATTTGAAGGAAATAATGGCAAAACGTGTTGCAAGAGTGCACATTTCCCAGGCTTTCCTTTCCCTGCTCAGGCCTTTCCTGGCATTTCAAGTGGCAGCTCTGGGGGGTCAGCAGGGTGTTAATAAAGAAGAATTTAGAAGAATTTCCAAGGGGTGATGGGCCAAGTTCTGCTCTCTTGACCAGAGTTCCACCCCAGCTGGCATTTCTGCTGCTGGGGTGTCTGACCTGGGGCAGCCTGTCTGGGACTGGGGGGAATTCCTCATTCTTAACCCCAGCCTGGGGGCTCCTCCAGAAGGGGGTGTGCTGCTGAGGACAGGACCTTGGGAATATCCCAGTTTTCCTGCAGGACCCTCAGATCTGGGCACTAATGACACAGGGGAAGGTGTCCCTGGCCAGGAGCTGGAGGGGCTCTAAGTCCCTTCCAACCCAAACCCTTCTGGGACTGCCTGCATTAATTAATGCCTCAGTTTGGAGGATAAAGGATGAGAGTGGCTGCAGGAGTGTGAGAAAAATCAGAGAGCTCCGTGTTGAGATAAATGGCCTCTGCAGCCTGGAAAAGGGATTTGCAATATCACCAGTGACTGGGAGGATTAACTGAGTGTCTGCCCCGATCCAGGTGCTGGAGAACACGCCATGAAGTTGTCAGAGGCAGGTTTAAAACACACAAAATAGGCACCTCTGCTCTGCTAAATTGTCTGTGATTTGCAAATTGGCTTTTTTGCTCTCGAGTCAGATGTTTGCTGTGTAGTTCTTACCCCTCACGGAGTATTTTTGCTTTTCAGGGTGTGATTTGCAGGCTCCTTGTTGACTTCTAAGCCCATTCAATTTATATCCCGTGTCCAAATGGATGCAATATTAACTGGAGTGTCAGGTTTTACAGCTGGGAAGGGCTGCAGGTTAAGAAGTGTCAGGGTGGATCCATGAACTGTCTGTGACAGTTTGAAGATGCCTCATACAGACCTTGAAAAATTGCCATGTCAGCCCTGTTGTTTAATATTGACTGTTTTTGGCTGGCTGTGCCTTGGGCAGGGGAGAGCCGTGAATTGGGTGATGATCCTACAGCAGGAGCAGTGCTAGCACTGGGCTGTTGGCCAGAAGGTTTTATCCTAAAGGAAAGGGCTGAGCTGGGGGTGTTTCACAGAGCAGACAAGCTGCAACACCAGACTCACGTGCATAAGGGAATTTTTTTGGAATACCACTGCAGTCAGAGAGGGGATTTGAGCTGGGGTAGAAAGAAGGAACCCAAACCCACAAAAATGAATTTATTGGTTCAGTTCCTGCTTGGCTTGAAGCCTTGTGCCCTGACCCACATCTCTGACATACCTGATGCAATTTGAGGCATTTTTTAATGTCATGTTCATCACTTAAAGCCTCGTAATCCTGGGGATCTTTTCCTTGAAAGAAGAGAAAAACAGCAAGGCACCATATTTGTTAGGCTCTTCATTTTTCACGGAGTTCAGCAGCATTTTCCTCAGCCCATATTTTTTGGGGATGGGTGGGGATGCTGTATTCTCTGGTGGTGATTTCTGATCAGGATTTCTGACCTGCTCTCCTCGTTTCCCCGCGCTGCCAGGACGGTGCCTCAGAGCATGGCCCTGTGTATCCTGCCCTTGGGAGGGGCTGGGTGCAGCCATTCCCTGACAGGAGCTGCTGGATTTGCTTATAACAAGGACAGGCCCTTGTGCTCTGCTCTGCTTCTGCTCGATTTTTAGGTAATTTGGGTAAAAAAGCTGCTGTTCATGCCCAGAGCTTTGAATGTGGAGTGAGCTGCTGGAAGGAAAGTGTCTGATGATATCTGTGAGTCAAGGATGCTGGAGGATTTGCCATCTCCAGCCTCATTTTGAGAGGACAGAGGCTGGGACACCATGGAATCATTTCCCCCTCGCTCACTGAGGCCAGTCCAGCAACACCCAAGGAAAAAACATTGGAACCATTTTCCAGCAGTCCCTGCTGGCTGCTGGTGCCATGCAGGAGGAAATCCATGCAGGGAGCGTTCCCTGGGACTCCTGGCAGAGGAGGAGGCGGCAGGGGGAGCAGGTTGCAGCGTGCTGGCCCCCAGTGTGGTTGTTATTATGTTTTATGTGGTTCTGAGGGGTAATGGGGACCAGATGACGGCGTGGATGGAAAAGCTCATTGCTCCCCTGCAGGGCTCACCCCTGCTCCGGCCTGATGGATTCCAGCATTCCATCACCCAGCCCCTGATTGGGAACAGATGGGCCTCGGGTCCTGCAGGGGATCACAGAGCTGGGCAGGCTCGGGAGAGTGTGCCCAGGGAGCAGCAAGCATGAGCTGGCATTGCAGACACCAGGGCTGGCATTGCAGACACCCCAGGGGTCAGGGAGGCAGGGCCATGGCAGTGCCACTGCTGGGGGTGGCAGTGTCAGTGTTCAGGATGGCAGTGCCACTGCTGGGGATGGCAGTGCCACTGCTGGGGATGGCAATGCCAGCACTCAGGATGGCAGTGTCACCGCTGGGGATGGCAGTGCCAGCACTCAGGAGGGCAGTGTCACTGCTGGGAATGGCAGTGCCACCGCTCAGGATGCCAGTGCCATCGCTCAGGATGGCCGTCGTGCTCCTGGTGATCCACGTTGTCAGATCAAGGAGAAATTCCCAGTGCCACAGGCAGTGTTGGGAATGTGCCCAGCTGTCCCCTGGCTGCCCTCACACACGTGTGGCACATCCTGGGGCCTCACAGCTGCCCTGGGAGCAGGCTGCTCTCCAGGTGGGCTTCACCTGGCACTGGGACACTCCTGTGGGTGGTGGCATCAACCAGAGGACTTACTTGGAGCAACCTCTTGGTCTAGGGGAAGGAAGGGGAGTAGAACAAGAGCTTTCAGGCCCTTCCAACCCCATCTGTGATTCTGGGATGATTTTATGGCTTCTGAGCTCCTGGATTTGCCCCCTGGATGTGGAGTCTGTGCTGAGTGCCCCATTGATGGTGTCCACCCCCATTACAGCCCTGCCTTCTCTGCTGGTGTTGGTGTAACTCACACCTTGGACTGAGTTGTGCCCTGCACACAAAGTTAGTGGTGTTAAGAACAATATAAAGCAGCATTTCTTGAAGCTGCTTGCTTTAAAAATTGCCCTCTCCTCCTATAAATGTATTTATTGTTTGCATACTTTTTGTAACCCAAACTGAAGAGGTCAGGCAAAGGAAACTGAGGAAGCTGAAAAAGCTTAAACCCAAAATTTAAGAAGTTGCATCCATCTCTTATTGGTTCCATGTTTATGCATGGGTTTGATTCTATTCAGGAAATTTATGAGCATACTTTTACTCCTATTAACAGATTTCATTTAATAGTAAAGGATCAGCAATGTAAATCAAATAACACATTAATTGTTCCCAGAGCCAGTGACTCTGTACCCTCCTGGTTCAGCCCAGCATGTGACGCTGGAATAGGTAACAATTAACAGCTCTGCTGACATTCTTCTGTTATATTTTGTTCCTTTTCCCCAGGCACAACCACTCAGTTGTGAACTTTAAAATTGCAACATATATCCCCTTGTTTCCTGTAGGAGAAAGGAGTTGTTGCTTATTCCCTGGCTGGAAGGCAGAGACACGCCAAGAGCTGGGCTGAGAAATGTTCCTTGGCTCAGGAACGTTTCCTTGGGGTCTTGATCAGCCTGCTGGGCATTTGGTGACTCTGTGGGTGGGTTTGTGTCTTGTGATGCTCTTCACATGTTCTCGTGTTTCAAAATCCTTTTCTTGTGGTACTTGGACTCTCCTGCCAAGGCTGAGGAAGGAGGAGAACCTGGCAGGTAATGAAAGGATAGGAGAAACTGGTGTTAAACTGCCAGAGGGCAGGGGTGGATGGGATATTGGGAAGGAATTCCCGGCTGGGAGGGGCTGGGATGCAATTCCCAGAGCAGCTGGGGCTGCCCCTGGATCCCTGGCAGTGCCCAAGGCCAGGCTGGACAGGGCTTGGAGCACCTGGGACAATAGAAGGTGTCCCTGCCCACGGCATGGCTGAAATGAGATGATATTTAAAGTCTCTTCCAACCCAAGGCACTCCATGACTCCATGGTTCTGCTGAACTGGAATAACTGATATTCCCTGAATTGGAATAACTGATATTCCCTGTCAGAGGTGGATCCTGCTGGTTCATCAGGAGCTGCTGAAAGCTGCACGTAGCAAACGTGGGCTGCTGCTCAGCAGTGCCAAACCCAGCACATCAAACAGAGCAGAGCAGCCCTGAGGAGCTGCTCAGCTCCTTCCAGAGCCTGGGAGATGGCTGGAAGGAGCTTTCTGCAGTGCTAGTGACAAATGAGTGCTGCAGTTTTCCAGGAACGTCGTGCTCAGCCAGCCAGGGCCCCGCTCTGGAGCTGCCGTTGATTTTGGCACGTGTCCTCAGCCCCCGTGTGCTCCTCAGTGCCACCACAAAGCCTTGCTAAGCACTTTCTCCATAGATCCTTTGCCATTTTTTACCTGCAGCATCCGGGAATGTCCTTCCCAGCCCACCAAACAGATCCCACCTGGGAGCCTTTTCTCCCCAGGGGCCCTGCCCCTGCTGCTGCCAGGTTTTTTGCCAGTCCATGTGTTTGTAACCAGGAGAGTCATGGCTGTGTTCAGGGAAGAGGAAGGACAAGCTGCCCGCTCCTCTTCGCCATGCTTTGGGGTCATTTTTAGCTAAGAGTCATTTCCCATCTTGAAACATCAACTTTTCACACACATGGCCCCAGGCCAAGCCTGATTTCTGCTTGAGTGCATGAGTGAAGGTTATTTTAGCATCTGTGAGGGGTCTGCAGTTTGGAGGAGCATCTGTCAGCAGCCTCCTTGGAAATGTCACTGTGTGCTTTCATGTGCCCCAGGATCCAGGATGCCTCTAATTAACCCCTCTGGCTTCCCAAACTCCTGTGTTACAGTGAACACGAGCGCTGGCAGGTTTGGGTGAGAGCTGGCAGGTGTGGGTAGTGAAACTCAAGTTTTCCCCATAGCCAGTAATCCAAGTGTGTGCATTTTATGCCACAATCCAAGAGAAGTGGATTCATGCCCCGTTTTTCCCTGTGGGGTGTGTTGCTCATGGGCCAGCCATGCAGGGATGTGACTCAGTCTCTTGCTGTCCTGGTGAGTCACCAGGGGAGAAGGGGGAAGGAAGAAAAGGCTCAAAGAAAATCTCCTAACTGGAAAAATGACTTGTGACTTTGGAGAAAACGTGAGTAAGCAGAGAAGGTTTCTGGATCTCCTGACAAGGAGAGGCTGAGAGCAGAGGCAGCCTGTGTGTCCACAACAGGCAGGCTTGAAATGCTTGGTTTGACACTTTCCATCTCATCAAGATGTGAATGCATAGGACGGAAATGTAATAAATTCAGTATTTTGTGTGAAGGTGTGACATGTGAGGAATGAGTTTACCAGAGGCACAAAAGGATGCCTTGCTAGAACAAAGTGCTAGTGTCACAGATTGTCACTGAAAATGCAGAAAATCTAAAAGTGGGATGTTGGATCCTGCCAGAAATGCTGCAGAGAGGCCAGGTGGCTGTGAGGCTGGGAGCAAACCTCCAGAAGCTGGCAAGGGGAAACCATTTTATCATCCTCTGAAAAAGCTGTTTGGGTTTGCTGAGGAAATGGCTTCACATGGACAGAGGGCAGGGATGGATGGGAGATTGGGAATTGGGAATTCCTGCCTGGGCTGGGATTGCCAGAGCAGCTGTGGCTGCCCCTGGATCCCTGGCAGTGCCCAAGGCCAGGCTGGACACTGGGGCTGGAGCACCTGGGACAGTGGGAGGTGTCCCTGCCAGGGCAGGGGTGCCACTGGGTGGGATTTAAGGTCTTTCCAACCCAAGCCATTCCATGATCTCTAGCATTTTGCAAAAGCAGAACTGTGCATCTCAAGGGCTCCATTTCCAGTTCCAACCATCACCTCCACAGGGATCCAAAAGAGTCAGCCCCACCTGGCTGGGCCTGCTAGGGCAGGGGTTTCCAACAAACATTTTAAATAGGACAAGGGACACGCAGTTTGGATGGGCCTGCTGGTTTGACATCCCAAACACATCAGAAAGCACAAGGACTGAACAGCCTGGCTGGGCTGGGCTGCCCCTCCTGCATTTGGCAGTAAAGGGTTACTGGGTGAGATGTGAAGCACTGAACACTGAATTTCTCTCTTTTCTAAGGGTGCAGACCCATCAGTGCCCTGCTGGCTGCAGGAGTGCCCCAAATCCTGAGGGGAATGTTTTCCCACGTGGCTCTGGCACCCCAGCACGGGCACTGAGTTTCCTCTCTGCTCTGTAGCTGATTTTTACACCCCATGTTTGCCTTTGCAGATACTGTCCAAAGCTGTGTGGCAAAGCTGTTCTTCAGCTGTCCCCTGAAGGGCCACTACTGCCTGTACAGCAAGTCCAGCTTCACCCTGGTGAGCCAGCAGCCTCCCCTCTGGATCCACATCATGTTCCTGTTCCAGCAGGTGAGGGCCACACCAGCCAGGGCCCTCTGGGCTCTCCTGGGCCACTTGCACAAGAATGTTTCACGGTTAACTCATTAAATGCACCTCTAGCTCTCAGCCATTTGTGACCCTGGTGGTCCCTCAGGAACTCGTTCCACTGGGCTGAAGTTGTTTTGTGCTTTTTAAGTTTTTATGTTTCTGTTAAAGACCCCAAATTCAAACTGGCTGGGGAGTTTACAAAGTCTGGGGATAAAAAAGTGGGACCAAAGCATATTGTTCTTATTCAGGCAAAACTTGCAGGTGCCTAGGAAGCAGCCAGGAGTTGGCAGTGGATTTTAGGGGAGCAGCACCAACCCCAAGGCTGCAGCAGGAGGTTGGAGGGGCAGGACCCACTGGGGTTTTACTGCAGAGGTTTGGACTGAGCAGAATTTGTAAATCAGCCCAGTGCTGTTCTACCACCCTTCAAATGATTTTCTTGTATTTAATATTGTTTCCAAGAACAGCCCAGTACTTGCACATGTGTGGAATTTCCTAGCAGGTTTCAAATAGTGTGAAACTAAGAGAGAAGTCAACATTCACACTTCAAGATGCAACAGGTGGGGTTTGAGCTGAAATACAATGTTCAGTTTCTTAACACACACAGAGCCTTTCACTGCAGTTCATCCCACCCTAAGGCAGCCTTGGGAACAGCCAGGATTTGTCCAAAATTCACACAGTGAGGGATGCTGTGGATGGAACAGCCTGAATTGCTCTGCCCTGTGTGTTTTCCTAGAAATAAATACTTTTCAAGAACATTGGTCAGTTCATTTAAAAAATAATAATGGAGAGTTCTACTGTGTTTCCAAACTCTTGGATAGAAATTGGGAAATTATTAGTGCAGGACAGCAGGATTAGGCTGGATGGCTTTGCTCAGACAGAGGAGACAGAAAGTCCATCCAGCCTAAAGTCCATCCAGGAATCCCACATTTGAAGGACATTGCCCATATTGTGAAATCAAATATTTGCTGTATGGAAATTCAGGTTTGTTGTGCACTCTTATCTTGGCTCTGGTGTGTGAATGCATTCTTTAATTAAAAGATCAAGGAGGAGATGGAGGAGAGAGAGGCACAAATGTTCTCAGCCACAGTGCTGCTGTGCCCCTGCTGTGTGAGCAGGGGTGCCACAAAGAGCTCGGGCTGTTGGAATGCCAGGGTCACCCACGGTGCTGGCAGCTTGGAGCCTCACTGTCCTTTGGCTCAGGGAGCTCTGGAGGGGACAGCACCCGCCCAGCAGGGTGGCATCCTGTCCTGTTCAGGAGCTGAAAGCTCCTGCACTCCGTGCTGGGAGTGTCCTGTGCGTTCTCCCTGCTGAGCTTCATCTGCCCTCTGCCCAGGGCACTCACAAGCCCTGCTCTGCTGCTCAGGGACTGAGAGCTGCAGGGCTCCAAACGAGCTCACACAGCCCTGCAGGGTGTGGGGCACCTCCTCCCTCTGCCTGGCAATGCCGGGTTTTCCCAGGGGGTGCAGCTCCCCCAGGTCTCTGTGTGGTGACAAATTCACATTTCAATACAGAACCAGGTCGTGTAGTGGCCCTTGAAGGGGAATCCTCAGACCTCAGAGATGTACAATAACCTTCAGAAGCCCAGAGGAAATGAGATGTTTGATGTTGTGAGCCCACTGATCCATCAGAACTCCCTGGGCAGAGCTGGCTCACCCCTGGCTGTTCTCCTGGCTGTCCCACTGGGAGCACAAGATGCTTTTTGGTAACAGCTGAGTGAAAAAACACCTGAAATCATTCCCAACGTCTTCTGCAGAGCCTGTTGGCAGAACCTTTGTCCCTACAAAGCAGCTCTGTGCAAGTCCTGAAGGCCCTGTGGGAGAAGACTCAGCTCAAGGGCACGCACAGCTTTGAGACTGCCATGATCCAGTGCACCTTCCCCCACCAGAAGGTAAGGGGTTACTCTCCTCACTGATTAAAAGAGCAGGAGGACTTGGCCTGCACTTGGGAACCTTTGCTCTGTTCAGGGTGTTCTGTGCTGTGCTCTGAAGGGTGCCAGGCTGGTTCTGCACCCCTCCACTGAGCTGGCCCATGGCACGAAGAGCAGGGATGCTGCACGTGGGTTTGTTCCTGCTCAGGCTGCAGCTCTAGGCTCAGCTCAGCTGCAGCCCTTGGAAGTTCACCCAGCTGAACACAGCCCTGGATTTGTGGAGTTATTTGTCTGCACATGTGCCATTAGTTACCCCCGTGAGCTGAAGGGATTGCAGCCCAAAGCTCTTTTCTGCCTCCAGGATTTCAGTGAATGCTCTTTCCAAGCCATTAATCAGCTGCTTGGAAAAGGCCACTGTAGGATTGGAAAACAAATATCTATTTATTCCTGGGCATCTCCATCCAGCTCAGTTGGATGAAATGAGTTGTCAAACATGATTTTACAACACTCTGTCTCAGAATATTGTGGGCACGAAGATGTCTGGTGGAACATGATTAAATTACCAAGGTTATGGCTGATTTAAAACCAGAGTTTTGTTAGGAGCACCTTCTGAACTCCCAGCACAATGTGGTGAAGAAGTGGGGACGCTTGCTGGGGCTCAGAGGAGTGGGGACCCCCACATCTGAGAGCAGCTTTGGGGCCAGTTTTCCTCACACCCAGAGGAGCTGTGCTAAGGACTTGAGCTGCTGTTGAGTCCAGGCCTGGCTCATCCAGAGGCTTTAGAGCAGCTTTGCTGCTTAGCACAGGCTTAACTTGAGCCCCTGGCAAGCTCCAGTCACCCAAAGGCAGAGCTGGTGCAGAGAGAAGGGTTTGGGGGAGCACAGAGCTCAGGGCAGAGCTGGGTGTGGGACCAGCCCCAGCTCAGGGGGTCTGCAGGGCTGCAGCCCTGGCACTGCTCAGGTGCAGGAGTCCAGGGCATCTGCAGGGCTGCAGCCCTGGCACTGCTCAGGTGCAGGAGTCCAGGGGATCTGCAGGGCTGCAGCCCTGGCACTACTCAGGTGCAGGAGTCCAGCCTGCCTGGGAGCTTTCCTCACTCCATGGCAGTATCTCGGGCTGGGGTCTTGGTTTCTTTTTTGCCAGGGTTGGGATTAAATGTGTGAGATATTTCTTGTTGGGACTCAGATGTTTATCAGTTCTTATCCATGGCACAGTCTCACAAACCCTGAGCTCTACAGCACTTCACTCCAACAAACTGAAACTGAAGCTGTCTCTCTCTCTCCAAGGCTTTTGAAGGATAAACTGTCCAATTAAGAAATGACACCTCAATTATTTCTACTTTTAACCCAATAACCAACCACCTGTGCCCGCAATGTGTCTGCTATATTTGAGACTAAGTTTATGCATTGTGTTCTGGTAGAGTCTGAAATGCTTGTTCAGGGGAGGATTGGATATTGGGAAGGAATTCCTGGCTGGCAGGGTGGGCAGGCCCTGGCACAGGGTGCCCAGAGCAGCTGTGGCTGTCCCTGGATCCCTGGCAGTGCCCAAGGCCAGGCTGGGCAGGGCTTGGAGCAGCCTGGGACAGTGGAAGGTGATACATTTTTTTCTAGTATGGATTCTAAAGCATTTTTCAAACCTGGAGAGTGATGTATGACATCAGTGCTTCACTCCAGACTGAATTCTGAGAAATGCCTTCAGCTGTGGTGATCCCTGGAGCTGCAGCCAGGGCCTGGCTCACACAGAGCTCGCCGTGTTCCACTGGGCAGCCTCTCCGTGCCACAGAAAACATTCATTTATTCATTCAGCACGCCTCCAGATGTGCCAGGAGCAAAGCACTTCCAGATGTGGATGCTCCCAGGTTGCCTGGGCTCTCCAGAGCTCCTTATCAAAGCCCTGTGTGTGCCCAGCCCAGGGCAGCTGGCTGAGCTCTCCTGTGCCACCTGCCCCATGGCAGCCCTGAGGGGGTGACTGCTGTGCTGGCCCCAGGTGATGCCCTCGGGGATCCCTTTGTTACTCAGCTTTTAGGAGCAGAATTAACAGTTTTGGGGCGCTCTGTTCTCCCCTCTCCTTCCTTGTGCCATGTTGGCACAAGGGGCTCTCTGAGCTTTCAGGTGATGGAGCAAGGGGATGAGATAAATCTCTCCTCTCCAGTGAGAGGAGAGATTTTTCCCTCCTGAAATAAGTGGCTCCTTGCAGGTTATTTCAAGTGGGCTGGAATGCAGGGTGGATCATGCATGGGCCATGTCCCCAGGTCCACACAGCTTTAAACCCCTCCTGTGACTCCACCACTGCCCTGGGCAGGCCTTTCCATGAAGAAATTTTCCCAATATCCAATCTGAGCCTCCACTGGGAGCCATTTCCCCTTGTGCTGTCATTTATTACTTGGAAGAAGAGCCTGACCCCCTCTGGCTGTCCCCTCTTGTCAGGAGCTGTGCAGAGCCACAAGGTCCTCCTTGAACCCCCTTTTCTGCAGGCTGAGCCCCTTCCCAGCTCCCTCAGCATGTCCTCATCACTCTCATGTTCCAAGGTGGTTCAGCTGTTGGGAAAAGTGCTGGGCAGGCTGCTGACAGGGGCATGGAAGAGGAAAAACAAATCCCAGACTGTCCCAAATCCATAATTCATGGATCAGCTGCTCGTGCTGGTGGAGAGACCTGTCCTGCCCAGCCCAGTGCCCAGCTCAGTGCCAGTCCTGCCCAGCTCAGTGCCCAGCTCAGTGCCCTGGCCCCTGTCCCTCTGCAGCAGCCATGGGAAGGACCCCCTGTGTCCCTCTGGATTTGGGGTTCCGGTGCTTCTTCACCTCATGAGTTTGGTTTGTCTCCTTCCCTCCCAGGAGCTGGAGAACGTTCAGATGCACCTGGAGGAAGTGAGGTTCTTTGATTTGTTTGGCTACAGCGAGGAGGCAGGAGCCTGGCAGTGCTTCATGTGCAACAACCCCGAGAAGGCAACAGGTACAGAGGGGTCCTGCCCTGTCCCTGGGGGCTGCAGTGCCTGCAGTGAAGCTCACTGCTCGTGCTGGGTGTCTGGCCATGGTGGGAAAAGGGGAAACCAAACTTTCCAGTGGCTATTTTAGTTGGAATTCTCCATTAAACTCATCTTTGGTGAGGGAATCAGGACCAAGGTGTGTGCTTAGAGGGACACAACCCCAGATCTGCACCATCACTGAGCCCTGGGGAGTGGGAGGGCTCTGCACCCACCCTCCAGTGTCCAGATACAGGATGGCACCTCCTGGACACATCCCAGCTCCTCTGGAGCCCACCCAGGTGCCACAAGTCAGGGCACGCTGGCACAGAAACAACACCTGGTTCCTGCTTCCTTCACTCTCAGAATGATTTGCTTTAGTACAATTTACTCCACAGTGCACACCCCCTTAGGGACATGGTGATCAAGTCTTCTAAAGGCAAAATACTTCAGCTGTGTTGGAAAAGAGGGTGAGTGGGAAATGGGGAAACCCAGCCTTTTTCCCAGGTATAAGCCCTGCTCTTGAAGCTCTCTAGCAGCCAGCAGTGCCAGATCAGTGCCCTGACAGGCAGAGGAATGTCTTGTTCTCGGATGCTTTCTGCCACTCCATAAAAGTCTGACCAGTCCTGGCCAAGAATTTGGACTGTTCTGGCCAAGTGTTTGAATAATTGGCTGTTTCAGAGATTTATTCTAACAGTTATTGTCTCTTCAGCCTGCATCAACCCCGAATTTAGGAAGTCTTGCAGGAGTGGCCAGCTGCTGCTGCAGGCTGCGCTGCCCCTGCTCATTCCATGGCTGTCTGAGCATCTTCTCCTTCCCCTGGGACTCCAGGACCAGGACAGAAACCCTACTCTCAGTGAAATCTTCATTTCCACAGAGCTCCTTCCCCATCACGTCAGGGATGTTGAGCTATGAGACTCTTGCTTAAAATGTCAAAGCTTAATGAAGCAACTTTGGTTGAATTCCCAAAGACATTTAAGCAGTCCAGCCTTGCCTCACTCCTGCTCTCCTGGCTGTATCTGTCCTGTGCATCAGCAGTTGCTCTCCTTGTCTCACTTTAAAAGAATTTTTGTAAGAAAGGCTCATTGTGAGTATCATGATTTGCTTCTGAGCTCCAAAGGCCTTTAGAAAACCAAGAAAATAAATTCCCTGAATGGGTCATGTGAAAGCTGAGGAAGGTGGCGTGGAAGAGGGAACTCAGTGGAATAAAAATTTGCAGGGAGTGACAACTCCACCTTTGTATTGGTGCTGCAGAGCTGTGGCAGCTGGGAAGGCTCGTGGCAGAGTGGGAGAACCCTGCAGGGTCTCTGGGTTTGTAGGGTCTGGCACAAGGGAGGATTTGGAGGTCTCCTTGAATTGGTAAGGAATTTAAAGGCTGTGAAATATCTTTTATTTTCATTCCAGGGTGAAAGACTCTTTGAAATCTGAAATACTTGTTGAGAGACAAGAAAGCAACTTCTTCCTCTCAGCAATTCTGTTTAGCAACCAAATTCCTGTTGAAGAAGGAATTCAGAGGCAAAATTGTTTTCTATTATTGTCTGCTGGGTTTGCTTCATGTGGGGTTTTGTTGCATTTTTTGGATGCCGTGGTGCAAGATGCCATTTATCCTCCAGACTTGGGCAAACACTGCCTTAAAGCCCTGGCCTTGCCTTGGGATGGGATTGCCAGAGCAGCTGTGGCTGCCCTGGATCCCTGGCAGTGCCCAAGGCCAGGCTGGACACTGGGGCTGGAGCACCTGGGGCAGTGGGAGGTGTCCCTGCCATGGCATGGCTGGGGTGAGATGATTTTTAAGATCCTTTTCAGCCCAAAGCATTCCATGTTTCTGTGATTCCTTTTTGGCCGTAGCTGGGAGGGATTTTGGGACTGGAAGCTGATCCTGACTGGAAAGAACTGAAGCAAAGTCACACAGTGGCTCCAGTGACAACTGGAGAAAGTTTGCCATTCCATGTTTTTGTGATTCCTGTTTGGCCGTAGCTGGGAGGGATTTTGGGGCTGGAAGCTGATCCTGAGTGGAAAGAACCAGTTAAGCTGAAGCAAAGTCACACAGTGGCTCCAGTGACAACTGGAGAAAGTTTGACTCCTTCTCGTGCATTCTTGTGGTGCCAAAGCACATCTTGTACAACCACACTTGTCCAGAAGTGCTGTTCACTCACCCTGGACTGGCTTTTCCTGCCCCTGAGGAGCAGCATTCCCACAACCCTGCTGCTCTGCCCTGGCTCAGGGGAGGAACAGCAGCTCACAGTGTCCTGTGCTCCATTCCAGCACAGGCAGCAGGCACCTGGAGTGCTGGAAAGCGCCAGGATTGCTCCTGTTGGGACAAGCTGCCTGCTGGGAGCCTCATTCCAGCACAACCCCCTGGACTGGGAGCTCGGCTCCACCAGCTCTTGCACAAAACATTCCACAAAACCACCGGAGAGCCCACGAGGGAATTGAGGGAATTCCAGCTCCTTCCCCCCTCTGGAAGCTCACAAAGACAGGCAGGGATCCCTGGGGGCTGCAGAGGAGCCATGGGCAAGGATTTGGGATTGGGGAAAAACTGAGGGTGTTTGGGAATGCCTCTGGAAAACTGCAGCTCCCTGGGAAAGCCAACACCACCTTCACTTGGGAATTCATTTATGCCCCTCCTGCAGTGCCAGCTATCCAGAGAAATGAAGGAGCCCAGCTCTAATCCTCACTGGAAAATCATAAAAAGTGGCATCCAGTGATGTGTTCCTTCCAGGTTTTCAGCAAAACCCAGTGTGGTGATTAATGGAAGAGAGCGAATCCATATTCCCCGAGGTTAATTGCATTTATCTGCCACACATTCCATTCTTTCAAGTTCATAGGGGTTTATTATCACTGAGATCATTCACGAATTCTTGTGGAGGATTTTATGTTTCATCAAATTCAAGATTTAAAGCTTTGGGTTTTATCTGTCTCAAGTTCATCTTGGAAGAGTTTGGAGGGTTTTTAACTTTTTATTCAGTACCCAAACTACTTAGAGCTGGATGTGTTGTAGTTCTGCAAAGAAAGCAAGATGGAAAGTAGAAAATTCCAACAGACGCATCAACAGGAACTACTTAGGGTTAAACTGGAGTCAGTGTGTCTATATTAAGATGATTTAAGAAAAAATAGGTGTTTCAAGACCTTTGGATATTTCATGACCTTTTCAAACTGAAAGGGGAGAGATTTAGAGGGGATATTGGACAGGAATTGTTCCCTGTGAGTGAAAGCTTTCCCACCGTGAGGATATCAGCACTGGCACAGCTTGCCCAGAGATGTTGTGGAGATTTTTCAAGTCCCACGTGGATAAATCCATGAGCAGCCCAGTCTGACCCCGTGGGTGACCTTGCTGGGAGCTGGAGGAGAGACCCCTCGAGCTCTACTCCAGATGAGCTATTCTGGGATTCTGTGAAGTCAACCGCAAGGAAAATAAGCAGAAGGACTTAGAAAAACATTGGAAAAGAGCTTTATTCTTATCTTGCTTGAATCTCTCTCCTAATCAGCCCCTCAGACACGCTGGCATCGGATTCATTACGGCCACTTTGGAAGCTGCCACCAGAACTCCCCCGGGCTCCTTTGTGGATACGCAGGAGAAATCCTCTGGTAGCACTGCCTAAAGCCACTGGCTCCTTACAACATTTCTTAGCAGATCCTGGGTTTGAAAGATTTTGGCCATTAAAATTCACTTTAGGCCAAAATTGCACATTCACTTCCCTTCTCATGTTGTGCTCCTGACCACAAACTATCTCGGTACCATCTGGTCCCTGAGCCTTTTGTGCTTTACCCCTCTTAGTTTGGTTGAAACGTATTCCTACGGCTCTGGAATGGGATTGAAGACGTTCCTGTGGAACCAGGAGCCAGGCAAGGAACAATATTTAACAAAATTACAAAGTTTTTAGTACAGGGGACACTAAAGCGTGGTTCTGTCCCACTAAAGAGCCTGTGGGGAGAGGGTGCAGCCCAAACCAGCCTCCTGGGAAATGTATCCCCTTTTGCAGTGACAGTATTTATACAGGGAAAAAGCAACCCTGTGCTTTACTCTGTCCCACGCCAGGCTGGGTGCTGTGTTTGGTGCTGGCACAAAAATATCCAGAAGAGCTGTGGAATCAGGGCTGAAGGGGCTGCGTGGAGCAGAGCACGGCCTGCTCCTGCCCTGGCAGTCACAGCTGCAGTTCCCCCCGGCACTGAGGCTCTGCCAACCCCCTTTTCATTCATCCATCTCCTTCCAAGCGCTCCCTGCCTGCAGAGACAGAAATATTTATGGTCTTTCCTGAGGAAATTGCACGAGTCCACGCCGCACCCCCGGCAGCCTCGCTGCCAAGGAAAACAGCGCTGGGGGAAGGACACATCCTTTATCTACAGCTGATGCCTTGTCTTGGCCTTGGTTTGCCCTCTTGCAGACAGGCGCTGGGTGCCCAGGAGGCCATAAAGCCTTTGGCACTCCCTTGGGTGGCACTTGGGCAGCCCTGGGCTCGGGAGCTGCCGATGGCAGTGAAGGCTTTCAAGGAAAAGCAGTGCTGGAGGGACAGGGGGGCTGGGAGAGCAGCCAGCCAGGGATCACTGCCCCTCTGACAGATGCTGGGATGGGCTCCAAGGCAAACACCCCATCCAAAAACATCCCTGCTCACACTGCCTGTGCCTGCACTGCCCTCTGCTCTAGCTGGTCCTTTGTGTCCCAGCCGTCGATGGAAAGATAGAAGAGAAAGGAAAAAGGGACCCCAGGAGATATCAGGGCTTTAAACTGCCAGAGAGCAGGGTTAGGTGGGGTCCTGGGAAGGAATTCCTCCTGGGATGGTGGGAGGCCCTGGCACAGGGTGCCCAGAGCAGCTGTGGCTGCCCCTGGATCCCTGGCAGTGCCCAAGGCCAGAAATGGGTACTGCAGGGCTGGGAGGTGCAGTGGTGGGGAGAAGTTTGGGATGGCTGAGGGAATAGCAGAGATGGAAGAGGGGTGTGAGCTGTCAGCTCCATCTGTCTGGCCTCTCCAGCAGGACATGGCTGAGCTGTCTGTTGGAGTGAGAGCTGAATGCTGGAGGCTGGGAGAATGAGGAAGGCAGAACAACCTTCCTGCAGCACGGCAGAGCCTGTGGCTGGGGAACAGGGAGGGCAGGACCAACCCTGGCCGTGTGCTCCCCTCCCCAGGCATCAACCAGGACGGGCAGCCCCTGATGGAGGGCAGGCTGAAGGAGAAGCAGGTGCGCTGGAAGTTCATCAAGAGGTGGAAAACGCGCTACTTCACCCTGGCTGGCAACCAGCTGCTGTTCCGCAAGGGCAAATCCGTGAGTCCAGAGCAGCCCTGAGCCCTCCCTGCCCTGCTCCCGGGGCTGCAGCCCTCAGACCTGCCCGTGCTGCTGTTCCCAGGGGCTGGCACCCCTCAGCTTCGCCCGTGGTGGTGTTCCCAGGGGCTGGCACCCCTCAACTTCGCCCGTGCTGCTGTTCCCAGGGGCTGGCACCCCTCAGCTTTACCTGTTCTGCTCTTCCCAGAGGCTTTCATCCCTCAGCTTTATTTGTTCCGCTCTTCACAGAGGCTGTCACCCCTCAGCTTTGCCTGTTCTGCTTTTCCCAGAGGCTTTCATCCCTCAGCTTTGCCTGTTCTGCTTTTCCCAGAGGCTTTCATCCCTCAGCTTTGCCTGTTCTGCTCTTCCCAGGGGCTGTCACCCCTCAGCTTTACCTGTTCTGCTCTTCCCAGAGGCTTTCACCCCTCAGCTTTGCCCATGGTGGTGTTCCCAGAGGCTTTCATCCCTCAACTTTGCCTGTTCTGGTTTTCTCAGGGGCTGTCACCCCTCAGCTTTGCCTGTGGTGGTTTTCCCCCTCACAAAGTGCATGGCAGGAGACAGCAAGGGCAGCCAGAGTGCTGCCCAGGAGCTGTCACTGCTGGGTCCCCAGTTTTCAGGGGACATAAAGACCATCTCATTCTATCCCCCTGCCAGGGCAGGGACACCTTCCACTATCCCTGGCTGCTCCAAGCCCCTTGGACACTTCCAGGGACAGGGCAGCCACAGGATGTGGCAGCAGCAGCTGGTGACACCTGGGAACATCTCCACAAAGAAGGAGGAGTTCACAGAATCCCAGGGTGGTTTGGGCTGGAAGGGACCTCAGAGCTCCCCCAGTGCCACGGCAGGGACACGTCCCAGTGTCGCAGCCCTGTCCAGGCTGGCCAGGAGCCAGGGCGGTTTGTGAGGCCGCGTTCCTGGGCGGGTGACCCTGCCTGTCCCCTGTGTGCAGAAGGACGACCCCGACGAGTGCCCCATCGAGCTGAGCAAGGTGCAGAGCGTCAAGGCGCTGCCCAAGAAGCGGCGGGACCGGAGCCTGCCGCGGGCCTTCGAGATCTTCACGGACAGCAGGAGCTACGTGCTCAAGGCCAAGGACGAGAAGAACGCCGAGCAGTGGCTGCAGTGCCTCAACGTGGCCGTGGCCCAGGCCCGCCAGCGCCACAGCCGCGAGGCCACCACCTACCTGTAGGCCACCAACGCCCGCGGGACGGCCACCAGGCCACCAGGCCACCAGGCCACCCCCAGCTGTGGGCACAGCGGCAGGGAGAGCTGCCTGCACAGCCACCGCGCCTGAGGGACACCCGCCTCCATGGGGACACTGCCCCCGGAGCAGCTGCCAGCCTCCATGGGGAATCCAGGGCTTCTGCAGCCAGGGAATGGGGTGAGACACCCAGCCTCAGGTTGTGACACTGCCAAGAGAATGCCAGCAGTGAGGACTTGCTGCTTTCCTCAATCAGCTCGGTGTGCAAAGTTAATTTGCCTTATTTAATCCTGGTGGACTTTATCCTTTTGTTGTTTGTATGTGTCCTGCTGCTGCTTTCAGGTTTAAATTGGGAAATTTGAAAGATTTTGTATGGCTGGAGGATAATTTTAAATATTTAACTGGTTTGATTTTCCCTTTTTCCTGCTTTTGCTCTGCTTTATAATTGAATGTAATTTTTAAACTTTCCCTTTTTTTTCCCCTAATTCTCTTCTCCATTCTGTAACTTTTCAAAATTTCTGCAAATCTGGAAAATTCCCAGTTTGTTTGATTTTCTTTGTTACTTTCAAATTATTCCAAAGTGGAGGAAGTGCTGTAGCCTAAAAGCAAAAGGGGAGGGGGGGAAGAATGAGAAATCTGCAAGTGAAGAAATGAGCCCAGAGATCATTCAAGGCTGAGTAGAAATAAAACTTGAAATTTTCCGACCTAGCAAAATATATCTTTTGCAAAAAAATGTTGCCAGAAATGTGGAAAAATGAAGCAAAAACTGCTTTTTCCTGCACCTTCCACTCAGTGGATGCAGGGCTGGAGCAGGGATGTTGCTGGCCTTGCCCAGTCTGGCTGTGCAGAGTGTGAGGAGGAGGAGGATGGCCTGAGGCTGGAAAGGGAGTGGAGGGAGTGGGACCTGAGGGATCTGCCAGGGTGGTTTGGTTCCTGCTCCCTTGCTGTGGCTGCTGCACAGGTTTCTGGCTCAAAGCTGGGAATGTTGTCCCACGAAATGCAAATGTTTGTCCTTGGAGCCTGGTCCCTCACAAGCACTGAGTGTTCCCGGGTTTGTCTCCCTGGCTGCCAGAGCTCTGCTCTTTGTTATCCTAACAGGTGAGATGCCAGTGCTTGGGAATGAGCACTTACCCAAATTAGAATGAGGGAAAATTAATTTCTGGCAGCATTTACCCAAATTAGATGAGGAAAAATTAACTCCTGGCAGCATTTACCCAAATGAATTTCTGTGAGGCCCAGGCAGCAATTTCTGCCTGAGCTCTGCTGCCTGGGCCTCACAGGACTGGCAGCTGCACAGAGAGGTTCTCAGCCTGATCCACCCAAACACCCTCAAACCTCTGGGGAGAAACCCTGGGCCTTGGAGCAAGGAACTGCCACAGCCAGGGAAAGGGAAATCAGGCTGAACTGAGAAGGCTGTTTGCTTTCTCTTGTTTGCTTTCTCCTCTTGGGCTGCCTGCACTCCTGGGCCTCTCTGCGTTCCCCTGCTTGCCTTCTTTCCCCATAACTTTGAATCACTTCCCATTACGGTGGCCCCAGGGGACAGTGGTGCTCCAGGGGACTTGCAGGAAGATGGTGAGGCCACAGGTGGGCTCAGCACAGGGAGTGCAGGGTGGGGAGTAACACCAAAAATACTCAAAACTGGCTCCAGACTTCCCAAAGCTCTTGGGAAAGACGTGAAATGTTCAGATTCCTGAAAATCCTTGTATCAACTAAAACATGGGTGTCAGGTCGTGGAATGTGGCAAAGTGATCACAAGAACCTTGTTAAAGCCAAATTCAGTCACAGAAGATAGGGAAGAGCAGCAGGGCAAGGGTGAGGATGGACACACGATGGGAGATTTCCACAGGAGATCTGGAAGATGAGGAAAGGAGATATTGGAGATATACCTGAACCAACAAATCCTCACCTTGCCCTCAGGACAAACCACTGAGTCTGTGGGGAATGAAGTCAATTCATAGTGAGATCTTGGAATTAATTGCCTTGAGTTCCAGAATCACATCCTGCAATTCACCCTGAGTTCACTGATAACGGGGAGTTGGCCATCAAAAGCAGCTTTTACACCCCAAATATTCTGGGTTTCCTACCCTCGGAGCCAAGCCTCAGCCTGCCACCTCTGAACGATGTCACTGATGTCACGGTGTCACCAGCGTGCTGCACCTCGTGTGTGGCACCAGCACAGCTGTGTCCCTGCTGTCCCCAGGCTTGTCAGCAGGCACTCACAGCCCTCCCTTCAACCCCAGGCTGATGGAGCAATGTGGAATGCTCTGCTCTGCAGCCAGAGGCACCCCAGCTGCCATGCCAGGAAACAGCTCCCTAAAACAGGGAGCCCAGCCACACTTCTCCTGACTTCAATTAAAACTTGGAGGAAAATAAAACAGAAATTCAGCTGGCAGCTTCTTCCAGTCACCCTCCTAAAAGGAGAAACACAGAGATCATCAATGCAGTGTAGAATGAGAGCAGGGAACATCTCAAGCAAATGTATAAATAGCTTTTGTTGGTTCTTTTTCAAAGAACATGTATCGGAACAGTTTGGATTTGAATATTCAAAACATGTTGCATTTAAATATCCAAACCACTTTAGATTTAAGTATCCACAACATTTGGATTTAAATATCTGAACCACTTTAGATGTAAGTATCCAAACCATTTTGGATTTAAATATCCACCAGGAACTCGTTGGTAGCTCTGATTGTGCAGTATTTTCTCTGTTGTTTTGCTCATCCTTGCAGGAACCATCCTGGTCCTTGGCAATGACAGCACTGAGAGCTCATTGAGGGTCCTTGGGCACATCCTGGAAAAAGGGCTGGATGCAAACAACCCCCTCAGAGCCCCCAGCTCCAGGAGTCTGCCATGGAAGAGAGCTCCCAGTGCAAACCAGCACTCCCAGTCCCTTCCACACACTGGGGGCACAGACCCAGCTTTAGGATTCAACCTAAACCAACCCAAAATCTGGCCCTGCTCATTCCTGAATGTGAGCAATTTCCAAACCCTCCAAGTTTCACAGATCAGCACTGCTTCTCTAGGAAACAAATCCTGCCAAATATTGGCTCCCACTCCCACGAGCAGGTTTCTGCAAGGACAATAATCCGTGTTTTCCTGAGGAGCTGATGTCCCCGTGCCTCCTGTGCCCCATCCCGTGCATCCTTCAGGGATCCGAGTCTGGGTGAGAGCGTGGCCTCAGGAGCACCCAAAACTGGGCTCAGCTGGGAACGATCCCAGGGCTCTGGCAGGGAAGGGCTGGCCCACACCTCGGGCTTTGTCACCTCCCCTGGTGCAGGGGCACGGAGCAGGGGAGCAGCTGAGCAGCTGTCCCCTGGCAGGGCGGGAGCAGCGCTGCCTTCCAGCTCTGCAATCCACACAGTCCCAGGGATCTGCTGGGCTGGACCCTGCTGCCAGGGGGACTCAGGCTGGATGGGATTTCCTGGAAATGGGAGCCATAGGCTCCCTGCCTGCCCAGGGCTGCTTTGGGAGAGCTGAGCCCAGCTCCGGGAAGCTTCCCAAGGAAATTTTACCCCACATTCCCCGCTCCATCCCAAACAAAGCGTTCCCCAGCGTGTCTGATGGGCTGGAACAGAGCAGGCAGGGAATGCTGAGGTGTTGCACGCAGGCAGCACGGGGATAAATGGAATAAGCTGGACATTATTTTTCCAGCCGTTCCAATTCCGAGCTCAGCCACCCATGGGACTAACCTTGCCTGCTTCTTGTTGACAAGTCCTCTAATTCATCCCGATGCTGATGACTAATACTCCTTGGGTAAAATCCTTGACCTTGCTGAGGTCAAATGCAAAACTCCTATTAACTCTAATAGGGCCAGGGTTTTCCTTGGATCACTGCGTGTCCTGGTGGTACCTTTGCAGCTTCCTGCACTCCCCAGGCTCGGCCAGCTGCAGGAACACAACCCCTCCCTCCCCACTGACAGACCTCCCCGCTTGGCACCAGCAGCGTTTTGGTGAGAAGAGCTGCTTCCCAAACTTTTAGCAGCATCAGGAGGCAGCTGTGCCTCCAGCAGCCTGCACCGAGGCCATCCCGAGGGACCTGGGGGATGGAACCACCCAGCAAGGTCACTTCTGCTGTTTGGGGGCAGCGACACAATTCCTGCAGCTTCTGTGCTCCAGTGGCAGGAGCAAACAAGAAATGGGGGTGGACTGGGGATTTTTTCCAGAGAAACAATAGAGACATGCCTGCAGCAGTTAGGAGGGGTTTATATTGCACCTGTGAAGGAGCAGGACGTTGATTAATTAGATGTCAAATTACAGCTACATTGAGTTGGCTCAATTATTCCATAAATCTCCCCATTGTCTAATTAGGCAAAGAAAGACACAAAATCAGACTTGATTCATTTGACTGCTTCACTGAAATGACCTGGAACTCTCAAAACAGTTTGTGCTGGGGTTGGTTTTGCCAGGACATGCATGTCCCTGGCTGGCCCCACCTGGGACCCCAGTGCCCAGCCCAGGGTCTCTGTCCCACCCCAGTGATCCCAGTCCCAGCCCCTCCAGGAGACTCCCCAGGCAGCCCTAACAGCTCTCACACTGCTTCAGGACATCAAAAGATTTAGGTTTATTTGCTTCTACAGATGTGGACACTGTAATATAAATGTTGTGTCCATCTTCTCTGGATATCGACTCCCCAGCCCTGGAAGTGTTCAGTGGCGCTTGCACAAACCTGGCATAGAGAAAGATGGCCCTGCCTGTGGAACAAGATGGTCTTTGGGTCCCTTCCAACCCAAACCCTTTTATGATTCCACAAAAATCCTGGCATTTAAGTAACTGCAATTTTCAGGACACACCGAAATCACTTGGGGTTTTTTTTAGGACAGAAGTAAAAATACATTTACACAATAGCTATTGTTTGAGAGCCAAGATTTGCCTCCTGATCTCTGCCCCTGCCCTTCCCTTCCGGCTCCTCCTGAGCAGGAAAATCAGGGTGGACCTTGGTGGCCGTGTGTCCTGGAGGGGATGCATGGGGTCGCTGGGTCGGAGGGGTCCTTCCCAGGCAGGCCATGCCTCTGCTGGCAGTGCCACAGCAGGTGGCTCCTTGGGCTCCGTGGCCACCCCCGGGCACTGCTCAGCCACTGCCTTGGATGTGGTTCCACCACCCAGAGCGTGGGTAAAGGTCACTGAGAATCCAGGATGACAGAAGCAACGCCAATGCCTCGGGGTTAGGAGCAAAATCCCCCAGTTTTCACTGGCAGCTCTTCGTGGAAAAGATGTGTGTGTGAGAGGGTTTTGTTTGTAGGGAGCTTGTAAAGGATAACTTTGCGTCACCACAGCGCTCCCGGCAAAGGCTCCGGGGCTGCCTGTGCTGGAAGCAGCTTTCCTTGGGGGAAACAGCAGCCACGTGTCCAGGGCAGAGCAGGGACCAGAGAGCCCAGGCTGGCTGAGCTGCGGGGCCTCCAGCCCCAGGGAAAACATTCGTGACCAGGGTGTTGTTCTTGCTTTGAAGGACACGAGTGTGAGGATCCTTTGCTCCGGTGCAGGTGGTGTTTAGGCAGCAGCAGAGTCTGTTTTTCCAGCTGTCCATGACTGTGCCTCAGCTCAGAGAGTCACAGAATCCCAGAATGGTTCAGCTTGGAGGGGACCTTAAACACCACCTGGTCCCCAGCTTGCACTGTCCCAGGGTGCTCCAAGCTCGACCAGCCTGGTCTGGGACACTTCCAGGGACAGCTGCTGGTTCCATGAAGTGCCTCTGTGTCCCAGCCAGCAGGGAGCAGGACAATGCCAGCACCAGGGAAATCATGGAAGCACGTGTCCACTAACACCTTTGGGCTGTTGCTGATGTTGTTTTGCAGCCACAGTGCCCACCGGGCCTGGTCACTGCAGAAGTCCAGGGAGGGGCATCTTGTTTTGATCATTACATTTTGGGGTAGAGAACTCAGCTTGACACGAAATCCAAAAATGCCAGAAATGCCTTTTGTCCACCAGTGGTTTTCAGCAGCTTGTTAAACACTCACAGATTGTTTGGGCAGCCTGAACCCTGACAGGCCTGATGGAGACATCTTTCCTCTATTTGGGCTGATGTGTGAGGTTACACAGCTCTCACTCCCTCAGCCATCGCTGCATCCCAGAACTTGGCTTGGGAAAAACAGCCCTGCAGAGTGCTCAGCTGGACTTTGCCAGAGCTGTCTGGAACATCCCCATTAATCACGGAGCACACGAGGTTCTCTGAGCTCCTGGAGAGGTGGGCACAGAGGAGAGTGCCTGGCTCCCATGCTGACAGAGGTCCAGCTGCAGGCGTTTGGGCAGTAACGTGCAGGTGGCAGAGGGATAAATAACGTGGGCATGGAGAGGATGAGCAGCATTTGCTGATGGAAGGAGGACACTGAGGCTCAGGACTGCTGGGTGGGGAGATTTTTGGTTCCACAGGGAGCAGGAAATGTCCACCTAGAAGAACAACATGCTTGTCTCTGACCCCTGAAGCTCCTGGATGTGCTGGCAGCTGGGTGGTGACCTGGAGAAAGCCATGGTGTGGCCTGCGTGGTCTTGGACTCCTTGAGAAGAGTTCCAGGAGCAGGATGTCTGCTCATATCCACGTGTTTGGGGTTCAGGAGGTCCCAGCTGGTCCCACCTCCCTGCAGGGGAAGCAGGTGAGTGTCCAGCACCTGGGCTTGGTGTTACCCAAAGGAGCCAAGAGCTTTGGGGACAGCCTTGCTCTGCTCCAGACACAGAGGGGATGGGCAATCAATAACTGGGGGAGCCCAGCCTGTGAAATCCACCCATCTGAAATCCCAAATTGGTTATTTTGGTGTGAGCACAGGAGAGCCAGAACTGCTCCGTTTTCAGCTGGCTGAGCCATCCAGCTTTTCTATTCAGTTCCAGCGCAGTAAAAATTGTGATTATGGTAAATTGTGACTTTTCTCTTGATAAAGAGTTATGCAAATGGGCTTTAAGGGAACAACTGAATTTTGCTGATCCTTTCTGGGTTCCTCTGTGGCACCAGATCAGGTTTCTGGCACGGTTTGAGGGCAGAATCACCACAAGTCTTGTTCTGCTGCGCCACAGGGTCAGAAGCCTTTCTTCCAGCCCTCCTGGCCATACCTGCAGGCACAAAAGGGCCACAAAATCAGAATTGACACATTTTGAACCCGACATCACCCTGTATTAGCACAGTCCTATTTGCAGCTAGTGCAGGAGAAATGTGGAATTTCCCTTCTAAAAGAGCCCTGAGCTTCCACCCTCCCCCTGGAGGGGCTGAGCCCCCTGGCCTCCCTTCCCTGCCTGGGGAGGACCAGAAGTGCAGGAGCCACTCCCGACTCTGCACAGCCTCTGTCAAAGCTGCTGCACACAGGCACCAGACCGCGGCTGTTATTATGCTTTTTTCCAGTTTAATTCACCTCAAAATTGAGTTTTAGCTGAGGTCACACACAGAAGTTTTGAAGTTTTGGGTTGTTTTGCAGTAAAGTGCTGCCTCCTGCTGGGTGCAGGGCCCTGCACGAGAAACTCCTCAGTAATTTATTAATACAGGATTTCTTTCACCTGAATTTTGGACAAGGCTTTACAGAGATTGCTGAGCATTTTTTATTACATACACTTGCCAAACCCCATGTTTTTAATAATTTAGGGAAATCCTAGAAAATTATATTGTGAGTCTTTTCAGAAACTAGAGAAGGCCTAAAGCATCTTTAAGAATCCCCTAGTTCAGACTCTAATCTGTTCCAAAAATGAGTGTCAGAACTACTCAATAACGTTGACTAAAAGGAGATTTATATTAATGACAAGCCTTACTCTAATTTATGATACTGTACACTGTGGGACAATTTTGCTCATAAAGGCAGAAATCCCTATTTCTGTCACTCCTTAAACAAAATGTCTTCCCAATCCTCATAAATTATTTATTAACATGATTTTAAAAAATTAATTTTATTCCTTCATGCAATTCCCTTAACTAACAGGAACTGAAAATATTCTAAGCTATGGATACCCCAGACTAAATTTACACACCAGTACACCTTGGCAATGCACACCTTCTGTGTGCTGAAATGCCAATTTTCTCTTATTGATGACACTAATCACTAATTACTTCGAATAACCAATTTATTCTGTTTACAAATGGCTCGTGAGCTGTCAGCTGGCAATATCTGGGTGTGTTCAATATTGCTGTTGTTACATCAGCAAGGAAAATCTTGCCCGTGTAGTTTCACTTTGATTTTTCCCTCCCTTTCCTGGGGAGGCTCTTGCTGTTCGTGTTCCTTTTGCCCATCCCGTGACGGAGGGGGTGACACAAAAATAACCATCCTGAGGCTTTTCTGCAAAATCCCAACAACCCACTAGATGGCAAACAACCCCTTGAGAAAGCCCACGAATACTGACTGCCGTCTTACTCAAACCGGCAAATCCTTAATGGAATTCTATTTTGGCTTTTAGTTAACCCTCCACTACAGCGAAGTCTGTCAAAAAAATAGTACAAAGATATAAAATTAAAGGCTGTTTCACATCCTTGGAAGTTGAGGTACAATATGAGCTAAACAAAGCCAGTGAAATTCACCACCGGCAAATCCTTAATGGAATTCTGTTTTGGCTTTTAGTTAACCCTCCACTACAGCGAAGTCTGTCAAAAAAAATAGTACAAAGATATAAAATTAAAGGCTGTTTCACATCCTTGGAAGTTGAGGTACAATATGAGCTTTTCCACGGAAGGGTTTGGCTTGGAAGGGCCTTTAAAGGGACACCTGCAGTGTGCCAGGGTGCTCCAGAGGAAGGCACGGCTCCTCTGGGCACCCTGTGCCAGGCCCTGCCAGGGGGAATTCCTTCCCCACGCCCTCCCGAGCTCACCCGTGTCAGTGCAGTGCACACCTCAGCGAGGCTGTGCTGCTTCTCTGCGCCGCCCTGCTCCCCCAAGGACAGCATTTCATGTTTTATTGCAGCCACTGACTCAGAGGTCACGCAGAAACTGCAGAAGTCAAGTCAGAGCAGCAGATGAAGAGGCAAGGACCTGATGGCCCTGATCTTTCTGCTGTGAATCATTCTCTGAGGAGGAAAAAAATAGCATAAAAGACCTCTTGAAGTGAAGGAGACACTTGAAAATGCTTTAAAAGCAGAACAAACTTGCAAAGCCATGAAGAAACGCTTGAAGGGCTCACAGACCATGACAGGAATTCACTCCTGCGGGGGCAGAAGGGGCCAGCTGACATCTGGCACATCTCTATCCCCGCTCTGCTCTGTGCCCTCCTTGCTTTGCCAACTGGTATTTTAACACTTGGATGACAGAAGTAACCGCTTGTTTAATATTAAAGCAGCTTTTTTTCATTCATGCACAAAAGGAGCTCTCCCTCACGAGCAGAGCAGTGAGATGTGGCCACAAAACCCCAGCAGGAGAGGGTGTGGGAGCCCTTGCAGAGCAGATCTGAACCCCCAGGAGCCCTCCTGGCTCCCCTGGCCGAGCACGGCGCTGCCCTGCTGACCTCGCCTCACCCTCAGCCGCGCCGATCAGGGCCGGGAAATGCAAATGTGCAGATGGTAAAGCGGTGACAGGTTCGCTCGGTATTTCCTTGAGGTGAAGCTCTCTGCAGCGCCGTGTCTGCGCGGGGGAAGCACCTGCCGGCACCGCGGGCTGCTGCGCGCTTCCTTCCCCACGGTCCCATCAGAGGGTTTGGTGACAGCTCTGCCCTAGCAGCAGGATGTGGCTGGGTGTGCTCACACGGGGCCTCCGGGGCTCACAGCCAGGCTGTGCCAGCAGCCTGCCCGGGACAGGCACCTGCGCTCCTGCCCCACAGCAAGGGCACTGGGGCGTCCCTCTGGCACTGGGGTGCGTCCCTCTGGCACTGGGATGTGTCCCCCTCTGGCACTGGGGTGTCCCTCTGGGCCGTGCCAGCGTTGCTAACACAGTCTGGGTGGGCAGGAAACACCCCAAGGCTCCCAACGCCCTGAGCAGCGAGGTTATTCCTGGGGAAAGCTCTTCCACCTTAAACAGATTTAGCTCGGGAATGCTCACCTGGGCTCAGCCTGCTGGCCCAGGTGAGCACAGGTGATGCTGGGCTGTGCAGGCTGAGTGCCACAGTCATGCCCTGAGCCTGAGCAACAAGGCTATTCCTAGGGAAAGCTATTCCATCTTAAACAGATTTAGCTTGGGAATGCTCACCTGGGCTCAGCCTGCTGGCCCAGGTGAGCACAGGTGATGCTGGGCTGTGCAGGCTGAGTGCCACAGTCACGACAGAACCAGACACTGCACTTGGTGCCTTGTCCATGTCCATGTGTTCCTCAGCTCCTGCAGGTGCCTTGTCCATGTCCACGCATTCCTCAGCTCCTGGAGATGGTTTGTCCATGTTCCTCAGCTCCGGGAGGTGGCTCATCCATGTCCATGTGTTCCTCAGCTCCTGCAGGTGCCTTGTCCATGTTCCTCAGCTCCAGGAGGTGGTTCATCCACGTGTTCCTCAGCTCCAGGAGGTGGCTCATCCATGTCCATGTGTTCCTCAGCTCCTGCAGGTGCCTTGTCCATGTCCACGTGTTCCTCAGCTCCTGCAGGTGGTTTGTCCATGTTCCTCAGCTCCGGGAGGTGGTTCATCCACGTGTTCCTCAGCTCCGGGAGGTGCCTCATCCATGTCCATGTTCCTCAGCTCCTGGAGGTGCCTTGTCCCTGCTGGCACACACTCCTCAGCTCCTGCCCCTCAAGAGCTGGGTAAGCCCGGCCAGCCAAGCCAGCCTCATCTTTCTTTTTCTGTCCTACAAAGCTGCAGACTCATGAGGAAAGCTCTAAAAATAGTTCAGGGGTCTCGTCAGAGTGACAAATGTGCTCCTGGCAGAGCCGGAGCTATATCTGTCCCTGACGTGAGCCTGCAGGATACAGCCTGTTCTCCTGTGTCCCCTGTGTGCCAGTGGCTCTGCCGTGACCTGCTCCAGCTGAGCACCCTGGCCTGCTCCGTGGGGACACCCACGGACACGGGAGGGGATGGCACCCAAGGGCAAACCAGGCACGTTCCCTGCTCACCTGCTCCGTGGGGACAGACCTGGGACACCCACACCTGCACACAAGGACACGGGAGGGGATGGCACCCAAGGGCAAACCAGGCACGTTCCCTGCTCAGGCCTTTCCCCTTCAGGAGGATGTGGTGTGCAAGAGCCCCTCGCTGAAGCACAGCGGGTTTGGGAGCCTGGGCCATCCCCACCATCATCTCTCCCAGCTGCTGTTTTCCCAGTTTTCCTACCCCAGCTGGGAACCCCAGCATTCCACTGGGGCAGATGGGATCTCAGGTGACGCACTAGGGGATGTCACCCAGGCTGGCTGTGCGTTTCTCCCCGTTCCCAAAGGTGGCCAGAAGGGTTTGTCACCCGCCCAGGACCGGCCGTGCCACCGGGGACATGAAGCAGCCTGTTTGTTCCTGTCACACCTTCACGGTTTCGGGTGTCAGCAGCGGCGCTGAGTCAAACCTGGGGCACGGCAGAAACCACCTGCCCTGGCAGCCACGAGGCAGCAGGGATGTCACCACATGGCTGTCACACTGTGGGGCAATTACCACTGCAGTGCAACGCTGTCCTCCCACGCCCCGGCGCTGCCCACACGGAATTCCAGCTGCCCTCACAGAATTCCAGCTGCTCTCACGGAATTCCAGCTGCTCACAGCCATCCTGTGCACGGACACACCCTGTGGAAGGGCTAAGGCTGCTCGCACCCAGCCTCTGCAGAGAGAGAAGCCCAAGGATCCACCTTAAAGGTCGGTATTGCTGCTGATCTACGCCCCAGTGGGCCTTGATAAGATCCAATAAATCAAATTCCACGTGCGGAAAAGCGCTGGAATACCAGTGTGTCTAAATGTGCTGGAAAATAGGTTTGAACTTCAGTGATTTCAAGCCTGATACTCAGTTAGTAAATGCTATATTTGTATATTTGTTTCTATTAATACTACTGTTGCAGACAGGTGAGCTGGTGAACATCAGTCTGTAGGAAAAACTAATTCTAATACACGGTGAGTATTCCTTCCTTGTTTTCCCAATACCTTTGGTGGAAGTTGAAGCAATTTGTGTGTGTTGTGATGGGAAACCTGAAGCCTCGAGTCCATAAACTCATGAACTGAGAGAAACAGGATTCATTTAGGCCCTAAATCTTCTGAAAAAATCTGTATAACACTCACAAAAATGCAGATTTCCTGGGAAATCAAAAGGCAACAAATGTCGTGCCTTGAGTATGAGGTTTTTAGCGCAGAAATTTTCCAGTTCTACAGTGAATTTTACGTTCTAGATGACAGAATAATTGAAACAAACCTGCTTTCATACGTGAACAATGTTTAAATCGTTTCTCGATACCTTAAGCCAGTCGCCAGCTGCGCCTCCACTGCAGTAAATGAGAAATGAGTGAGAGGAATTCCGCTGAAACCAAGGCAGGGAGGGACTGGGGGAGTGGAAGGTGAAGGCTCGGTTGAGCTGAAAGAGAGAAGCATTCACAGCCAAGCTATCCCGACTGCCCTGCTTTCACACCCGGTTATTCACGGGGCAAACTGCAGGGTGTGACTCCACTGCTCAGTTCCTCTTTTCTCTTTCAAAACCTGTGAGTAAGAGCTTAAAGAACTCACCCTCTGGGAACGATTTCAAATAATCCTCCTTGCTCCTCTGAGCTGCTAATTCAGAGCCCGGAATTGGAGTCTCTATAAATCTTTCATAAAGGTATCTAACGAATTTCTCTTCAAGTTATAATTTGGCAGTGCAAAACACTGTTTATCCAGCTGGAATAACTCCCATTGCCAAGTTTTTTTTGGCACCAAACTTTTCTATCAATGCAAACCCAGTACTTGACACACGCGGGGGCTGTGCTTGCCATCAGAAGTCCTGTTCCAGCTGATAATGCAGATTTTTATGACTGAGGTGGAAGGGAATTCCAGATTCTCAGTTAATTTATCACATTTAGCATGAAGAATTAAAGTCAATCTCCTAAATGCTTGATAGAAAAAAAAAAAGAAAGAAACTAACACCTTTCAACTGATGTGTTACTTTGGAGATTTTAGAATTTAATGAATAAATTGATCAATAAGTTGATCTAAGTTGTATTATCTTAGTCTCGTCTATTTGATATGACAGCAGAAACTTTTAGGTATCAGCTCATGTCAAAATATTTTGCTGCCTGTACTCCTGTGACGTTGCTTTCTTACACCCATCATTCTTAAGGAAATCAGATTTTTCTGTCACCACAGATTCTTATTTTCCCAAAATAATCCTTTCTTCTCTGTTAAGGTAATTGCGCACTGTAATTTGTAGTAATTTTCTAAGAAACGTTTTGTATTTTGTTCTGGGAAACATTTGCTGCCAAGTGTGTAAATCCTGAGGGGATTAAGACACTGCCCACCAGAGGAGAGAGTTTGGGATATTCAAAACTTGCTTTTCATGAGGTGTTTCCTTTTTTCCCTTTTTTTGCCGCTCAGCTTTGGTATCTCTCACTGCAATCAGACACCTGGAAAGACAAAATCAGTTTACATTTGTGTACGGCTGGTTTGAAGAGGAGCTTGCACGGCCTGCAGAGCTCCAGGCCAAAGGCTCCAGGAGAAGCAGGCTCGTTAATGTCTCATCATGACTCAAGCAGCAATTATTGATTGATGCTATTTTCCAGCAGTGTCCTGGCAACAGAGGGGACAAGGCACTGCTCGTCCTTATCGAGCTCAAAAACACTCACGTAAAAACATCAAGGATTGGTTAAAAACGGGTTGAGCTGCGTAAGGAGAGCAAGTACAAATCTCTCCAGCTTTTTGAAATATCAAAGGGTAACCTGGAAAACTGGAGTGCGTTAAAAGCAATAAATGATGGGTGTGTGCATGGAAAAAAAAAAAAAAAGGGCAAATTCCACTGCGCTGACACCTGCTGCTTCCATGAGTCGTTTGTGCTCCTTTCCAGCCCCTCTGGCACACGGTGGTACCTGGCAGGGAAATGGAAAGTGCTGTTTGCCTCCTGCAAACACCACCCAGCCCCGCATTTCACTGCAGGCTAGGCCGAGGGTCACAGTCAGCTTTTCCAGCTCTCCTTTTATTGCTATTCCTTTTACCTCCAGTGCATTCCGTGGCTGTAAATTGCTTTTGCCATTGCAGAGGTGTAGAGCACCAGCATTTGGGTTAGGACTTTTTTTGGCTCTGTTATCACAGCTCCAAAGTCTGTTCCAGGTGGGTGGTGAGATTTTTTTATTCCGTGTAAAATTGTTTTTAAAATCTCAGGAATTGTACAGCACATGGTTATAGGAGGGGAGGTTGTCAAAGGGCCAGGAAAATAGGGTGAACTATTCCAAATAAGCAAATAATAAATAATGTCCTTTCCAAACAGCCAGGATCCCTGCTGAGTCATGAACCTGCACATAAAACAGCTCACAATTAAATGCTTTATTTCCGTTAAAAACCCGCTATTTTGGTGATAGTTACAGACTCTGAAGCCCCAAAATATAACAGGAAAAGAAGAGTGAAAACCAAACGTACTGCAGAGACCTTTCTAAAATACGTGTTTGCAAAAGTGGGGAGGTTTATTAATGACTGTAACTGACGCAAAACAAGGCGCTGCTCCACACCCTGTGAGGAGGATGAGCAGACCACGAGCACGTCGGCCTCCTCCTCACGGCTGATCCTGGGGATCCTGGGGGAGCTGGGAAGGGAATGGAGCCCGGGAGAGGCTGAGGGAGCTGGGGAGGGAATGGAGCCCCGGGAGAGGCTGAGGGAGCTGGGGAGGGAATGGAGCCCAGGAGAGGCTGAGGGAGCTGGGAGAGAATGGAGCCCCAGGAGAGGCTGAGGGAGCCGGGAAGGGAATGGAGCCCCGGGAGAAGCTGAGGGAGCTGGGAAGGGAATGGAGCCGAGGAGAGGCTGAGGGAGCCGGGAAGGGAATGGAGCCCAGCAGAGGCTGAGGGAGCCGGGAAGGGAATGGAGCCCCAGGAGAGGCTGAGGGAGCTGGGAAGGGAATGGAGCCCCGGGAGAGGCTGAGGGAGCTGGGAAGGGGCTCAGCCTGGAGCAGAGGAGGCTCAGGGGGCCCTTGTGGCTCTGCACAGCTCCTGACAGGAGGGGACAGCCGGGGGGTCGGGCTCTGCTCCCACGGATGAGGGAACAGCCTCAGGCAGAGCCAGGGCAGGCTCAGGGTGCGCATCAGGAAGAATTTCTCCATGGAAAGGGTTAAACTGGCAGGGGCTGCCCAGGGAGGTTTGGCGTGCCCATCCCTGGAGGTGTCCCAGGAAGGGCTGCACGTGGCACTCAGTGCTCTGGGCTGGGCACAGCGTGAGGATCCGTCACAGCGCGGACTCGATGTGGGAGGACTTTTCCAAGCTCTGCGATTCTGTGACCGTCCCGAGGGACCCCGGCGGACGCGGGCAAGGCGGGGCCGCCGCCTGACCCCCACACAACATGGCGGGCGCGGCCCCTCAGGCGCCGCTGCCACTCAAACCCAGCGAGCCAATCAGCGGCCGCGGCCCCCGCCGCGGGGGGGCGGGCTTTCCCGGTTGGCGCGCGCGCGCGGTTTCGGCGGCGGAGGGATCCGCGGCGCGCGGCGGCGGTGCGGCGGTTCCCGGGAGTGACGCGCGTTTCGGGGCTGGGCCTGTGGGCTCGGCCCGCCTGGTCGCGACAGCGGCGGGAATGTCGCGACATGCGGGCCCTGCTGGGGCACCGAGACACTGCCCGGGGCGACGAGACACTGCCGGCTCCGCCACGGCGGCCTCCGGGAGCGCGGCGTCCCGGGACAGCGGTGTGCGCGGCCGCTGTGCTCTTCCGCGCGTCGTGCCGTGTGGGAATGTTTCCTCGTTTGTCGTTAATTTATTACCTACAACTGCTAAAACTGCTGGAGTTGGTTCACTTTTGTTTTTTATTTTGTTTTTCCTTAATAAATTAAATTGGAGGTGACTTTCTGCCGGACGTTTCCAGTCGGGAAAGGCGCAGCCCACCTTTTGCCAACACTCACCCATCACCGCCTTATTTTTATTCAATTTTACGGATCTTTTCCCCTACGTGACATATTCCGAGCGCCAAAACCTACAAGGCAGGGCCTGGATCCAGGTCCTGAGCCGTGGTTAACCTCCTATGTGCTATTTTTATACTTTTATAGACATAAAACGTTCTGCACCACGTTTCCGCCCGGGGCAGGGGTTGGACTGGACTGACTCTGGCAGATCCTTTCCAGGCGCAGCTCCTGCGGTGATTCTGTGGTTATCCAGCCCCATTCCCGCTCCCTGCGTTATTCCGCGCTGGTTTATTCCCGTTCTTGTTCCCATTCCCGGTCCCGGTCCCGGGGCGTGTCCCGCGGACTCTTTTTTCCCGCCGCCCCCCGCGCGCGCGCGGCGCTGTGCCGTGCGTCACGCGCGGGGCCGCGCAGTCGGCGCGCGGCCGCTGCCCGCCTCCTCCCGCCGCTCCGGGCATCCTCATCGGCGACCGGCTCTACTCCGAGGTGTCTCTGACCATCGACCACTCGCTGATCCCCGAGGAGCGGCTCTCGCCCACCCCCTCCATGCAGGACGGGCTGGACCTGCAGTGCGAGACCGACCTGCGCATCCTGGGCTGCGAGCTCATCCAGGCGGCCGGCATCCTGCTGCGGCTGCCGCAGGTGAGCCCTTGCCGGGGCTTCCAGGGGGGCAGGCAGGGAGGGAAGGGAAGGGAGGGGCGGGCGCCGCCATTGTGGCGGCGGGAAGGGCGTGAGGCGGCGCGGGGGGGCGGCGGCGCCTCGCACAAAATGGCGGCGGCTGGGCCAGGGCACTGACGCGGCTCCTTCTCCCTCCTCCTGCTCTGCCCTCACAGGTGGCCATGGCGACGGGGCAGGTGCTGTTCCATCGGTTCTTCTACTCCAAGTCCTTCGTCAAGCACAGCTTCGAGGTGAGCGCGGCCCGGGGGCACCGGGAGAGGGCGGCCGGGGCGGCCACGCGCCACGCAGGCCGCTCGCTTCGAGCCTGGCGGATTTGCTCCGTAGTTACGTAATTCTCGCTTTTATCTGGGCTGGGAATTGTTTGCTTAACGGAAACGGGGCTTCTTTTCAGATTGTTGCTATGGCCTGCATCAATCTCGCGTCCAAAATCGAAGAGGCACCTCGTCGGATAAGGGACGTGATCAACGTGTTCCATCACTTGCGGCAGTTAAGAGCAAAAAGGTAAGATCAGCTTCGTTATGAGCATGAGCACCTGTTACCACTAATGTACGCTGCAGTTCTCAATTCACAGTATTTTCCAGGCTAAGTTCAACGACCTAAAATTGAGAAGGGAGTGCCCGTTGGCTGCTGTGTAGGCAGTACAGTGCAATCTCGGCTGCTTCTGCTTTTGTTCACTTGGTAGACCCCGTTTGTCGTTGTTGATTTAGCTACGAGTTACGATTGGCAAGTATTGGTTCTAGTTTTAGGACCATGGTTGTGGTTTCAGGTCTGTTTGTTGAGTTTTTGGCGTTTCGTAGTTACTGTAAGATAGTCTTACGTGTGTGTAGCCAGTTAGCGAGTTGCTGTGTATTCTCCAGTTTTTTAACCATACCTAGCAGTCCTGCTGGTTTTTTTTCTCGTTAATCTGTGGCTGTCCAAGTGTGGTTGTGGCGTTAAGAAGAAGCTGAACTTTTAGTGTTGACAGTGTTGCCTTCTAGAAAAAGCCGTTTTGGAAAGTTTGTGAGACAGGGCCTGGGTTGGCCTGCAGTGTTTGCAGCTGTAGGGGTGAGGAGTGTGTAGTTGAGTCTGGGAGGCTGAAGGCGTTTTTAGGTGCAGGAAGTGGCTTTGTTCTGGTGTGCTTGTGCAGGTGGAGCGTGGGGCTCACCTGGCCGTGGGCAGGTGGGGTGGAGCTGTCCCAGTTCTGAGTTCTAATGCTGCTCTTTGTGTGTAGAGCAGCGTTTTTTGTGTGTAAAGCAAATAACCGATGCCTTGAAAGGAGGAAGGTGTGGTTGAAGGGAAAGAGTTCTCTAGGTTGCTGTTAAACACAAAATCTCCTTAATTCCGTGGGGCAGCAGTGTCACAGTCTGGGATTGGAGACTTCAGCTTTGCTTCTGGTGCCTGATTGCTTAAAGTTTCAGGTGCTCTGTAGTTACAAAAGGATTTTGCTTTCAGCTGCAGTGTTAAATTCACACTTCGTTTCCCTGCTCTGTGTCACCAGGTGACAGCAGGAATTTAAACTCCTGTTATGCAAGCTTTTCTGAGAAAGGGAGTAGAAATCCCTTAGGGAAGCCAGCTGTTTGTTGGTGTCTTTATCCTGGTTATGCTTCTGTTGAAGCAGAGCTTTGACTTTTACTGCCTCCTGATGGTGTTGTCCTAGTTAGCTCCAGATCCAAGAAGGAAGAGTTGGTGTTACGCTTTGGAGTTTAGCTTTGTTCTGTCTGGCCTTTAAAGCTGTTTGCCCCTATGGCCTGAGAGCTGTGTGAAGTTATGCCAGGTGTGAATTCAGGGATTGTCTTCCACAGTTATTAAGGGAGTCTGGTTGTTGGAATTACTGGAGCAGGCTCAGCGATTAGTAAAGTTCTGGCCTCCTTCCAGGCAGTGAAGGTTAATTAATCATATGCCTTGCTTTTCTTTGCAACGAGAATATAAATTAGTTGTCTCTTTGTGCTGTGTGAAGGATCAGAGAAACTGAACTTAACCTGTGAATTTAAATCTTTCCAGCTAGCCTGTTCCAAATCCCAACTTGTGCATGTTACGTGGTGCCTAAAGTGCATCATGTCCAGAGAAATCGTGCACTGCTACCCATTATTTTCGGGAGAAATGGGTATTGTTGCTCTGCGATTCTGAGTGAATCTGCATGAAATTAACCTTAAAAATGCTGCAGTCTGACATTCAGACTTGCACAACCCCCTCCCCGTTTTTTTTTTAGCAAGCAGGATGTAAACGTTTTTCTGTACTTTTTACAAGCTGACAGTTCCATCACCTGTACACGTTATTAACTTCAACTCTTTTTTCCCTTGCAACCGACTATACAGCGACCAGCTACATTTACCAAAGCCTGGGTGATGTGGAGTGGTACATAAAGATGAAGCTGTCGTCATGGCAACAGTGAGTGAAGTATCGAAAATCCCCAAGGAGAAGCCAGTGCTCTGAGCATAGGTCACTGGAATCGGGGGACTAACAGGTTGGCCGCTGGTGAACCATTTGGAAGAACTCCTGTATCTTGTTATAAGCTTTTTTCTTTGCTGTCCAGGTTTTTAGAATACTAGCTTGACCTTTTTTTTTTTGTTTTTTTACTGAAGCTAACACTTAGGCTGTAGTTAGTCTCTCACACACAACCCAGAACTGAAACAGGCTGCTGTACTTTCTTTTTTAGTCTAGCATTTCTGTTAACTGAAGCTCTTAACCTGCACACGAATATGGGGTAGTTTGGGTAGGCTTTGCTTTCTTTCTTAACCAGTTTTGGGTTCTTAGTTCCACTTTCTGGCTCTGTATAATTGCAGCTTGAATTCACAGTAAAACAAAGATACAGAAGTCTTGAATTTGTACATTTTTATCAATTATGATGTAAGCAGTCCCTTTTATGTACCTGTTTGCAGAACTGGGAATTGCATTGGAATTTTCTTTTTATGAGACATGTAGTCAACCGAGGTGGTATTTCTAATGCTGAGAAGTAAGAAAAAGCTAAATAAGTGTTTTGGACAAGCATATTTTCTTTGGGATCTTTGACGAGCATTTGTGATGTAGAACTGCATGTAAAAATGTTTGTGTGCATGGAGAAAAGCTCGTACTATGGAAAAACTGCTTTTTAAATAACTGTGTGCCAAAACCTCTGTTCTGAGCAAAGTGCAACTGTTGTTTAACTTGTAGAATGTAGTTTGAAGTTGATTTTATTTCTTTTAACTGTGCCTGAAAGCTGCAGAAGGTCCTGAGACTGGAAATGTGACTCGTGTGGTGCTGTAATCTCACATGGTGCTTTGAGGTGCTCAGTCAGCTGTTCCTCACTCAGGGGCCCTGCAGCGGGCTGCGTTAATGACACACGTCCTTAGTGCCTTCAGACTGCCTGCAAACCTGTGCTGCTTGTGGTTGTCATCCTGACAAACAGAGAACTGACCAGCATAACAGATCTCTGCTCTGAAATGAGGTGCTGGTGCCCTGCTGTACTTGTCACAAGTGCTTTGCTCATTAGGAACAAACTCCACGCAGGGCACTGTTCCTCTGAGTGTTAGTCATGCCAAAGACATCAGAGTTTAATATTGCACCACATGACACTGCAGCTGTGTGGAGAACTTAGGTCTCATTTGTCAGTGATTTTTAAAAAAGGTATTTGTGATTTATTTATTGTTACAAACACATTACAGTGTGTGTTAATCTTCTGGGTTGTTACACAATCTAAATCCCAATCAAGTTTTGCATCTGAAGTGTTGGGTTGACTTCCCAGAGGGACCATTGTATGCTCTGTTCTTAAAGATGAAGTCTTGCCTGGAGCTCTAGTGCTGGTCTGTAGGAACAGATTCCAAGTGGGAACTTGTAACACTCCTTGGCTATACAGGGTTTTAAGCTTATATTTAATATATAAGCTTATAAATTCTATTTCTCTGCTTTGTTACTTGGTCCTAGGATAATTGTTGGACTGAGAATTAAGTGCAGCAAATGCACTGGCAAAGTTCCTCTTTTTTCGTATTAGAAAACAAAGAAGTTTCTCAAAGGGGAATTTCTGAAGTTTCTAACTTGTAAATAATTGTTTACAACAATGCAGAGTTTATGGCAAAAGTATTAAATGGGTGAATCAGTGCAGTGGAGAACTGACCTGTGCCAGTAATCAGGTGCAGTAAAACACTTAAGTCCCCTGCAGATTTTTCTTTTCCATGAGTGGATAAAAGGCTGTATTTGTCTGGAAGCCCTGTCTGGATAAACTGATAGTTTTCACAGCTTCTTTAGGGCTGTGGGACTCGTGACCAAAGGAGTAGGACAGCAGAGTAAAGCAAAGCACACTTGGCAGCTTGGGTTTCCTGTCCCTGTGCTGTGGAACGTGGCAAGTGTGAGCTGTTGGTGCTGATCCCATAGCCCTGTGCAAGGACAGTGAAAACTTAAAATACAGGAAAGGCTCCCGTCTGTCCTGCTGCACTTGGAGCCACCTTAACTCCCTGCCAGGGCTCTCCGGGAATGCAGGGACATGGGGAAGGTGGGCTGGTGGATGGACCTGAGCAGTCCCACTGCAGGTTGTGTTAATAGACTGGAAGTCATGGCTGTGCTAAGTGTGTAAGCCGAGATCTCCCACCTGTGGTGAGGCTTTCTGCTGACAAACAGCCTGGACACCTGAGCTCCTCTGGGTGCTGCTCTGCAGATCCTGTTAGTGCCAGTGGTCTGGAGATGAAATTGTGGAGAGCAGTACTGAAGGAAGGGTTATCAACACCAGTAAAAGGGATGGGAATGAGTTGGAAGTGAATCAGCTTCACTGATGGGAAGAGCTCAGCTTGGTTGTTCCGCTGTCCCACTCCAGAGCACTGTTCAGCCTGTCTCTGTAGTGCTGAAGTATGGGACAAAATCAGCTCCTCACTGAAGAGCTTGAAAGAGCTTAAAAAGCTTTTCAGTTAATTTATGGGGAGAAAAGAAAAACAGCCAACCATAAATAACAACAAAAAAAATCTCCCAATTTGGGGGTTATTTAGAGGAGCTGAAATGAAAAACTTTGTAAACTTGCCCTGATGAGTGAGAGTAACACTTAACTAGAGAAGTTACTCTGCTGGACCGCGGAAAACCTGGCATTTTAAATAATGAGACAGTACTTGAATTGCAGGTCCAGCCTGGCGCCAGGAAGCTGCAGTTGTTCATTCCAGAGCTGGCAGCTGCATCTCAGCCCCTTGGGAAGAGCAGGGACAGCTCATGCTTCAGGTGCATGGTGGTACAACAAGATGCTCCCCTTAGAGAAGGTTGTGGTGTCCTTTGCCCATGGCCATCGGTGCCTGTCCAGTGACTGCAGAGGTCATGGCATAAACTGGATTATTCCAGCCTTGTCATTAAATTGACCCTTTCTTCCTGGGGTGGAAACCTTGGAGTTTTGAGTATTTTTTTCTGTTCTGTGACCTATCAGGGAAGAGAAGTGAGATCCACTCATGGAGTTTGCAAGTTGGCAGTGAAATATTTTGTCTGATACAACAAAAGCTGTATTTTGAATCCGCTTTGCATTACTTTTTTTTTCTTTTGAAGGTAATGTAAAATAAATTTGTCACCAGTGCTTGGGCTTTATGCTGTACACAGACTGTGGTTTATTAGAGCGTAATGAGCTGCAAAAAACATTATTCTGCTTTGGAAAGCACATGGAATGTGTGAGGCATATTACAGGGAAAAAGCTGGTCTGTCTTCAGCAGGAAGTGGATTAAAATATCCCATGTGGAATGTTGAAAGGTCAAGTCTAAGCATGGACAAAGCAAATATGCAATGGAGTGTGACACTTGTGCATCGAGTGTACAGAAGGTTTTTGTGATTAAACATGCTCTGGACAGTTCAGGGGTTGGACTTGTGACGAGTTAGGATTGACAGTGCTGGAGTTTGACATCTCTCTCTGAAGTGAGCTGTTGCTCTGCAAGTGCAGACAGCAGCAGGATCATCCCTGGTACCCCTGGAGAGGGGAGCAGGCCCCGAGTCCCAGGCAGATCTGTGCCTGTGTCCCAGGTTAATTCTGTGCTTCACTCAGCTTTTCACACACACATCACAGGGCAGGGCTGGCTTCTCTGAAGGGTCAGTCAGCTGCTCTTCAGTGCGTAGGAAACTGCAGTTCTAGAGCACAGGCTACTCACTTTAATGCCAGTGAGAGCCCCGGTCTGGCTTACCTCTGCTTTGAAGTCCTGCCTGGCAAAGGACTCCCTCTTCTGCCACCTCTGCCACGGAGAGGAAATGCTCTTGGGAGTGCCCCCATCAAGCCAGCTCCTTCCAGCAGCTGGAGCAGTGCAGTTTGCACACACAGGAGCAGAAGGTTATTTTTTTTATCTCAGCCATCTAATCTGTAGCTAGCCAAAAGCAGCAACTAAACTAGTTTATCTAAACTTGGACAGCACAAGATTAATGCTTAAACTTGCTTGCAGGAGTTGAAAACCGGTTTCTGTTGCCATTAGTTGGTTGGAAGGGAAAACAGAGTTGCCGTTATTTTTGGATATGCAAAACAGTTTTGATTTTATTTCTTGCAAACTATAGGACTCCAAGCCCCCTGATACTTGATCAGAACTACATAAACACCAAAAATCAAGTAATCAAAGCAGAAAGGAGGGTACTGAAGGAGTTGGGATTTTGTGTTCATGTCAAGCATCCTCATAAGGTGAGTTCTCAATAATAATGTGATTTTAATTCTTACTCTACCTTGGTGGCATCACTGGGAGCTGTGGAACAAGAAACACAGGTGTCAGAATGACCTGAATTCTTCTCTTTATTCTCCTATAGTTATTAAAGCTTTTGCCAGAGTACTTGGGCAAACAGCCATATTGACTGTGAAAAAAGTCACTTGCCTGAGACAGGGTAAAGGTGGCTGGTTTGAAAATAGCAGAAAAGTGGTGAAATAAAGAATTGTCTGAACGTGATGGGCTGACATGAGAGCTTAGGGTGTGTGCTTGGGGAGAGAAGGAGCCCCCATTGTTTGGGCATACTGTTTGATTTCATTTTTACGTATGTATATATGTACTTCCTTACTCCTGCTTTATGTGTTGAAACTGAGTGGTTTTTTTTTTCTTCCCCCCTTTCCTTATTCCTCAGATCATTGTTATGTATTTACAAGTCCTAGAATGTGAACGTAATCAAACCCTGGTACAGACAGCCTGGTAAGTTGCTATTTTCCATTCTTTTCCTAGCCAGGAAAATAGTAGCAGAAATAACAAGCCTGCTGATCCCTATGCAAAGCAATGAGATGTAAGTCACCACCCAAACACATTTGGACAATCTTGTGGTGCTTGTTTCTGCTTACTATTTTCATGGCTTGATTCCAGCATAGCGATGGAGAACTCAATTTAACTTTGTTCTTTTTTCTACTCTTTGATTGAAGGGTAGTCCCTGCTGGTAAGTCATAGAGCTCTGCCCTCTGCACCTCAGCCCATGACCTGGGGATGGCTGCTTTGGCTGCCCTTCTCTCCAGCCAAGCCAGTGCAAGCCTCAGCGAGTTCACTGCCGTCACCCAAAGCCATCGGGCAGCACCTCCTAGTTCTGTCCTGGCGCCAGGATTTGTATATTTGGTTCTAGAAGTAACTGTTTCTCAATGTCTTTGTTGCCTACCTGCTGTATGTTAAAGGACACGTGGGGGACGATTCTGCCAGCCTTTCTTTAGTTGATTTAACATTTAAACTTGAGTTAAGCAGAGGGTGACAGTGCATGCAGCATGTTCACTTAGCAGCCAGCTGGGCATGGGGGTGTAGAGTCCTCGCTGACTGACTGCTGTTCTCTCTCCCATGCTGGGAATTGAGAAATCCGTGGAGCTCTGCTGCTCACCCCATCTCTGGGCGGGTGTTACTGGCAGTGCCAGCCCTGTGCAACAGCAGCAGCTCAGGAGGTTGGGTCCACTTCCAACTCACACATTTTTTCCAATACTCAGAGAGCAAATGGGGTGCATCTCCCTGGATGAAGTTAAAGTGGCTCAGAGCACACAAAATTCAAATGCACTCAGAGTTTTATGAACTCTGCAGGTTGCACGTAGCCTCTGGATAATGGTAGGTTGAAAATGCACCTTGCTCTGCTGATGGCTCTTGAGTTCTACATTGGTCTTTAAATACCCCATTGGTGTTTAACACAATCAGCTGGACAGATGCAAAGTACTTGTTAAATTGTAACTCAGTGGACACTTCCCAGGGTAACTTCAACTAGGAAGTGGCCATTCCACACTGCTTGGATTTACTGCTGCACATTAGTGCCTTGGGGTTTAAAACAGTGGCAGTGCTGCAGACTGTCACGGCGACACATGTAAACATCCAGCACAACCTGAAGGAGTCATGTTCAATGTAACAACAGAAAAAATAATAAAGTCAATTGAGTCTCCAGTATTGTTATCCTCTGAAAGAGAAGCAAACTGGAGTTCCAACTGGTGCTGCTTTGTTTTTTCAGGAATTACATGAATGACAGCCTCCGGACGAACGTGTTTGTTCGCTTCCAGCCGGAGACCATCGCGTGTGCGTGCATTTACCTCGCTGCTAGAGCCCTGCAGGTGAGCCCTGCCTGCACTGAGCTCTGCCTGCCACTGCTGCTGCTCTGGCTTCAAGGAAATTCATGGACATATTTCAACAAAAACTGACCTGAAATCTCCATTAAGCTTCTCCTTGTTTGATTTTCAGATCCCGCTGCCTACCCGTCCCCACTGGTTCCTGCTCTTTGGCACCACAGAAGAGGAGATTCAGGAGATCTGCTTAACAACTCTGAAGCTTTATACCAGAAAGAAGGTGAGTTTGACATGTTGGTGTTTGCTGCTTGATGCTCAGTGCAGCTTGAGCTGAGTTATGGTTGTCCAGAAAAGTTTGGGAATGCCTAATACAGATGTGCTAATGAGAAAGGCTCCAGTAAGGTGAGAACAAATTCTGGAAGTTACATTACTGGACAGATCATTAAAAGCAAACTCAGTATTTTTGAGAAATGAGATGAAGTATGAATTACATTAGTTCAGCTTCTTACCTGGTTGTTACCTCCACAGCCCAATTATGAATTTCTGGATAAAGAAGTAGAAAAGAGGAAGATGGCACTACAGGAGGCAAAGCTGAAAGCAAAAGGTTTAAATCCAGATGGAACTCCAGCACTCTCAACACTGGGCGGCTTTTCTCCTGCATCCAAACCATGTAAGTCAGTTTTCTGAACAGAAAAATTTTTTTAGGGTTTTGTTGGGTTTTTTTGTTGTTTTTTTTTTTTCCACATGGATCTTGAAATCCTTTTTTAGGGTTTTGTTGGGGTTTTTTTGTTTTTTTTTTTTCCACATGGATCTTGAAATCGAATTAGAAAGAGGTGCTTTATTCCACATTTCCCTAGATAAGAGTGATACATCAATAGTATGCACCCTTAACATGGATCTTGAAACCGGATTAGAAAGAGATGCTTTATTCCACATTTCCCTAGATAAGAGTGATACATCAATAGTATGCACCCTTAAGAGAATAATGAAGCAGGAGTTACTGTGTGTTCTGTGATGTGAAGAGAGGCCTCTTGGATTTCATTTGGGGGTGCTGCAATAGCCTTCATGGCCCCTTTTGCAGCAGGTATCTGTGAAAATTCCTTCCCCTGCTGGTTTTTAATGTGCTTGGCAGCTGTTCAGTGCAGTGAGGGCAGACAGCTGGTGGGCAGGAAATGGAGGACAGAGAGGCCCAGCACTGCCTTGGCATCAGAGGGAATTAAATGGAACATGTATTCTGAGCTGGCTAGTCTGTCTGAGCTCTCATGGTTTCTCCTGAAGAGTCCTGTTTTCAGAGGTCTTTGGGCTGGGCAGTGTGAATTTCTGACTGAACAAGGGAAGTGTTTTCTGCAAGGAGGGAGCTGAGGTTGGAAGAGTTTGAAAGCAGGAGCTCTGGTGGGCTTAACAGTCCTTCCATGAAAGGTGAATCCATCTCTGGACTGTGCCAACTGTCTGCAGAGACTGACTGACGTATTAAATGGATAATTTTAGTTACTAGTCATTTATATTTGTGCCATTATTGTAAAGATGAAATGTAGATTTGCTGGTCAGCCTTAGTCCTTCCTATAGCATTGGAAATCAATGCCGAGGTTCTGTATTGTGGGGCACAAGGGCAGCTTCTGTTTTGTACCTTTTGGCCCAGGTGGGCTGTGTGCTCTGAAGGTGCCAGTGCTGTTCCTCCTGCATGGGCAGTGTTTCCCCACAAATATCCCATTCCAGGAGTGAATATAAGTGGAGAGATGGAATGCAATAATAGATGTAGAGTTTGTATCTACACTTAGTGCAAATCCTGGTGAAGGTGCCTGAGCAATGTACGGTGTGTTTATGACAAAGGATGAATAAAGAACTAATTCTGAATTGAAATTTCATTCTTAGCTTCCCCAAGAGAAGTAAAAGCTGAGGAGAAATCTCCAGTATCTGTGAATACCAAAACCGTTAAAAAAGAGCCAGAAGAGAGGCAGCAAACCTCCAAGAGCCCTTACAACGGGTAGGTAAAACTCTCCTGCTGAGAGAAGCACTTGGAGCTGCAGTGCAGGGAGCTCCTCCTGAGCCCCTGTGCTGTCAGTGCTGAGCAGTTTGGTTTGTGCCCTGCAGGCTGAGGAAGGAGAGCAAGAGGAGCCGCAGCAGCCGCAGCGCCAGCCGCTCCCGCTCCCGGACAAAGTCGCGCTCGCGCTCCCACAGCCCCCGCAGGCAGTGAGTGGGGCTGGGCTGGGCTGGGCTGCTCGGGGGCTGCTGCCTGCAGGGGCCAGCCAGCAGAAGGGAGGGGGAGGTTGGCTTCACTTCAGGCTCTCAGTGCTGGGGGTTGAGAGTTCAGGCTGGAAAATTAGCCTGTCCTGACTCCATTGTACCTGGGGTGTCTGTGCTGGGCTGGTGCTAGTCTTCACAAGGATCCCACAGTGCCCTTGGAAGGGAATAGAAGTGCCCCAGGTGTGCAGCCTCCTTGTGCCAGTGCTCCGTGGTGCAGTGCCTGGCTCTTCAGGGCTCTACCCCTCTCTTGGTAAAGGAGGAGAGGGATGCAGAGAGAGCTGCTGCCTTTAGATGGGGGTTTCCTAAGAATCTTCAGGCTCACATCTAAGTTGGAGGCTGCCAGCTTTGGATCTCAGTGAAGTCACTGAAGGAAAAAGGCAACACCCAATTTAGACAAAAGATGCTGCATTCTGGTTTTAGTTTGAGCTGTTTATTTTCAAATGAGCTCAACTAAAAGACTTACAAGAATGGTTGGGGTTGGAAGGACCTTTAATCCCACATCACTGACCCCGGCCTTCCATGGGGCAGGTTCCGATACATTCCCTGTCTTCCCTCACTTACCCCTGAGGGACAAAGCCCGATTTCCTGCAGTACCTTGGGAGCTGTAAGCGCTGATGTCTGTTTGCTTTTCCGGGTGTGGGGACACACTGTAACTGTTGCCTCTCTGCAGCTACAACAACCGGCGGAGCCTGTCGGGCACGTACAGCTCGCGCTCGCGCAGCCGCTCGCGCAGCCACAGCGGGAGCCCCCGGCGGCACCACAACCACGGCTCGCCGCACGCCAAGGCCAAGCACGGCCGCGAGGAGCTCAAGGGCAGCAGCAGGCACGGCCACAAGCGGAAAAAGTCGCGCTCCCGCTCGCAGAGCAAGTCCCGGGAGCACTCGGAGGCGGCCAAGAAGCACCGGCACGAGCGCGGCCACCACCGGGAGCGGCGCGAGCGCTCGCGCTCCTTCGAGCGCTCCCACAAGGGCGGCAAGCACCACGGCAGCGGCCGCTCGGGCCACGGCCGGCACCGCCGCTGAGCGCGGCACTGCACGGCTGGGCCAGCTCCGGGACCGGCACCGAGCCCCGGGACTGCGGGGCTGGGCCAGCTCTGGTACAGACACCGAGCCCACAGCCTGCGGGGCTGGGCCAGCACCGAGCCCCGGGACTGCGGGGCTGGGCCAGCGGCTGGGCCAGCACCGAGCCCACAGCCTGCGGGGCTGGGCCAGCTCCAGCACTGCCCCTGAGCCCTGGGACTGCAGAGCTGGGCCAGCACCGGCATCGAGCCCACAGCCTGCAGGGCTGGGCCAGCTCCAGCACCGCCGCTGAGCCCACGGACTGCGGGGCTGAGCTCAAGCCGGCACCAAGCCCACAGACTGCAGGGCACCACCAGGGCTGCAGCAGCTTCAACCCCATCTGGTTTCCTAAAAGGTGTAGAAGAATTTTTTTCTTGTGGGAAAGAAACTGTTACCAACTTTTGCACATAATACCTTAGCAGTATCCCAGAGGTGGTAAACGATCAGGTTCATTGTATGTATTAGAGTTGTGTATTGTTTATTGAGCTGAGAACTGGAGAAAGGATTTCTGTAAAAAAGCAAAACGTACATTATTTTTATACCAGTCAATTGCAGACGCTTATATTTAAGTATAGTTATTTGTTTAAACATGGTGGAGACTTTCTTACACTGGTTTTAGTCTGCATGTGTTCAAAGATTTTTACAAAAAATAAAATATAAAGCTTTTTTTTTTTTTTACTGCCTGTTGGATGCCAAACTAAACTTGGTTTTCTTGCACACCATGGCTTTGACCCCTGTGCCTGAGTGGGACTCGGGGGTGTGGGTGTGCCACTGTTGGGAGGGGAAAACTGGGAGAGCTTTGGATGTTTGTGTCCTCCTGGGGGTGTGGCTGGGATAAATGGTCATGGACTTGTCTGAAGTTCAGTGGGGTGAGGCCGGGCTGGGCTGCTGTTGTCCCCTGTCAGCAGGAGCTGCTGGGCCATCCCTGGAGCTGCTTCTGGCTGTGGCTGAGGCTGCAGTGTTCCCCTGCAGAGCCCAGGGGCAGTGCCAGGATCTGCTGGGCACATGTTCCACAGCCCCCAGAAGGGAGAGGACACCTGAGCAGGAGCTCCGTGGTTGGTACCTCCCTGCCCTGTCCTGCTGGGCCCCCTCTGCAGCTGCTCTGGAAAGGTGGAAAGTGAGTGAGTACTTTCGGGGAGGAAAAGATAAAATGTCTTTCTCTGTTTCCTGGTTACCACTGTTTTTCAGTCTAACAACTGTGTTTGTGTGTGTCGTGTTCAGGAAAATGTGGTTGTTGCTATGGAAATTGAAGGAGCTTTTTCCCCCCTCTAGTCCAGAGCAGAGAGAAGCCCTGGGTTTGAGGAGCAGCCCCTCTGCTGCCTTGGGTTTGTGTTGGAGTGACCCATGGAGGGCTCCGCTGGTTTGTGTGAGCACTGCCCACCCCGTGTGCCTCAGAGCTGAGCTGTGGGACAGCAGGACAGCTCCTGCTCCCCGCAGCCAGCAGTGCTGTGTTTGTTCTTCAGGGGGAGAGCTGCTCCCAGCCAGGCAGGGACCCAGCAGGCCGTGCCAGCTCTGGGACGGGCAGCAGCAGATCCCAGGTGAGAGGCACAGCCTGGCCCTGGGCTCTGTGCCTTCAGCGGGGGCACAGGGGCAGCTGATAGTCCTGAGGGGCCCCTGAATGCCCCTGAATTCCCTGCAGGATTGGCAGGAGGAGCTGCAGGGCACAGCAGCTGAACTGTCCCTGCACCACAGCTCCTGTCCCTCCTAAGACTTGGAAGTATCCCTGAACTTTGAAGTTTTCATGGAGCTGAGTCAGAGAAATGAATCATTCGACTTCAAGCACCTGTGCTGACCTCCAGGAGTCCCCTGGGGCTGCATTCTGCTCATATCTCGGTAGCTGAGACAGTTTTCCTGGGAAATCCTGGAGGATTCCTGCCCTGGGTGATGGCAGCCTCTGCCACGCTGCTGGAAATCAGGAGCTGCACTGGGCTCTGAACATCTGAGACCCACAGGGACAGGGAAATATCCCAGCTGGTTCTCCTTGGGCACAGGGATTTGCCTGGGTGGGTCTCACCCTCAGAGTTGCTTTTTCTCTGAAAAAAGGATTTTGTTAAATTTCTTTTTACTAATTTTCAACAAAAAGGTGCAAAGATTTCAAGGCATTTCATACAAACCATTCTGCCTGTCCTTCACTTTCAGGTTTGTTACAGATACTGGAAGGATGAGCGTGGACCAGGAGCTCTGGATGGTTTGGGAAGAGGAAAAATGAACAATGAGAATATTTTTGATGGAAATTTGCCCAACAGGTCCCTGTCAAGGCTTCAGTCACCCCCAAACCCACAGGTGAGTGGCAGCAGGTGAGGTGGTAAGGGCCCCTTATCCAGGAAATCTTTCCCTGGTTGCTGCTCCTGCCAAGAAATACTCATAAAATCTAGGATTTCACATCAGGCCGAGTCTGTGCCTCACCTGTCCATGATCCTTGCTGCTTCCAGGCTCCTTGGGGTGGGAAGCAAACCCTCCTGGCCAGGCTGACAATCACATCCCTGTTTGGAAAAAGCACTCCTGCAAAAGAAACATCTTACCATCCCCTCCTCCTGCCTGGCCACAGCCCAGCAGGGCAATTACAAGAAAAACAGTTTAAAAAATTTGTAAAGCTGGCCTGAAGAAAAAGTCTTTCTATTCCAGTGGAGGGAAAAAAACTTGGCAAAAGTGACCATTTTTGTCCCAGGATTTAGAATCCTTCTGGATGGGTTTGCTGGGGAGAACAAAGGGGTCGTGCAGAGACATTCCAGCTCCCCAATCCCCTCATTCTCAGGGGTTCTGTGCCCTCATCCTTTCCAGGGGTTCCATGCCCCCTCCCATTCCCATGGATTCCATGTCCCACTCATTCCTGGGGTTCAGTTCCCCTTCATTCCTGGTGTTCCCCCCTCACTCCTGGGATGCGGTGCCTCCCTCACTCCCAGGGATCCCCCCTCAGTCCTAGGATCCCCCATCACTCCTGGGGTTCCCCCTCATTCCTGGGATGCTGTGCCTCCCTCAGGGATCTCCCCTCACTCCCAGGATCTCCCCTCACTCCTGGTGTCCCCCCTCACTCCCAGTGTCTCCCCTCATTCCCGGTGTTCCCCCACTCCCGGCTGCCGTTCTGGGATCCCTCTGTAGGTGGAAGTGTTGCCGAGCCCAGCGAGGCTCCGGCTCTGCCGGGGCTGCACACACCGAGGTGAGCAGGGGACAAATGTCCTGCCCTGCCCCCGGGGCTGGACAGCCCCATTCCAGCTGCTGGGAGCCGGGGATGGATCAAAGTCTCCGCTGGCCACCAGCGGTGGGAGATTCCCCGGAGCGAGCAGGGACGGGGACAGCTCCGGGACAGCCCTGAGTGACCCAGAGGGGAGGGAAGGGGGTCCCTCACCGTGGCCCCGGCTCCTCCAGGTGTCCCAGAGGAGCTGTGGCAGGACATTCCCCATCCCTGGAATGTTCCAGGCCAGGGTGATCCTCTGAGGCCCGGCAGGCCCAGGGCTGTGCTCAGGAGCCGAGGGGGGAAATCCACAGCAAAATGACCTTAAACCAAGTGACTGTCCTGAAAGGCCCTCACAGATTTCATTACCCCTGCTCGGGGATTGCTGCGGCTTCCCAAAATTCCGTGTGACTTGGGAGCCCAGGTTTGTATGGAGCAATCGGGAGCTGAGACTCAAATGCCTGAGGCCCCATTTTAAAGTGATTTAGAGGGTGAGAAGCTGAGGTTTTATTCAAAGCCTGAAGGTTTTTCTATGCCTCAATACCTGTTTAAAGGGTGAGAAGCTGAGGTTTTGTTCAAAGCCTGAAGGCTTTTCTATGCCTCAATACCTCTAAAAAAGGAAATATTTCCAGCATCTTTCTGCCAGGTGGAGATGGTTCAAAGTTTGCCCTCCATGCTGAGGAGACAGCTGGCCTGAGGACACCGCGGGGTGACAGCGACTGAGACGGGACAGAGTGCAGGGGAGAGGCTGGAGCTGTCACCTGTCCCTTCCAAGGGAATCAAACACCTCCTCCGGGGGCACGGAGCACCCTCCTTCCTCCCCCTCAGCACCTCCCGGCAGGCTGGGAGCCTGGGCCAGCCCAGCCCCACACCACCCTCCCGAATTCCGTGTGTTTCTCCACCAGGATGCTCAGAACGCCGCGGCCAGGCAGGGTGAGAGCACGGTAGTGCTTTGCCGTCGAGGAAACCGCAAGAACCAGCGGAGATGTTATCTCTGACATCTGGCTCCCATCAGGGAGCTCTGGCTGCCGACAGGAATGGACGGGATGGCCCCGGGGCTGCTTGTTGTTCCAGGGCTCCTCGCGGCTTCCCCGGCAACAGCGAAGCCGACACGGGGATGCCAGAGCTGGGGACACAAAGGCAGCAGGGCCACCCTTCCCCTGCCCTCTGCAGAGCCAGCGGCGACGTGTCCTCAGCCACCTTTAACCCCAGGTGAGACTGGCTCATCCAGCCCCACCCTGCCACGGCAGGGACACCTCCCACTGTCCCAGGTGCTCCCAGGCCTGTCCAGCCCAGCTTGGGCATTGCCAGGGATCCAGGGACAGCCCCAGCTCTGTGGACACCCTGGGCACTGTGTGTCGTGCTCCTGCTCTCAGGGTTGTGGTGATCATGACATTTAAGGTCCCAGAATAATTTTCCCTGGGTCAGGCTAAGAGGAGACTTTTGCCTTCTGGGGTCTGTGCATCTCCTGCACACATCCTGCTCTGTGCCAGGAGCCTGCTAAAGGTGTTTTGCTCTCCTCTTATTTCAGGCACTGGCTTTGGATTAAATGCTGGTGATCTGAAGCCTGAGTTGTGCTGTGATCCAGGGGAGGGGATGTCCCACAGATCCAGGGGAGGGGATCTGAGCCCTGGTTGCAGAGCCCTCCTGCCCATCCGTGGCTCCCCCAGGTCTCTGTTGCTCCAGAGTCAGGCACACACAGATCCTCTCCTGATGGGAGTACTGTGGATAGGGGACTGTTTCCCCGTCAGATGGATCTTCAGGTTTGGAAAATCCTTACCCAGACCCAGCCAGAGGAAAGGATTTCTGTGGATTTCTATGAATACAGAAAATACTGAAAAATCCAGAAAATCCACAGAAAATCCTGGTCTCCAGAACCAGCCTTTCACCCAGAGAGCAGCAATCCAAGATCTCCCTGTGTCTAGCTTGAGCAGGTGAATTTGTGCCTCGTCCAGCCCCAGCTACTGCTTCCATCACCTTCCAAGGAGGTGCAGGGGTTATTTTCAGAAGGAACCTGCAGAAACCCCCCAGCCCAGACAAACAGGCTGGGGCTGGCAGGCGTGGGGCCGTGCTGCTGCTCGGTCACAGCCCCGGAGCCTGGCCCTGCCCTGCCCTCCCAGCTGCTCCCGGGATCCCTTTTTGGGTGCTATTCCCCAGAGGCACACGTGGTTCTTTGTTCAGAACTTCGTGGTGATTCAAATGACCGCTCAGTCCCGGAAAGTTCAAACAAGCCCTGCAGCCAGCACAGTGCACAGGAAACAGCTGGGGAGAGGATGCTGGAGCGGATTTCCATAAAAGCCGATGATTCATGGAAATGTTCAGTGAGAGGGGCCAGCCTCGGGCTCCTGAGGAGCTTCTCGTCCTGACAGACACGATTCCCGAATTCCCAGTGCCCGTCCCCAGCACCGGCCGTGGGGCGGAGCAGAGGGAACTCCTGACATCCAGCCTGGGGGATCTGGGGGGATGCTACATCCCAAATTTCTGCTGCCAGTGAGACGCTGCTCAGCTGCCCTGGACTGGGGAAAGGGATGTCAGGAGAGGGCAGTGCCTGTGTTACAGGAGCTGGAGGGACAGGACAAGGGGGATGGCTCCCACTGCCAGAGGGCAGGGATGGATGGCTGGAGGGACAGGACAGGGAATGGCTCCCGCTGCCAGAGGGCAGGGATGGATGGGAGATTGGAAATTAGGAATTTTTCCCTGGGAGAGTGGGCAGGCCCTGGCACAGGGTGCCCAGAGCAGCTGTGGCTGCCCCTGGATCCCTGGCAGTGCCCAAGGCCAGGCTGGATGAGCTTGGAGCAGCCTGGGACAGTGGGAGGTGTCCCTGCCATGGCAGGGGTGGCACTGGATGGGCTTTAAGGTCCTTCCAACTCAATGCAGTCTGTGATGATGGTGATGGTGATGGTGAAGGACATCTGGAAGGGACAGAAGAACCTGCTGCATTCCGTGGCTCTCCAGGCTCCTTTCCTCTGTGCCCACCAGATTTCTTCCAGGACTCTTTCCCCGGAGCTCCAAGCAGCTACTGCCAGCTGGGCATTGCCCCCTGGAGTGGTGCCAGGCCAAACCAAACCACTTTCCACATCCCATAAATCAGGAGATGGAAAATCCCCTTTGGGGCACTGGGTTCAGCTGCTCCTGCAGCACAGGGCTGCTCCTGCCAGGACATTTTCCATGGATATTTCCCACCCACTTGGAATGACTCAAGCACAGGGGCTCCAGCACTGCAGAGATCCTCTCTGCTGCACAGCTCCAGGGGAGGGCATTTTCCTCTCCCTCACACTGAGATTTTCCTTTCCAGATGTCAGCTCTTCCCTCCCATCTGGACCCCCTGGGTTATTCCCCCTTTCCCTGACGTTTCCCACCCTGTGTTCATTCCGTGCCTGGCACCAGTGCCTGAGCCCTGCTGGTCTCAGCCACATCCCACTGCAGGGAGCAGAGGAAATGTGGCCTCAGGGACACCCTGGGCCAGCCCCCTCAGTGGAAGGGTCTCCATGCCCCTGAGAGGTCTGGTGGCACCTGTGCCCCTGCCCTGGCACCGAGCCCTGTCCCCAGCCCAGGAGGAGCAGGGTGGGATCGCTCTGGGCACGGCTGGTCCCGAGCCTGGAGGGAGAACAATCCATGGGAGCTGGCCACGACCTGGGAGCAGCTCCCAGGGCAGGCCAGATGCTCCAGACATTCCTGGTGTGAAAATCCCCCCACATTAATCTCAGGCAGTGCCCTTTTTATCATCCCACCCCAATGAATTGTGTGTGTGCTGTGAGGATGAAACCCCTGGGTCAGTGTTTCACACCATCACAGCTGTTTGGGGTTTGTTCTTCCTTCAGCAGGGCACTCTCAACCACCTGTAACCACCAAGGACAAAACCCAACATGGAATTTTCATGATGGAAATAAGGGCGTGTTTTAAATAACTAAAAATGCAGCTGTGGGGGGTTGTCTGCAAAGGGAACTTTCCCCAGTTTCATTATCCTACTCTTATTTTGGTATTGAAAATGCACAGTACAAAGAAAGACAGTCATGCTTTTATTCTGATTAATACATTTTAATGATCTGTGGCATCGGTTTCTATTTCCATGCACTTTTAACAATGCTTAGGAACTAAGATGCTTTTTCCTGCAGTCCAATTTCTTCTTTTGTAGAAAAACTCCATCTGCAAGGCACAGTCGGGATCCCAGATCCTACACACACCTCAGAACAAGGTCTAGTGATCATCCCAGCTTTGGTTTGTGATATCCCAGTGGGAATGAAGTGATATCCATGGCAAGCTGTGCATGGCCCGTGCTGATCCCAATTTCTGCTGAAGGAGCAGCAGGACCAGACAGGGGCTGGACTCTCCATCATATCTGTGGAGAACATTGCATTTTGGGCAACTTCAGGTGGGAAAAGGATGAGCCACACTGAGGCACTGAGAGCTTCCAGGGCTCCTCTTGTGCTGTCCCTTTGTCCCCTGGGAGCAGGGATGGATCCCCCCTGCCCACCCTGCTGGCAGGGTCAGCCAGGAGCTCTGGCCACACCAGGGATGTGTCTGGGCTCACACAGAGCATCAGCCCCAGCCCACCGAGCCCCATTTCCCTGCCTGGCACAGGGCACTGATCCTGTCTGGAAAGGTTCAGGGCTGCAGGAGCTCCCTCCAGAGCAGGCACCACCCAGGGGCAAGCTGAGGCCTTTCCAGCAGGGAAGGACAGGACAGCCCCGTGCCATGGGATGTTTTCTCCAAGGGAAGGGCTGGAATGCTGCCCACGGCCAGCAGGGCAGGATCCACAGGGACAGGTTCGTTCCTGGAGCTTTGCTTGGCTTTGCCTCGTGCCACGAGTCCTGGAGTGCAAGGTCCCTGACACCCCTCCTACAAGAACTTCCTGCAGGAAGTTTGATTTCCTAAAATTTCAGGGCTGTAATGAGGTGTCCACATCCTCTGTGGCGCTTTGTGCTCTGCCTGTCATCCCACCACGGAAAACACTTGGTAAACTTTCCTTGACACGGTGAGATTCATTAAATTGTTTTCAAAGCCAGTTAAAAAGGGTCCCTGACATTTCCATATTTTGTTTATTGCTTAGCAGCAGGAGCTCCGGGTTCTGGGAGGGAGGGGGAGAAGGGAAATATTTGTTCTGGACTTGGTTTGCCTCCAGGACCTGGCCGCTCCCTCGTGCCCGAGCCATGATCCCGTTCCTGCTCCCGTTATTTCACGTGCTGCTCCTCCCTGGCCACACTCCTCCTCTGCAGCTGCTGCTCCAGGACACAAACAGGGGGTAAGAGCCCAGGTTTGAGATGATGGAATCATGCAATCAGACTGATTTGGGTTGGAAGGGACCTCAAAGCTCATCCAGTTCCTGTCCCAGGCTGCTCCAGGCCCCATCCATCCTGGATCCTGTGATGCTGGGCCATTATTCCCTGCCCAGGGCCAGGGTGTTGGAATGGGATGAACTTTAATGTCCCTTCCAACCCAAACCTTCTGGGATCCAGGCGTTTTCTGATTTCAATCCCACTCATTGAAGATGTGCTGCTCTTTGTGCTCCTCTTGGAGAGACTCTTTTCACTTTTCCCATCTTGAAATGTGCCCAGCATTTAATTACACCATGAATAAATTATTGGACAGATAAAAGATATTACATCAAAAACAAACAAAACCATTTATCTGGATTTCAAATTGTAGGAATGGATGCGTTCGGGAGGTGCCCCTTTGGAGGCTGGGTGCTTTCCCGGGCGGAGCCGTCAGAGCTGGCTCGGCCGGTGCCTCACCCCGGCGGGGCCGCGGCCGCGGGGCTCGCTCGGCGGGGCCGCCCTTCCCTTGGGAGCCTCCAGGGCTCCGGCGCTGCCGCCGTGCCGGCCCGAGCCGGGGGCGCGGGCAGCCCTGGCCGTGCCCAGGGCCCCGGAGAGGCGCAGCTCCCCGGCGGGCAGCGAGCGCGGCGAGGCGGGCAGGGTCCCGCTGAGCCTCCGCAGCTCCAGCACCTGCTCCCGGGCCCGGCCCAGCGCCGCCGTCAGCTCGAAGCGCTCCTCGCACTCCCGGCGCACCGTGTCCTGCAGCAGGGAATTCTGCAACGAGAGACGCCGGGAATGCGCCAGCCATCACACCTGGACACTCCCGGGCACTGCCCCCTGCAGCAGGGAATTCTGCAAGGAGGGACATCGGGAATGTGCCAGCCATCACACCTGGGCACCCCTGGGACAGGGACCCTGCAGCAGGGAATTCTGCAACGAGAGACACCGGGAATGCCCCAGCCATCACACCTGGGCACTCCTGGGGTGGGAAACCCGCCCTGCACGGCACTGCCCCTGCAGCAGGGAATTCTGCACAGGAACACCGGGAATGCCCCAGCCATCACACCTGGGCACTCCTGGGGTGGGAAACCCGCCCTGCACTGCTCTGCTGTTCCCTGGGGAGCCAGCGGGACATCCCAGGGGAGTGCTCAGAAGGAGTTCCTGCTCTGCTGCCCGCTGGGAGAACTGGGAATGCTGCTCTTGGGAAGGGAAGGCAGTAATGGACAGAGGTGCAGTGACACCAAGGGGTTAATGCTGCGTTTCCATGGAACCCTCTGCAGTGGGAGAGCACAGCCTGCATGGAGCTATGGAGCCAGGCATGGAACCAGGTATGGAACCATGCATGGAACTAGGAATGGAATCAGGAATGGAGCCAGGTGTGGAACCAGGAATGAAACCAGGTGTGGAACCAGGAATGGAGCCAGGTGTCAAACCAGGAATGGAACCAGGCATGGAACCAGGAATGGAACCAGGTATGAAACCAGGTATGAAACCACATATGGAGCCAGGAATGAAACCAGGTGTGGAACCAGGACAAGCATGGAACCAGGTATGGAACCACGCGTAGAACTAGGAATGAAACCAGGAATGGAGCCAGGTGTGGAACCAGGAATGAAACCAGGTGTGGAACCAGGTATGGAACTAGGAATGGAATCAGGTGTGGAACCAGGAATGGAGCCAGGTGTCAAACCAGGAGTGGAACCAGGCATGGAACCAGGAATGGACACATGGAGTCACGGAATCACTCATGGGAAGGCCATGCCGCCCCCCTGCTGTCCCAGCACTGCCAAGGCCCCTCTATCCCACGTCCCCATCCTTGGGCACAGATCAGGACCATGTGTGGACTTGGAATGAAACCAGGTGTGGAACTGGAACCAGGAATGGAATCAGGTGTGGAACCAGGAGTGAAACTGGGTATCAAACCAGGAATGGACACATGGAGTCACGGAATCACTCATGGGAAGGCCATGCCGCCCCCCTGCTGTCCCAGCACTGCCAAGGCCCCTCTATCCCATGTCCCCATCCTTGGGCACAGATCAGGCACAGCCTCACTGGAATTCCACTCACACCTTTCCCAGCCTTTCCAAGGAATAAATCAGTACCAACCCCAGCACCAATTCCCTTGGAAGAGTTTCATTTTTGCTGTTGACCAATTCTTTTTCCTGCCACTGAATTGCTTTGGACATTCCAGCCTAATCTTATCTGCAGTCCCTGACTCCACGTTTCCCATGGAGCAGCTCTCTCCTCCCTTCCCATTATATTCCAAGCATTCAGCAAATGTTTGTGGTCAGAATATCCATCCGTTGAATTTCTCTTTGCATTTAATTCATTTTTATGCATTCCTGAGTTAGGGAACGTGGCTGCACTGGTGGGAGCTGGGGCACCAGTTCAAGGAATGAGAAATATCCGTGTCTTCTACTCTAAAAACTGGGAATTCTTCATTGTTTACTCATGTTTGGGCAGTGGGACATGAGGCTACAGACTAAGAAATGTCTTGCAGGATCTGAAAAATAATTTTTAACAATATATTTTTCTATGAAGCACTAATTTAAGCATTTGCTGAATTAAAACTTCACATCTTTTGTGATATACTGTATTTAGGAAATGATGATGGATTTGTTTGAGAAATCTTTGCGTTTCAATGGATTTTCTGGCCACAGACCTTTGAATGATTTTAGAAATCACATGTCTCCAAGTAAAAATAACCAGGCATTTCCTGGGTCCTGTTCCTACCTCCTCTTGAACTTGACTCAAGCTGTGAATCAGCTGTGTCTTCTCCTGGGTTAATTTTTCCAGTTCATCTGACTTGTGCTTAATTTCTTTCCTCAGTTTATCCAGGAATGATTCATTGTTGCTCTTTTCCATGGTCAGCTGGAACTCAAGCTCACTGATGAGCCTTTTAAGGCTCTGGATTTCTTTCTCCTTGTCTCCATCCTTCTCTGCCACTTTCATTTGGGCATCTTGGAGCTTCTTCTCCAGAATTTCCATCTCCATCCTCAAGCTCTTGGTGGCACTGGATATTAAACCTGGGATCTGGGCGAGATCAGACAGGAATTAATCTCCACTCAGTACCTCTAAATATGGAGAATTAATAGCAGACAAATGGAGACTTGAGGAAAAAACCAACAAATTCAAACTTGCAGGTCCTCAGAGAGAAAAAAAGCCCTGAATTTACATAATTCCCTGAGAGGACACCAGAGAGCTGTAAATTAATCACCACTCACTGAGAACACAGAGATTAATTAGTGTGTTCAAGATCAAATAGAGACATTGAGGTAAAAAAAGGGAAAATTTAACTTCAAGTTAAATTTATTGCAAGTCGGTGTTTCCTCAGGGTTTAAAAACCATGGTTAAATATTTGCCAAGTGAACAAAGCCAAAATTATTTTCAGCTCTAAATCACAGTGTCCCAGATTTTAAATAATAATAAAACCTCATCACATTCCTTTCATTTTTCCAGATCTCTCAGATTTTCTCAGGAATTGTATCAAACCTTTTGGAAACTCAGGTTACAGGCACAATTTCTCAATTTTTACATAAAACTGGAGGGGGATCTGGAGCTCCCAACCCCGTGTGGTGCCAGCACCAGTCCAGCCCAGCAGGTTTTACTGGCCCTGGAGCTGCTGGGCTCCCTTGGGAAGGGGAAAAACGTGGGTGGGATTGTGGCACCTCATCATAGCCTGAAACAGCCCCAAGCTTTTAAAAAGTGATGATGTCAGATTAAATATAATTAGCAACTCTGGGGACATAGATGGAGTTTTGGTGGTGAAAATACGAGATGAGAAAGAACTTCCACACCAATTAACTTGAACTGGAATAGTTATTTTCAGCTTGTTCCATTAAAAAAAATTAAATATATTAAGAGTGTGAAAAAGTACTGTATCATCCAGAGAGAGGATGACACACAGAGAAGCTTTTATTCCTTCACATTCCCATTTTTTACAGTTTTCTGTGATCTTCTGCCACAAGTTTTCTCTGGAGCATTGCACACCTTCTGCTGGAGCTCCTCGTGTTCCCTCTGGTACTTTGTGATCAGCTCCTGCTGCTTTTGTCTCTCCAGCTCCAGCTCCACTCTGGCCTCTTCCCTGACTTTCAGAATTGCTTCTTTGTGCCGAGCCTCCCCTTTGGCCAGGTCCATCTCCAGCTGGGGGACAAGAGGGGTCAGTGGCATTGTCACACGGGGATGGGATGGCATGGCATGGCATGGCATGGCATGGCATGGCATGGACCTCAAATCCCACCCAGTGCCACCCCTGCCCTGGCAGGGACACCTCCCCCTGTCCCAGGTGCTCCAGCCCCAGTGTCCAGCCTGGCCTTGGGCACTGCCAGGGATCCAGGGGCAGCCCCAGCTGCTCTGGCAATCCCAGCCCAGGCAGGAATTCCCAATTCCCAATCTCCCACCCATCCCTGCCCTCTGGCAGTGGAGCCATTCCCTGGGTCCTGTCCCTCCATCCTTGTCCCCAGCTCTCCTGGAGCCCTGCAGGCCCTGGCAGGTCACAAGGAGCTCATCCCAGACCCTTCTCCAGTTGGAATATTGGGTGAAATTCCCCAGTGCTTACGGCATCTCCAATAATTCCCATTATAAATTCAGCCATATTTCCCCAACAGAAAGTTCTGGACTCTGGATTCAACCCTGAAGGCTGCATTTGGGAGAACACTTTTCCTAACCCAGGCTGCTCCTGCTCCTTTGTGCAGCTGATTCTGATGGATTTAATTGCAGCAGGCTGGGAGCACAACAGGCACATTAAATGCACAACACAAACCTCATTATTTCCATGATTAAAAGCACAAAAGCCCACAATGAGCTTAATTACAATTATCTAATTCCACACATTATTATGAGGAGAAGTATAATAAATCTCCCCAATGTCTTTAGGGGACAAAGAGAAACTGGAAATATTTTCATTATTTTTTTAAGCAAAATACACCCAATTCTGGGTGTGGAAGAGGTGCAAATCCCCCACTAAGTTATAGCTTAAAAATTGCTCCAAGTAGACTCTAATAATAATAATAACAACAATAATAACAATACTAATAATAGTTATTTTAAACTATAACTCTATTATAATTATTTTACATGCATAATTATATTATATGCATATATATTCAATAATTACATTATTATAACACTATATTAATTAGTACTAATATAATCATTATATAACTAATAGTAATTAGTATATAATATTAAGACTAGTAATAATAAATATGATAATTAATGTTTATTATGTAAAATAATTATTCTATAATAGTATAATATTAATATGTATAAAATATAATATAGTTTTAATTCTGTTTGTATTATAATTCTATTGGATATAACGATGTATTTATTACTGATATTCATATCAATATTAATATTTTTATGTTCTTAGATGGGAGTTGGGATTCTGAACTAAATCCCCAGATTTATTAACTCTGTCTGTTATTACAGATCCTGATCACTGGCTGGAGGCTCCTTGACTCCACACACTGAACAATTAAAGGCAATATAAAAACCTGAGCCCATTCATAGGAAACATTTCCCATTTAATATTTGAAATGAATGAAGCTGAGATCCAGAACAGGAAATAAAGTGGAGGCTGATGTGGAGCACACTGGGCACTAACTGACTTATAGCCAATTACACACCCCTCATTAATTAATACTGTAAAAAGTGTGCCCCCATCTTTTCAGGAGGGATTTCTCCGAGGCAAGGGAGGCTCAGGGAGGGGCAGGAGCACCCCTGGAGGTGCCCAGGCAGTGACAGGAGTGGCACTGGGGCTCTGGGGGCATTTGGGCACTCAGAGATGGGGCCTGGTGCCCTTGGGGGACTTTGCCAACCTCAGTAACCCTGGCATTCCATAAATACCGTGTGTCCAATGGAGTTATTTCTTAAGTTACTTCCTGAAAGGGACTTTTTTTTGTTCCACCAAAACAATTTCAGGTTTAAACGTATTTTAAACAGAAAACTTGGCCCTCTGGTGCTCTGCAGTGCACAAACCAAAGGCAATGTTGTCACTTTGTCACTTTGCTGATTTTTTGGCTGCTGAGCCAAGTTTTGGGGCCTTGCTGTGGCTGCATTTTAATGGCTGTGACACCAAAGCTGAAATTGCTCCCTCTCCCTCCCACCAATCTTTATTTTGTTCTCATGTCAGGTCGAAAACACTCTGATTATGGAGCCAGCCTGATCCCCTTCCCAAATGATATCCTGTGACAGGGAAGTGAAGGGGTTTCCAAAGAAATGTAACTGATCCTAATTGCTACCAGTCCCCAAGTCTTCCTGGGGCTAAATAAAGCTTTCAGACACTGAAACAAAAAATACAGTAATTGCAGTCACCAATTATGTGAGGCTTAAATCAGACAAGTTACAATTATTGTTCAACTCTGCTTTTAAATTTTCCTTCACTGCTGTATACACTTATTTTAATTTCTTATTATTTTTAATGTTTTTTAATTCTTTTTAATACATAAATATATTTTATTTATTATTGTTTTTAATAGATGAATATATTTTTATTTCTTATTCAGTTCAGGGTTTTTTGGTGCTCCTGGAAAAAGCTGCAGATGAAAACAAGGTTGACATGGTTGTTCATGGGAAGCAGCTTCCCAAATCCCACTGGAAGAGGCAGGAGGATATTATGAGGCTATCCTTTGGACAAAGGATATCATGGACAAGCTGTGGCTGCCCTGGATCCCTGGCAGTGCCCAGGCTGGGCTGGGCAGGGTTTGGAGCCCCTGGGACATGGGAGGGGTCCCTGCCATGGCAGGGGTGACACTGGAGGGGCTTTGAGGTCCCTCCAACCCAAACCAGGCTGGGATCCTGGGATTCCATGAACTTCAGCCAACGTGAAATGTGCTTTTGGAAACAGGAGGCTCCCCACACAAACCCTTCCTGCGAGTCCAGGGCTTTGGGGCCCCAGCAGGCCCAGAGGCCAAAGGCAAACAAGATCTGTGTGTTCCTGGCAGAATTTTTGGCTGAGTCGCTTCCAAACCAGGCTGTGTATGATGCCAGGACTCCACCACCCGTGGCACTGAGGATCATTCCCTGCTTTCCTGTGCCCTGTGTGGTACTGAGCCCCCCAAGCAGAGCCCCCAGGGTCACCTTGTCCCTCCAGGAGTCCTCACTCTGCACCTTCTGCCTCAGCGTCTCCTGCAGCTGCTCCGTCCTGCTCTTGAGCAGCTCCCTAAAAACACAAATTCCACGTAAATGGAAATTACATGTACTCTGCCCACACTGCTGGAATCCCCTGGCCTTGCAATGAAGTCCTGCTGTCCTTGGCCCAGGAATCCCCACTTGGAATCTCCACCACACCCTCACTTGCCTCCTGAATTTCATGTTTTAAAGAAAAGTTGGTGCTTGATCCTCCACTTCAAATGGCTTTTTAATATTTCTTTGATATTTTCAAGACAAATTTCAAAGAACACAGAGAAACTTAAAATATTCCACCCATAACTTGTATTTCATGAACTTGGAATATTAGGATCATTAATAAAAAAATTGTAATGGGTTTGGAACGAAAACCACTGAGTGCTTTCTGTTTCTTATGGGGGGCTTGTAGGGCAAGGCTCCTGGAGAGGTTAAATTCCTGTCACTGATGTTGTTAACAACTTGTCCACCTCAAAAATTCCTTGGTATTCCCTCAGCCAGGGTTCTGGACAGGATCTGGTGCTTGGGGAGGTGTGGGAGCAGCTTCCCACCAGTCCAGGCTGGCTCTGAAGGGTCTCAGCTGTGAACAAAGCTGCCACGGTCCCTGGGACTGCTTTTGAGATGTGCAAAATAAAGCACTGGGCTTCTGAGGGCTGTTTTCCCTGGAATGGGATTGAGCTTGAGTGCCTTGCTTTGGACTCCCCAACCTGAATCTGTATTTTTTTAATTACCTGCTGTAGAATCTCCATCTCCAGTTTTACTCCTGACATCCACATGCTTGATTTCAGGATTCAGGAGTGCCAGGAGGCACCAACTGCTCTGCATTTCAGGGTTTGGATATTCCCTGCACCTTGGGCACAAAGAGCAGCTGAGCAGCTGCAGAAATGGGGCTTTGGGGCTCAGATCAAACTCCAGATGAAGCTCTGCACTCCAAGCAAACTTCTCTACTCCTATTTTTAATAGTACTTTTCCTTCTCTTCTCTTCATCCAAGTTTTGTTTATCCCATTATAATTTAAAAGCCCAATCCAATGGCCCCCAAAATCTCAGACTTTCCAGGAGCACCAGCTCAGCTCCCTTTACCTCTCCTGTTTCAGCATCAGCACCTCCTGCTCTGTTTGGCTCAGCAGAGCTTTGAGGGTTTCCAGCTCACTCTCTGATCTCCCAGTTCTTCTCTTCAGATCTTCTTCTCTCCTTTCTTTCTCAGCCACCTCCTCCTGTAAATGTTTGCAGACTTGCTGGCAAACGAGAAGGGATTCCTCCTTTTCCTTCAGCTCTTTTGTAAGTCTACAGATGAAATAAAGAAATAGCAGCATTGTAGTTACTATGTTCTTACTTATAGACAAAAATAATAATGCCTGCAAAATAAAATATTGGTCAAAATCCCATGTGTTTTTTATGAAGTTAAATCTACTGACTTGACAGAAAATTTTTAATGTATTGCATAAAATCTGCATTAAAATAATAAAATGTTTGCTGTCATTGCTCAAAAATGTGAAATATCATTTCAGCATTTACCTGGACTCAGCAATTCCATTCTCATATTTGATCTTTTTCAGTTCATTTTGACAGACATCAAGTTCTGTTGACTTCACCCTAAAAAAAAAGGTAAAAAAGGTTATTATCCAAAGAAATGAGCCTTTACTCCTGGATATCACTTCTGGGTGTATTTTCCTCCTTGCATTTTCCATATCAGGTAAAAGGCCATGAACAGAAAGTTCTGTCAGCTCCAGCAATGATTGTTGATAATTGGAAGTTACACTTCCAGTGCCATCTCAGCCTGCCCTGGATCACAAGTGTTGCAAACAAGAAGTGAGATCTTGCAACACTGATGACAGTTTTGAGTGATAAATGAATAAAATGGAACAAATCCCAATTTTGTAGGTAAAAGAGCTGGAAACTTTGCAGGTTTCATGTCATGATGTCACCATTGCACCAATTAATAACCATGGTTAAGGTTCATATTTACATTTAAACAGATATAGAATATGTTGTTTTATTAAACTGTGCCCATATTACTGAAATGTTCATTTACACTTGGAAAGCCCCCAGTGTTTATTTAACTGTGTTCATGACATCTTTGTTTCCCACTCAGTCCTTACATTATCATCAAGTACTCTGTTGCTAAGCACCCCAAATATTTGCAGCTGGGCCATGGTCAGACCCCCTGGGTGAAGGAACTGAAAGCAGGAGGTGCAGAGCAGAGGAGCACAGTCCCTCTGCTCAGCTCGCCAGGGACAGGGAGCTGCTGGTGGCAGAGCCTGGCACTGCCAGCTCCTGAGCCTCACGAGCACCACTGGTGCCTCTCAGCATCCTCTGCCTCCTGGATCCCCTGGATTCTCCTGGAGGTGGTGTCCCCAGCTGCTCCAGTGCCCACTGGCGTTCTCAGCACTCAGCTGTGGGATTTGTGATGTTTTGTGGTGTTGGGGTGCCAGGCTCCTGCTGTGGGAGTGTTCTGGAAATGGGAGAAAATCCTGCAGTGGTTTGGGTTGGAAGGGGCCCCAAAGCCCATCCTGCTCCCCCCACCCTTTCAAGAGACCAGGTGCTCCAAGCCCCATCCAGCCTGGCCTTGGGCACTGCCAGGATTCCAAATTCCCTGGAAAACCTGTGCCAGGCCTGCCCACCCTCCCAGGGAACAACTGCTAATTCCCAACATCCCACCAACCCTGCCCTCTGGCAGTGCTCTATCACTATACATTCCTTCCTTCCTACAGAAAATGTGTATATATGCACATTTTTAGTCCTGAAGCTAGGTGGGATTCCCAAAATGCCTCCTGCACCCGTGTGTTAGGTGAGGCACTGCATCAGCTCCTTGGCCCTGCTCTGCAGCTCCAGCAATCCCTGCTGGAGGAAGGAAGCCCTGCTCCCACAGCCAGGCTGCCTCAGGCAGGTGCTCAGAAATAATCATATGGAGATAAAATAGTTCCTCTGTTGGTCAAAACCTTCTCAGAGCACTGTGACAAGCAGCACTGGCTGGAAAAAAAAAAGTTATGTGTTTTATGTGCAGCGGGAAGCAATCAAGGAGTGGGAATCTTACAGCAGCAGCTTCTTGTAGTGGTCCATCTCTGCTGTCACCTTCTGCAGCTGCAGGCCAGCTGTCTCCACCTGATTTGTTAAATCTGAAAGCAAAAACACGAGGTTGTGTCTCTGTCAATGTTAAATCAATCCACTTCAGTGGTTTGTTTCCAGGTGGGAGCTGCAGCTCCTCGCTCCCACCTCAGGCAGAGCAGTGCACGTGAGCAGAGTGACTTTACAGCAAAAAGCTGGGGTTTGTTTGTGTGTTTGGGGCTTTTTACCCCACCAGAAAACACCACATTCAACTACACAGAAACATGAAATCAGATTGTTTGCTTTAAATCCGATTGTTGTACAGAGAGCACACAGATGCAGGAAGGTGGCCCCAAAACTCACCTGGAATTCACTTCATCTGAAACCCTGGCAGTAATTAAATGCTGTACTTGCCTTATCCTCTACATGTTATCCTTCAGAACACACCACCTCAGCTCCAATCAGCCACTGCCTTTTCCCCAGTACAATCCCTGGTTTTTTAGTTAAATTATCTCATTTGGTTTTGTGTGCCTTAATATCCCCCTTTTCTATGCTTTCAAATCCTAAGAACAGCCATAACTGGCAGATGAGAAGCCCTTGAAACTGCAGCAGCAGCACATGGCTCCATCAGATTCTCATCTCCAGGAACATATCACAGAACCATGGAATGCCTTGGGCTGGGAGGGACCTCAAAGCTCATCCAGCCCCAGCTCCCCTCCACTGTCCCAGGCTGCTCCAAGCCCCATCCTGGAACACCTCAGGGATGGGGCAGCCACAGCAACTTGGGCACCTCTAAATATCCTCATGAACAAGAGCTGCCTCTCCAGAAAGCCTAAGAATGATTTGGAATCAAAGTTTCTACCAAAAGGACAGCACAACAAACTACATGGAAAAAAATCCAGTGACAAATCATTGCAACAGATCTGGAAGTGAAAGAAAAAACAAGATTATTCCTCAGAAAGCAACAGCAAACAAAGTGAGGTGACCTCGTCTCTGAAGGGAACAGCTCCCATGACAGTCCTTCAAAGCTCCCTGATGCATCTTCCCAGAAGCCAAATCTGCCATTCCTGTTCTTAAATTTATCATTTCACCCCAATTCCCTGAATTTCTGTAACTTTTCCCACGTGTCTCTGTCAGTCATTTCCAGCAATGATGATGGATGATCCCAGTGTGGGATTTCCTGCCAGCCACACCTTGTCGTGATAAATCCTACAAGTGGAAGATTCTCCTCTTTTTCAGTAAAGGAAAAAGGAAAATAGTTCATAAGACTACAACAAAAATAACCAGGGAGAGAATTATACAGGGTAAAGCACACAGGACGAGCCAGACCCATTCCCAAACTATCAGCATTTATAAAGAGCTTTTTGAAGAGAAAAATAAAATTTCTTGGATTTGATTGAACCCTTGGGAAAATCATGCCCATCCTCACAGGCTGCTGTGGAGGCGTTTCCCAAACAGTTCTTTCTAAACTTTTTAAAATTGTTATTTTAAAAGATGTCTGCCAATAATTAATAACTGTGGTCTTTTTTAATTCTCCCTCAGTGTGGGAGTGTGGACACAAGTTCTGGAATAAAGGAAAAGGAGAGGGATGATGCTTGGTTTGGCTCTGTACTTTGGGTGGTCTCTCTCAAAGCTGTTTCCTCTTTCACTCCATTTGTTCTCAGAAGTTTTCATGCTCACTGAGCATGGACAGGAGTTTTTCATGAGGGAATAGATGGATTTAATTACACAAATAGTTTCTGCAAGTCTTCTCTAGAGAGAATTCCCACCGAAGTCAATGGGAGCTGGTGAGCAGCAAGTCCCCGCCCATGGAGGCAGATGGCAATGAAAAGCATGGTAAAAATGAGGCCACCAGTCAGGAGAATGGCAACACAAAGGAAACTGCAAACCTGCTGAACAGAGGAAAATGCACTCAAACCCTTATGTAAAAACATTCTCTGGTAATGGAAATAAAGCCTATTGCAAAACGTGCAAAGAGCCCACACTCTGTAATACTGATACTGGGCTCAGTGCTCAGGAACCGCCTCATCTCAAAGACCCAGCAGGCCCAGCCCACCTCAGTTTCATTTCTGTTGAATTTTACTTATTTTCGTGACTCAGAATGGCTCTCACCACCGTCACAAACCTTCCAGTAACCTCCTGTGAGGTGACAAGCACAGGGACTGGGGGGCACAGCCCAGCGAGGACCTGACGAGCCGCAGAAACAGAAACACAACAAACTGGGGACTGTTTCCTCTTCCCCGGGCAAATTGCATCACTGCAGCCCCTGGCGTGTGCACAGCACCCAGCAGAGCCTGCCCACAGCTGGCTTTCAGGAATTTAACCACCCAGTTTGCATCCAAGGGCACGGTGCCCCAGCTCCTGCCTGGAAACAGCAACAACTGGTGAAGTTTTCAGTCAAAAATAAAAATAATAAGCAGCACATTGGGTAAGCAGCCACTCTGGAAGCCATCAGCTCCACAGCTAATTCCTACCAGATTCCCAGTGAGGCTGGATCAGAGGCACACGTGGAAGAGCTGTGTAATTTTCTGCTTTTCCTGCAAAACCTACAAAATCCAATCCAGTATAATTGCCAACAATTTGGGGGTAATCTGAATGAAAGCTCAATGTTTCATATATGTGCACAAAAAAGATTATTTCCCTGCAGTTAAGACTTCATGGGGAGGTTCATAAGGTTCTCAAATAGCTCATGGAATCCCAGAATGGTTTGGGTAGGACCTTAAATGCCACCCAGTGCCACCCCTGCCATGGCAGGGACACCTCCCCCTGCCCCAGGTGCTCCAGCCTGGCCTGGGACACCTCCAGGGAAGGAGCAGCACAGCCTGGGGCTCAAAGCCATGTGCCATCCCCAGCAGGGCTGGGATCCTCCACCTTCCCTCCCCTCCACTCGGGGTCCCCTCTCAGTCAGGGACCAGCACTGGGAGCTCAGAGCTGGGGATGCTCCAGGAACTGGAACAGAGAGCACACAGAGCCCTGGGCAAGGCACACTGCAACCCAGCCCCTCCTGCTGGGGTTCTCGTGGATCCTGGGAAATAGGAAGTTGTAGCAATTATTTAAAACTTACTTGATAACTACCCCTTGCATGGGCCCTGAATTTGGCCAATCAGCAGTGCCAAAGGGGGCAAAAATATTGAATTTTTCTCAGAACACTAATTCCAGGCAAAGTCAGACGTACACTTAGCACAGATAGTTCCCGGTACATTTATTTAAAGAGCATAGCAGACAATCTGGGAGAAATATGAAATACATGCATGAAAAATTACAGTGTCAGAGCAGGAAAACATTGCCTCACCACGTGTTTCTAAGGAGACCAAAGAAGTGAAGTAACACCCCAAGGCCCTGCACAGAACAGAGCTAATTCTTTGCATTTATAATAGCTCATGTACTGTGTTCTCTAAGATAATTTTTTTTTGTCTACACAACAAAGTCCTTCTTTTAATTTGTGACTCACAAAAGTCTGGAAGGAGCCCAGGGATGGACTCCAGACTGAGATCCTTTCTGGAGACCTCACCAGTGCCATCAGGAGGTGTCCAAAGCACCCAGTGCTGCCAGGGACTGGGAGCATGTGCCAGGAGAGGAGTGGCTGAGGTTTATCTCCCCCAGCACGTGTTGCTGACCACTGCCAGACTGGGCTCCATGGCCCCCTGCTTCCTTCTTCCACCTTCATAAAACCAGCAGGGAAAAAGGAACCAGATTCTAAATGGTTTTGAGTGGCACAAATCAAGGGCAGCCTCAACAGAATAAACCAACAACTGCAACCATGCAAACACGGCAATCTCCAAGACCTTAAAAATCCTTAAATAGGGAAAAAATGTTATTTTGGCAAAGCCTGCTCCCCTCCCACGCCCCCAGTGACACAGAACAGGCACTCCTGCCCTCAGAAGGGCTGGCTTTGCTCATCCATGGCCTGAGTTCACACTCCAGCACCAAGGCCTGGGTCTAAAGCCTGAATTTTCTGCCTGTATTCCTGCCTGCTTGAAGCCAAGCTAATGGGGATGTGTCACAATTCCTACAGACCTGCTTCTCCTACACATTAACACTGGTTTGAAATACTGGAAAAACTAAACAGGAAAAAGATGGAGATTCTGACCTTAATTTTCCTTGGGGATAATTTGTTACCCTCGATGTTTAGGCCAAGCAGACAAAACAAAATACAACAAAGACACATCCTTTAATACAGAATTAGGGTTTGGTTTGGAAGGGACATTAAATCCCACCCCTGCCCTGGCAGGGACACCTCCCACTGTCCCAGGGACAGCTCCCACTGTCCCAGGTGCTCCAGCCCCAGTGTCCAGCCTGGCCTTGGGCACTGCCAGGGATCCAGGGGCAGCCCCAGCTGCTCTGGCAATCCCAGCCCAGGCAGGAATTCCCAGTTCCCAAGATCCCATCCATCCCTGCCCTCTGGCAGTGGAGCCATTCCCTGGGTCCTGTCCCTCCATCCTTGTCCCCAGTCCCTCTGCAGCTCTCCTGGAGCCCCTCCAGGCCCTGCCAGGGCTCTGAGCTCTCCTGGAGCTGCTCCTCTCCCAGCCTGGCTCCAGAGGAGACCCTGGGTTCCTGCTTTTCCTCGAGAAGCCAAGTGTGGCCCTTCTCTCAGTGACACCCCACCGCAGCCTGGTCCCAGCCCCTGGCAGGGAGCTGGGAGTGGGTGCCATGGATTCCTGGGCCTCCTCTGGCACTCAGGCTGCTGAAAGCTCTAATGAGCCATTGCCTCTCACCCTCTGCTCCAACAGCAGCCCTGTATTCCCTGGCTCTCAGCCTCCCCAGCCTTCCCACCGCGGCTGGAATTCATCAAAAAATACATTTCAACAGCACTTGTAGCTGGCTGAACTGCAGCCTGCCTACAGCTGCAGGCAACTATTCCCCCTCTGCATTTGCAAAGCTCCTCAAAGTGGTTTTTAAAGTGCCATTAAAGACACTCCAGGAGATGAAAACACCTCTTTTCCGAGAGCAGTGCTAGCATTCCCTCTCCTTTCCATGAGCAGGGCTAACATTCCCTCTTTTCCGAGAGCAGTGCTAGCATTCCCTCTCCTTTCCATGAGCAGGGCTAACATTCCCTCTCCTTTCCATGAGCAGGGCTAACATTCCCTCTTTTCCATGAGCAGTGCTAGCATTCCCTCTCCTTTCCATGAGCAGGGCTAACATTCCCTCTTTTCCACGAGCAGGGCTAACATTCCCTCTTTTCCAAGAGCAGGGCTAACATTCCCTCTTTTCCATGAGCAGGGCTAACACTCCCTCCTTTCCATGAGCAGGGCTAACATTCCCTCTTTTCCATGAGCAGGGCTAACATTCCCTCTTTTCCACGAGCAGGGCTAACATTCCCTCTTTTCCAAGAGCAGGGCTAACATTCCCTCTTTTCCATGAGCAGGGCTAACACTCCCTCCTTTCCATGAGCAGGGCTAACATTCCCTCTTTTCCACGAGCAGGGCTAACATTCCCTCTCCTTTCCACGAGCAGGGCTAACATTCCCTCTTTTCCAAGAGCAGGGCTGACATTCCCTCTCCTTTCCACGAGCAGGGCTAGCACTCCCCTCCCCAGCTGCCTGCAGTTTTCCACCACCTCTCATCAGGCTCATCATGCAGCAGACCACCAGGTTTGGATTGGGAGCTGAAGTAGCCTATGGAGCAGGAGCAGCCAAAGACCAAAAATTCGGATTTTGGGAGCATCAGCAGCAATTTCAACCCATCCAGAGCAAGGCCAGAGCTGTCACGAGCTAGAGCAAAACCACAAGGACTTTGGGGAGGAAAAATTAATTTTTAATTTGTGATTAAGTGAAGGATCTAGCTGGTAATAAAATGAAAGCAGAAATCTTTTAGGAGCCCGTGCTACTGCAGCCCTGCTGCTGGCAGCACTAAGAACACAGACACATTATCACATTATTGATTTTGGATTTGGGGAAGCTGATTGATTAAACAATTACCCAGCAGACCTTACCCTGTGCTGAGCATTTGTCAAGACCTGTCACCTCCCTTAACTGGGTGATGCTCTGTGAGGCTGAAAAGTGCCTTGAAGGCAGCAATCCATCTGATCCCACAAATCCCCTGCAAAGGGGATCTCCAGAAAGCCTCCACAAGCATGAGAGCAAAAACCATCAGCAGAAACAACTGCTTGCTCCCTGCTCTTGCAAATGCCTGCTGTGATGTGAAATAATCATGACCTCACAATTCAGTGAGGAACATGCAGCAGAAGAATCCTCAAAATATTGGTTGCAGAAAGGAAAATCCTTTAAAAACACACAGATCACAAATCCTGGTAGTTTTTATTATTTCTGGAGTGCCAAATTATTTCAAAGAGGGACTTTGGAGTAGCTTGTGGGAGGGAAAAAAGCAAAATAAGGCAAAACCCCAAGCTCCCTCCAAAGCATGGACACTCAGGGTGTGGCTGATTTCCACACCCCACTTTGGACAGGACAAATCCACTCCCTGGAACTGATTTCCAGTAAGATGTTTGTTCCCACTCATTTATTTTTAATACAATGGCAAACTCATTTCATATTTAATGATTGTTTCATGAGAAACCCCTGTTTGGTATTTCAAAGAGAACCATTTTTATCAGCAGTGCATTAACTGGGTTTATTACCCTGACTCCCTAGAGCCAGACCCCTTGAAATCCTCCTGGATTTGTGTTTCACTGATCCATTCAGGAAGGGTGGAATCCAAATGCCTGAGCCAGCAGCTTTCCTGCCTTGAAACCTCCTTCTGGATACCCACATCAAACGTTTTACTGCTTCTTAATAACTCATTTATTAGCAAGTGACTGCTACATTTTATTAATCAATTTTAAAATGCCTCACATAAAACATCAGCCAGCTTAGATGGCATTTTTACTCATCATTAAGATTTTTCAGGGTCCTAATATTCTGTATTAATTCCATATATGGAATTAGCTGTGGTTTTAGCTACGTTTTCTCCATAAAATCTCAGTTGTTTTATATTTCACTGCAAATTTTCAGTGTGGGACAGTGGAAGGTGTCCCTGTCCCTGGCAGGGGGTGGAATGGGATGAGCTTTAAGGTCCCTCCCAACCCAAACCCCTCCAGGATTCTGTGATAATTAATTGTGATGGGCTGATGCAACATGCCAATTTAGGGAAGCAAACTCAGGTTTTCAGAAGATCCAAGAAGCCATGCAGGCCCTCCAAAGATACAGAACACAATGAACAACTTTTAAAAATAAAATAGAGACTGCCAAAACCTCTCAAAATTTTAAGATAAGAACAAGGCAGTTCTGCATGGAGTTAAGGGGGGCAAAGCAATGGAAGTGTTTGTTTGCCATGCTCATGAACAAACCCTGAACTCTGCAGTAAGCAGAGGGGAAAGGGGCCTCAGCCAAGGGCAGTTCTCCCATCACATAAATACAGCAATGCAGGTGCTTGGTGTCATGATGCTAACCCACGTATTTCAGAGTGTGAGAGATCTCCTGATGAGGTTTTATGTCCACTGCTCCTTATAATTTCTACAAAGACAGAAGGTGTCTTTGCTGGAGCTTTTCAGCAGTATTGCTATAAAGACAAACCAATTGAATATTAACATATAAGATATTATTCTGTTGTTACAATGTAGTAATGAGTGCCATGCCCATGCTCAGCGCCAGGGCTGGTGACTCAGGGATGGGATCTCACCCCTGCTGCTTCCACAGGAGCTGAAGGAGCACTGAAGTGACCAGCACTGTCACCTCCTGCTGTCAGTGTGTCCCACGCTGAGCACAGGCAGCTGGGGACTGCTGTGCCAGCCTGGGGACTCCAAACCCTGCCTGGAACAGCACGACCTCACAGGTGCTCCCAAGGTCCTAAAACACCTCTGAGCCAGAGCTGTGAATGCAAGAGAACAGAGACCCAAGGGATACCCACATAAATAATCCTTTTGCACTGAGTTTTTGTGTGCACACAGCTCCCAGGGTGTCATTTCAAGTGCTGTCACTGCTCTCACCCTTTCCAAGAGCATTCTCTGCTTCCTGAGACACAATCAAGGGCAGATCATTAGAGTCTGCTCTTTAATGGCTCAGAGAAAAGGGCCTGGCTGGTCTGTCCTGCTTTTCAGAACTGCTCTGAGAGCCAGAAATCCTTGCTGGTCCTGCACTCAAAATGAGACCAATTCTTTGAATTTTACCCTCAGAGCTGGACAATTAACAACAGGATTGTACTCCACCACCTTCATGATTTTCCTCTTTTCTCCCCTGGTCCTGCACTCAAAATGAGACAAATTCTTTGAATTTTACCCTCAGAGCCTGATGTTCTACTTAAGCTGGACAATTAACAACAGGATTGTACTCCACCACCTTCATGATTTTCCTCTTTTCTCCACTTGTCCTCCCAGCAAGTCTGATGCTCCTACCAGGGTTCCAGACTCCTCGGAATGACATTCCCTCCTTCTGACTGCAGACACCCACCTTTTGTTCAGGCCTGTTGAGTCTTTTCACAGTAACAACCACAATCTTGTGCTTTTAAAAACATTTCTTTTTCCCCCAGGATTTTTGCCAGAAAGGATAAAAGCTTCTCTTACCCAGAGTTTCCTTCTGCAGCTCACGGCACCGGCTCTGGAGCTCGCTCCCCTGCTGAAGGGAAGTTTGGAGCTGCTGAGTTTTCAGCTCAACCGTGTCAGCCACCTCAGTGAGGTGTTTGACCTTCTCCTGCAGACACTCGTTCTCCCGCTGGGATTTTGCCAATCTTTGGTTCAGTTTGGGTATTTCTGAGGAGGCAAAACAAATCCATGTAGACTGTTGCTGTTTTTATGTTAATCATGAATGAGAACATCAAAGCTGTGGATCTGCTCTGCAGCTCACAGGGGGAGGTGGAGATGCACATTCTCATCCTGCCCTCAAAGCCCTGACCAAACTGACCCCAGAGGTTAATCTGGGCTACAGTGGGATCTTTGGGTTGTCCTGTGCATGGCCAGGAGCTGGCTTTGATCCTTGTGGATCCTCCCCAACTCGGGAGATTCTGTGATTTTGTGGCTCAGTCAATCAGCAGCTCATCCACACTGAAAAACTGCTAGGACAGGAATATGTCAGAATATTGTTTCTGAAGGCCTTTAAAGCTGTGAATTGGGCACGGGGCCCGCTGGGGAGCTCTGGCTGTTGCAGTGTGTAACTGCACCACTGCACACAGTTTTCAGTGACAAATGGCATCCAGGGCTCAGCCTGAGGCTGGGCACAGCCCCTCCTGAACAAGCCTGTCCCTGCTCCCAGCCCCCTGGCCCCTGTGGGAGCAGGAAGCAGCCTGGGACCAAGGGAATTCTGGCCAGCCCAGGGGCTGCTCCGTGCCCCTTGCAGGCCCAGGGACCCTCAGATAAGGAGGGCTGCAGCTGGCAGAGCTTCTTCTCACCGGAATGGGAGCAGGGAGAGCTGCTGCTCTTGGGTGTGAGTTTGCTCCAGAAGTCCCTGCTGGCCCTGCGCTCAAAATGAGACCAATTCTTTGAATTTTACCCCACTTAAGATGGACAATTAACAGCAGGACTGTATCCACCACCTCCATCATTTTCCTCCTTTACTTCTCTTGCCCTGTCCAGTTTGGGGGGCAGCACTGCAGGACACCCCAGCAGCTCCCACAAGGATGCAGCAGCACCCTGGAGGATCCTTTTTTCTCTTGCCCAGAATGCTTGCAGGATGCTTTACCTGTCAGAGCTTCTTTGCTCATGGCTTTTATTTGCCGAAAAATTTCTTCCTTCATGGCAGCAAAGCTCTCCATGTTGGTGGAGATGACCTCTTTAATACTGTCTAGTTCACTCCTAATGAAAGGGAACAGTGAGACAGCCTTGTTCAGGGTGGAGCAATGGTGTTCCAAGGTAGTTCTGCAAGAAAAAAATGTACCAGATGTATATTTATAAATTATTCTATAAATAAAACTTGGGAATTAGACTAAGCCTGACAACTACGTTCCCAATATCTGGTAATTTATACTGCACTGGGTTACAATAATTCAGTGTATGAAGTGTGCTGTGTGTTGAATGTATCATGTATAATAAGTTTCCCCATCTAAATGTTTAGAGCTTTTATACATAAATGAAGAAAACTGGGTTTGTTTCATCATTTCAAAATCCAGTGCAGGAAACTGTACAGCCATTTTTAATTGAGAAATCAGAGTAATCATGTTTAAATTACTGTATGCCCAGGTTTATGGTGAGCCTTTATAAACATATGCAAGAAATACAGCATTTCCAACATCAGCATTCCTTTTTGGGTTCTCACCTGAGCACCTGTGACTGCTTGTAGGCAGCTTCCTTCTCCTCCTGGAAAAACTGCAAATCAGCTTTCACAGTTTTCATCTCCTCCTGCTTGGTTTTAAGTTCCACTGTCAGGGTTTTTATCCTACAGATGTAAATAAAATAATCAGAATTGTTTGCACCAATAATCAACCTCCAACTTTGGTTCCAGCTTTTTCTTTTTCCAGGGCAGGAGCCAGCTCTGTGCTGGCCTCAGGCACAGCAAACCCCTCCAGAACCATCCCCCAAGGTGTTCTTCTCCTCTAGCATTTACCTTGGGAACTTTTCTCTACAGCACCAGTTTGTTTTTCAGGCACAGCTACCCCAGTGTAAATAAACACCGTTTAAACATTGCTCTTTCAACAATTCAGCACTTGCTCCCATAATTGTCAGGAAATGAATGGAACTGCACAGGGATAAAAGAGCTGAATCCAGTTCCCTTCCTGTGGTACATGTGAGGAACAATCCCACGCAGCACATCAGCCCCAGCTGTTTTCTGGAGATAACCATCCTAAAGCAGCCTCCCAGCCCCAAAAATACCACTCCAGTGACAAGCAACTGTTAAAAACCAGCCCCTGTTTAAGCTTTCAACACCTACTGCTCACACAGAGAAAATGATCTATTTGTCTCCTGGTGACTCATTGCCACAAGTAAATAAGTAATGTTTGAATAGACAAGAATTTTACAAAACCAAAGGCTGGCAGAAGCACTACATCAGCCTTGGCTTCAATTTTAAACAGCAGGAGAGAATGAGAATGATTTATGCTGAAAATATATCAAAATTAAACCAAACTATGACAGTGCATTAGTTACTGTTATCACACAGATCAGCACCAAAATGGACATTTAAAAAAACATTAGTCCTGGTTAAGAAACATGGATCTGCAGAGCTCTGATAAATCTGAACATCTGGGGGTTAAAAAGCAAGTACTTGAGGCTCAATTGTGAACCCTGGAACAAAAAAAAAAAAAAACAACTCAAAAAGCACAAAGCAAAACAAAAAAAAATTTTTGAAGATATTCCTGGCATTACTTTTCTAGGAAATTTTACCCATTGCTACCTGCAAATTTCCAGGAGGTGGAGAGCAGGAGGAGAGAGAAAATCTGTTGGATTGTGGTTGGGAGCAGAGTTGTTGTCATTCACAAGAAAAAAAAAAAAAAGTCCATCCCCTAAACAGCTCCAGGAATTCAAATCTACGTTTGCAGCTGAGGAAAAAATCAGTGATTTGTCACTGACCAGTAACAAACCCAAACTCTGGGAGCCGGGGAGAGCCAGATGCTCATTTTCCATTCTAGTTCTAGAATGGGGAGTATTTGAAGTTCTTTTGGATTAAAAAGAAACTGGTAAATAAGAAGAGCCACATTTTCTTCCTCTTTCCATTCCAGAGCTGACATTAAAGGGATGTTTCCATGTCCTGCTCAGTCACTCACTAAAGAACCCGTGGAAAAGACAAGACAGTTGCACTCGGCTGCTACCATTAGAAGAAAGCAAAATAAACACGTTATTCTGGGTTTTTAGCACCAAGGGAGAGTCCAGGGCATGTTAAAAGCTGGCATTTGAGAAGGAACAGGCTGATCTCACCCTGTGCCACAGAGCACTCCCTGCCCAGGCTGGCATCCATCCCCTGGTGCTCCTGGGGAGCACAGGAGGAGCCCTGGCAGAGGCAGCGGGTCAGGCCGTGCTCACCCCGAGCTGCCAGGGGCAGAACAGCAGGAGGAGACCCAGCAGGGGCTGCAAACAGCCTCGCTGGCCCCCAGAGTGAGGAGCAGCCACCCTGCTCCAGGGATTTACAGGAGTCATCCCTGCACTGGGACGGTGCGTGGAGCAGCGCTGGCACTGCCAGGACACAGCAGGCACGCAGAGCCTGGCACATCTGGCCACAAACAGCTCCACCCCAGCGTTTTCACTGCCATGGAACTTTGGGAGCTGCCCAGAGCCAGGAGCTGCTCACTTTCATTTCACAGCCGGGAGCTGCTCATTTTCAGTTCAGAAAGTGGTGAAGTCACCAGCCCTGGAAGCGTTCGCGACACGTGTGGATGTGGCACTTGAGGACACCTTCAGCATTTACATCTATTTTACATTTCCCACTGGATGTGGATTAATTCTGCTAATTAAATCAATAATAATTCAATTAATGATCAAGACTGAAGTGATTTTAACACAGAATAAGGTTGAAGCTGAGTGGATCAGTGCAGTTTGTTCCCCTTCTCCTGCCAGGATCCCAAAGGAAAGGTGACCAGGGACAGGCAAACTCCCAGGTGGCTTTCAAGGTTAACCACAGGAACCAACAGGAATACCTGAACCCAGAGGGAACAGAAACCTGAAACAGTCTGCGGGTGATAAGAGATTCAATCCCTGGGTCTAGCAGAGATAAAAGTAAGAAAGAGGCATGTTTGGCTTCTGGGAGCAGTGCCTTGTCAGCCTGGCCAGACCCAGGATGTTGGATAGTTTATACCACAGCACAAGGCAGTCAGAGGGGCCCAGGACAGCCAGCAGAAGATAAGGAACATTCAGCCAAGTTTCTTAACGAGGCACAATGGTTGATTTATGGCTGGAATGGAAACCTACTGCAAGTATCCCACTTGATTTCAGCAGCTTTTAAATCAAGTGGAGCCTTAGGGGGGAAAAGTGCAGAGATAAAAATTTTATTAACTGTTCCAGCTTTACTACAGAAAGTCAGCTCGATGAAAATTTAAAGTTTAGCTCTGGCAAATGATCCCCAACGAGAAGAATGTGCTGTCAGTGCATTTGCTCACAGACTGCCACCAGGGCTGCCACCCAGGGTTGTTAAAGGGACAAGGAGCAAACAAGCTTTAAAAACAGATATTAAACCACAGAAAATATTAAATATCAGGAAGGAGGGGTAATTTAAATTAAAAAGATATTGCAAGAAACATTATGAGTAACTTACAAGATAAATGCATTTTGTTCACTTTTGTGGGAACTTGTGCTCTAAAATTAATCTTTTATTAGTAATATTAGCAAGCAAAAGCTGAATTAAATCCATAATTAAGTTAATTTTTAACAGTATTTGAGTGATTCTCCCAAAAAAGCAGGTTTCCAAAGCATTTCAGCATTTCAAGAGCACCTTCAGCTCCACATCCCTTGGTATGAGTCAGTCACACAAGGAACACCCTTCCTGGGGATCCCAAAAACCAAACTGAGCTGATAATTAGAATTAGAACCTCATCCTTACAAAAAACTTCTGTCTGAGTCAGATGAGCCAAAAATTACCCAGGAGTTTCTGGTAGCCTCAATCCATCAGCAGCAAACTCGAGCAAACTGCATTTTTATAAAGTATCTTTTACTAACTGTCTATAAACATCAATTATTTATAGTCCTAGTGTAATCAATTAATGGAATATAGCAATAGATTCCAAAATATGTGCATGACAAAGGATACAGCTCATACTGTGAGTATGAGCTAAAGAATACACTTGAAGGTCCTAATTGTGCTCTGAAAATCCAAACATGGCTCTGAGATCTATATGGTACAAAACTCCCCCTTTAACTGAGGCCTTCCCATATCTAAGGCTTTGAAACCTCCTGTTTGCCAAGCAAAATGCCCCTGGCAGTTCCCAAAGTGTTCCTCACTGCTTTAGGATTCTGTACCAGCCCTGCAGGGAGGGAATCCTGGGATTGCCAGGGATGGACACAGGGAACTCTTTACTGTGAGAATGTGGCACTCCCAGTCCTGTGGAATTTCATTGGGAATATTAGAGATTTATTACAAGATGATAAGATGAGATACAAGAAGGGAAATCCCTCTGAGTGCCTTCTGGCCTTTCCTTCACCTTCCACACAGTGACTGCTCCTAAACTGCTCAGGAATTCTGAACTTGCTTCCACAGGACACCAGGAAAGATGATTTAAATCAACTACTACAGAGTATGTGGGGCATCTGAGAAAAGAAATACAAATGTTATTTGTATTTTAAGCTGCTTTGGGCTGAAGTTCCCTGCCACACACAGGAGAGGGTCCCAGAGGAGATGATGTGCTCTGACCTTTCTGTTTTGGATTCGCTCTCAGCCCGGCAGCGCTCGAGGTCGTGGTGAAGAGCCTGCAATTCTGCCTGAAGCCTCTGCTCCCGTTCTAGGCTTCCCTTATAAACCTTTATCTCCTTCTCCATTGCTTTCACTTTGTCCTCCATCACCTTGAACTCGTGGAGTGTCAGGTAGCTGACTCCGCAGTATTTGCACACTGTCTGGTCCCGGGGCATCTGCAAAGAGACAAAATGCTTCAGAGTGCCTCAGGGAAACAGGTTCAGCCAAAAAAACCCCTCAGTCACACTAAGAAATAATAACAAATCCAAACAATTTAAACCATTTGCTGCTCTGGAACATTTAAAATCAGATTATGTTATTGCTTTAACAAATAAAGACAAAAATCCTCGTTAGCAAAATGAACCCAGCTAGAGCAGCACTTTCCCTTCCTGGCAACTTCCCAAGATACATCAATTTGATATGTGGGAACTCCCACTGAAATGCTGAAGTACTTCTGAGTTGGGTTGGAGGTATTAATGGAAAATGAAATGCTGTGTTTTATGAAGCTATGTCATTAATGAATCTGGGATTACCAGAGAAATGTTATTTCTCTGGGTTTCCGACATCTCATATCCAAGTGAAGGAGGCAAGATGAGGGAAGTGAGCTAATCCACCATCTTCACAAAAATAACTCATGAGTGATGCTGAGGTGTCCCTGGCACTGGGGTGCTGTGGAATCTGAATCCCCTTTGCCAGGAATGAAGGACTCAGGACTGATTACAAAACACAGCATATAACACCCATCCAATGGAAAGGCCATTTATTAAATTGGGAAACAGACTTTTCCAACTGAGCTGGTTATTAACCTTGAAGCAGGGAACATGCAAGCACCTGTTTGAATAGTTTAAGTCCAATTAAGAAACTTTGTTTTACAGAAGAAGAAAAAAAATGATGTTTTGAGACATTGGGATAAACAGAAAGAAACCCTACTGAGAGGAAAGAAAAGAGCTTTCAAAAATTATAAATTAAAGACTCATACAGCAACCTTTAGGAGTTTAAATATAGCCTGATATAAACAGTGTTTCAGGGGGCCCTGGACAAGCTTTATTTCCCCATTTCTTAATGCTGCTCCAGTTTAAACCCCCTGGTTACAGCTGCTCTGGAGGAGCCGAAAATGCAAGTTTATTTTTCCTGGCAGCTGCAGTCTGTGCTTGGAAACCTGAAACTGTTCTTCAGGATAAGTACCCCGAAGTTCCAAAGCACTGGAATGAGTGCACTGGAGAAGGACAAAACGAGCTGTGCAGGGAGCACAGGAGGGGGTTTATCACAGGGAGCACACGCTGCTCTGTGCAGCACAGCTCACACAGACAGCTGAGAACTTTCACTGCTTCTCCCATCAAAAACAAGATACAGTCACCAGGGGTCTGAACTGAAAAGGGCTTGTGCAAGTACCGAAACGTCTTCGTTTTCAGTTTTGTTACTGAATGTCAAAATAAATGAAGTCATAGAACAACAAATACTCCCTGTCTGGGCTCAGCTGGAAGTGCTCTCCTTCCCATCCATTCCTCAGGTGAAATGAAAATCTGGGGGGATTGCTGATCAGGTTGGATTTTTACAGTATTTGCTACAGAGTCAAAAAATCACAGAATAGGAAAGGCTGTGTAAATCAGGACCTTGCTCTGCACATTAATAATTACCCTGCAAGCACTGCAATAAGTGTACAGATTGAACAGCTTCCAAATATCCACCTTAATACATGGAACAGGCCCCTGACACCAGGAATGGATTTGGCACATGTTGAGTGATGCCAGCCACAGTTAGTTCAAACCCAGCACATCTGCCCAGGGTACCTGGAAAATTAACAGCACCCAGATAAAAGTGAACAGAGCAAGGAAGGCACTGACCTGATTTCCCATCCTAAATCCAAGGTTCCTCTCTCACGGAATCACAGAAGGCTTTGGGTTAAGAGGGACCTCAAAGCCCATCGAGTGCCACCCCTACCATGGCAGGGACACCTCCCACTGTCCCAGGCTGGACAATTCCCAGTGTCCAGCCTGGCCTTGGGCACTGCCAGGGATCCAGGGGCAGCCACAGCTGCTCTGGGCACCCTGTGCCAGGGAACAATTCCTTCCCAAATCCCATCTCACCCAGGAATTCCCATATCCCATCTATCCCTGCCCTCTGGTATCCTTATAAATACATGGTCTTTCCAGGAGAAAAGCTCCACTAGACCTTGTCTCTTAGTCACCAAAGTTGACCAACCTTTAAACAAAAACTGTAGGAAACAAACTGTCATCAGTTCTCATGCTTACAAATTACCTTTTCTGGAACAGAAAAGATTGCTGAGTAACCACTAAGGATGTGTACTAAATACAAGTTCATGGTTTCAGATTCCATATTTCACTGTTTCCATTTGATAAAAACACCGTTGTCATCTTAGCTTCAAAGCAGGAAAAAAACCAGGGGAAAAACAGTTTGGAAGGAATAGAAAAGGAAACTATCAGAGCTCTGAGTAGAAAGGGGACTTGCGTGTCCTGAGTAAGCACTGAGGACAAGCAGTGAACAGAAAAAATCAATTAGGAATTAAAAAAAAGCAGTTTTGCTGAGGACAAAGTGCTTGATCTCAGAAGATATTTATCCATAAGACTTTGAGCTGCAGCTGTGATGCACAGATGCTGTAAAACATCTGGGGGAACAGTTTCCACTCTGCAGTTGGTTTTGGAAGGAAATATTATCTATCCCCTGGTTACAAAGATTTCTTTAGCTACCAAGGCAAGGGGAGGACTGAGCCAAGAGGGATAATCACTCAAATTACATCTGTCTGACTCAGTTTCATCTGTAGAGCATAAGCTGTAAGGGGAAAAAAAAAAAGGAAATAAATTGGTGGTCTGGACCATTTTTAGCCTTTTGAACGATGAGACAGGAATTTGTACCACTTGAACTTGACCAAATAACTCCAGGGTGTGTCAGCTCGTGCACCACCACCCCTCTCCTCTGGAATTTCACATTCCACCCACAAACATCCCACGATGGAGAGCTGGATTCCTGTTTAGGAGAGCGAGCTCCTCTCTCATTTGGCCAGGCTTTGATATTACAGCACTCATCACAGAACCCTGAAACTGCTCAGGTTGGAAAAGCCCTCCGAGACCATGGAGTGCCACACAGCACCCACAGCCCCAGGTGCTGATAAACCCCTGCAGGGATGGGGACCCCACCACTGTCCCGGGCAGCTGGGCCAGCCCTTTCCATGGAGAAATTCCTCACAACACCCTGTGCTCCTTGGTCCACAGCTCTTGCTCTCTTGGTGGATCTGTCAGGACTCAGATTGCTTCAGCAAGGACTGGTCAAAACCAAAAAACTCTGTCCAAATTAAACTTGTAGCTGAAAACATAAAAGTCAAGAAAAAATAAATAATCCTTATGCTGCAGCTGGGTGGTCTTAAATTATTTCTGCATGTTGATTTATTCTACCTTATTACCCAATTTTACTTTCTTTTTTGTTTCACTCCTCTCCCACATTATTTTCATGTCTCTCATCCTGTCTGTCCCTCTTCTGACACACCAGTCAATCCCTATTGCACAAAAAGAAATGATGACTCAAACTACACCATTGATTTTTGAGGAAGAAAAGGAAGTCTTTCGATGCATATGCAAAATGAGGAGGCACCAGATTGAAATTTATATTTGCTTTGGTCAAAGAAAGGTTTTTAAAAGGTCCCAGTAGAAATTTCACTTCTTTTAAAAGAAACAAAGTGTATTGTGAGCCAAGTTTTCAATCAGCATCTACCCCAAAGCAACACAGATGGTACTGCTGAGCCACAGTGCTCACATCATTATTTGCTCCCTGCCCATAAAATCACAGTTGCAAAATAAAAATCCCTGTGCTTGCTTTGAGCACACGAACAGTGGAGAAACAGGCTGGGATAAAACCAGAAAGTTGCTTCATTCCAGACGTGCCCTGGGAAAATCCCTGTGTCAGGACAGGGAACAGCAGCAGGAGCTCAGGTACTGAAGCCACCGCAGCCCGGAGACAGCAGAATGATGAATCCCAACATTGTCACACTCCCAGAGCCTGCAAACACCAGCACAGGGCAGCAGCCCTTCTGAGCTTCTCCTTGGGATGTGTCAGGGCATGTTCCAGCCGAGAACTGAGCCCCAGGGCTGCCACCAAGCCTCTGGTGACCAAACACAGCAGACAAAGGATGACTTAGCCCATTGTTAAGGCTGAGCAACCTCTGCATCCCTAGGTGTGATTGTCAGGGTGCCCCTCCTGGCTGCAACCCCGCAGAGTGGGAGGTGAGGAGATTCCAGTCCCTCCAGTTCCAGCAGCACGCTTGGACACTGGCTGCAGAAAGGCTGGAAAACCTTGGCTGCAGTGAACACTGCCCTGGTTTTGTGAGAAAACCTTGGATATAGAAAACACAGCCCTGGTGTGATGAGAAAAGCTTGGCTATACTGCCTGGAGAGGGTGTGAGTGTCCCTTAGGGGAGAGACTGAACCGCTGGGACACAACCCCTGGCAGTGTCCAGGCCAGGCTGGGCGCTGGGGCTTGGAGCCACCTGGGACAGTGGAGGTGTCCCTGCCCGTGGCACCTGAAGGTCCCTTCCAACCCAAACCCTTTCTCCCATTTCCAGAGCACTCCCCAGCACTCAGAACACTCCCACAGCAGGAGCCTGGCACCCTGGCACCACAAACATCACAAATCCCACAGCTGAGTGCTGAGAACCCCAGTGGGCACTGGAGCAGCGGGGAGACATCACCTCCAGGAGAATCCAGAATGTGGGGCCAGCAGGATGCTGAGAAGGGCTCTGCCACTCCACCACGCTGATCTGGAGGGCACTAATTGGGAATTTATCTGCTTTTACATCCCTGCTGGTGCCATGCAGCACGTCCCAAGCACAGAGCTGTGCTGTCCTGGTGGACGGGACAGGCCGTGGGCTCCCAGCCACAGCTGGAACTCTGTGTTCCAGAAGCTTTCACAAGAAAACCCCAATGCTGGGTTCACAGAGGGCGGGAGAGGGGAAAGCTGCCTGATGTGCTCATGCAGAGCCCATGCTGTGCCCAGTCTATAGCACACGTTTGCTGCCTGTGGTGTACCCAACACTCTGGGGACACCACAGGACGTTCTGTCCCCAAGGGGAACAGCCTCAGACTTCCTGCTGGCCTGAGCTCCTCAGCTCCGGGGCTGAGACAACTCTCAGTCTCCAAGGGTATCTTGGCCCTATTCATTTTATGATTCATGGTAACAAAGCTTTTATCTTTTTTTCCCAAATAAAATATGAAATTAAATATAAATGTGTTGCTGCTTTGAGGACTTGGGTCATTCTGTTGCTGTTCTGTTTCCTGTTTCAGGGAGATCCTCAGTGCAAAGCTGCATTTTCCCTTCTTCTTTCCCTCCACTCCCACAGAACTTTAACTAAAGTCCAAAGGCACAAAAAATGATTCATCGCTGGCAACAAACAACTACCAAGGTGAAATATAAAAGCCTTGAGGAAAAATTAAACCAAAACAAAACATTAACCAAGCAACAAAACCAGAAGTCCCCCAAAATACACATCCATGACACTGGAGTCAAGGAAACACTAACTCCCTTCTGTACCCTGCTGGGCTCTGTGACACCTCTCAGGCTGAGTTTGCTTGCAGAAACGCTATGTAAATACATTAAAAGTAGGCATTAAAACCACTGATTTCCATCTTTACTAACAATTACTTCCCAAAAATATGCAACTATAAATACAAAAGAATACTATAAACTTTAAGAATGGATATGTAGATGCTTTATTCACCTGTTGATTTTGGTTCTTTTAATTAGCACCCACCTTGTAATGAATGTGAAATGCAATGTTGTGAAAGGAGTGTGAAAGCAGAAGAAGAAATGAGAGAGAGAAGAAAGCAGGGACACGTAAAAGTTTTTACACAATTCTCGAGGCAAAAGAGATCAGAACATGAAGAACCAAGGTCCCTTCACATCTATCATTCCCTTAACAAAATGCTGAGAAATCTCCTTCCCTCTAGACTAAAACTTCCTTTAAAATAAAACCTTGACAAGCAGCTTGTGCAGCTCCGAGGAGAGGAAAACGAGAGCTCTCATTGCAGCCTGCCCTGTGAGGCAGCTCCTGGATCCAGTGTGAGTGCCACAACCCAACCTCCAGCATCCATCCATCCATCCATCATCCATCCGTCATCCATCCGTCCGTCCGTCATCCGTCCGTCCAACCATCCTCCATCCATCCCTCATCCATCCATCTATCATCCATCATCCATCCCTCCCTCCCTCATCCCTCCCTCATCCATCCATCCTCCATCCATCCTCCATCCATCCATCCTCCATCCATCCATCATCCATCCCTCATCCATCATCCATCCATCCCTCCATCCATCCATCATCCGTCCATCATCCGTCCATCCACCCCAGCCCAGCGCCTGGCCAGGGAGCAGCCCTCTCTCTGGGCAGCACTCGGTGCCCGGCAGCTCCTGCAGGCACACGTGCTGCCCTGCCCTGCACACCCATCCTGGGAGCACGTGCTCCCCCTGGCACAGCGCGCACAGCTGGCACACGCCCGGCTGACAGGGAGATTCCAGGGGAGAGGCTGTAAAATCTGGGCAGCAGAGGACGGGAGGGGAATGAGGACATGTGTGCAGAAGGGACGGGAGATACCAGGGCAGGAAATGGTGAGAATGACTTGTAGTGCCTTGTAAGGATGCTGCAGCTACAACACGAGCCAGCTGAGGAGGAGATGAGCAACAGCACAGGATGTGTAAAAGCCCAGCACTTTCTCATCCCAAATCCCGGGCTGTCGCTGCCTTGGAGCTCACACGTGGCACGAGGACGATGGGACAGCAGCAGAAGTCTGTCCATATCTGGAAATCCTGCATCCTCTGCACCAGATTTTTTGTTAAAGGTGTAGCCAGCACTGGTGGCATCTCCAGAGATTGCCTGCCCACCCTCTACTTCGAGGGACAAGTTGAAGTGACAATCTCACTGGGAGAATTCCACAATAGCCTGGGAGAACTGCTCCAGAGTTTCAGAGCAGTCAATGAAAGCACACCCAGAAATGAGATGAAAAGACTCATTTGCACCTGGAAATGAACCACCACCTCCTGTGAGCAGTTACTGTGCCCTCAGGTGTTTTCCAGAATGAGCAAACCCAGCTCTATTATCCTTTCTTAGAAGATTTTTAAGCTCTTTACTATTTTTGCTCTTTTCTACAGTCCCATCAGTCACGTCACTATTTTTAAAACCTGCAGCTCAAAACTGAAACCTCAGCAGCCCTGGACAGAGGGACAACAAAGACCCAAGTTTCACATGCAATTCCTATTACAATTATTGAGACATTCAAACTATCAATACGTTAACAGAGTCTTTCTGTGTAACATCCCTTTGTTCATATTATTCTGCTTATGACCTGATTACAGCCCTCAGACTGTAAAGTCTGACAGGGAGGTTATTATGGATTTTGTGTTGATGCATTGGATTAATTGTAAATGCCTTATTTTTCCTAAGAATACGGAGTTTAATGCTGTTCCCAGAGTGCTCACACCCCTTCCCGACTGGCACCAGCGTATTCCTCATTGTAATCCAAGATGCTGGCTCAATAGCAACCAGCAGCCAGTGACACTGCTGCTGACAGAATCCATGTCACTGCGTTTCTGTGCCTGCCCCGGCCCCTGCTCCCTCCCTGTGCCAGCATATGCCTAGCACATGGAGCAGGAACTGGCTCAGCAACTGATCCCAACATAAAACAGGCTCAAGTGCCACCAAACTGCAGCTTTAAGTCATTAAAGGAACTATTAAGCAGTAACCAGCTCCAGGAGGATTCCCTCGTTCAACAGTTTGGTACAACTGTTTCTCTGAGAGGCTTACACTGATTTTTGCTCACCAGTGTACCCCGTTGGGGCTAAAAAACCTAACTGCTAAATAAACAAACTTAGTGGGATCCCTCCTGCTACCAAAACAGCTGCTCACGATTCTGAAGGTGCTCCACAGCTGCTTCCCTTCTTTTTTTTTAAGGCTAAGTATTCCTTTTCCCTTTCTTTGTCTATGTTGCCCATTCCTGATTTCTCAGAAATTGTCTCAGAAATTGTTCGAACAGTTTCCTGGACTAAGCCAGGGAGAACTTCTCCAGTCTCCAGGCTGAGTACACAGAGCTTTTAAATGATTTGTCAATTACGAGCTGCAGACCGAGGAATGAGGACAGCTGGGTGTTGTACTGCCAGAGTGAAAAGCTGATAGTGTTACAAAAAGTGACTCGTGTTCCACTTGAGTGCAGCCTCCTCCTAAAAGGAGCCACATAAACAGCAGCGCTGTTACACCGGCAATCATCCGTCTGGCAAACAAAAGAACACACAAAGACACCAGGGCAGAGGAAGGGGAATGTTCCGTCCCCGTGGTGTGTGTTGATGCTCCTCTGGAACATGTCATGCTCTGCACTCCTCCCAAACTCCCGGCAGCAAAACGGGGCTCCGGGGGCTCGGGGCTCAGGGCCCGCCGGGGTCCCGGCACGGGGGACCCGTGAGGGGCGGGGGGGGCGCGCCGGCCGCCGCCATTTTGTGGCCGCGGCGTCCGCCGTAACCGCGGCAACGGCGCGTGCGCGTCACCGGCGCTGAGGGCCGGCAGCAAAACACGCCAGAAAGGGGAAATCTGAGACTCACCTGCAGTGACAGCCCTGGCACAGGGCGAGGTGTTCTCCAGGACTCACCTGCAGTGATAAACCTGGCACAAAGTGATGTGTTCTCCAGGACTCACCTGCAGTGATAAACCTGGCACAGGGTGATGTGTTCTCCAAAACTCACCTGCAGTGACAGCCCCAAAACAGACTCAGGTGTTCTCCAGGACTCACCTGCAGTGATAAACCTGGCACAAAGTGATGTGTTCTCCAGGAGTCACCTGCAGTGACAGCCCCAGCACAGGGCGAGGTGCTCTCCAAAACTCACCTGCAGTGACAATCCCAGCAGAGACTCAGGTGCTCCTCTGCAGGGTTCCTATAGAATTACTGTAATTACACCGCACAAAGAGTGAGGAAACCCAACACCCAGCCTAACCCAGGGCCAAAATGTACAGACAGTGCACCGGTGCTCACAGGCCCGTGCACCATCCCTGAGCCGCCGCAGGAGCTCCGAGTGTTGGGGCTTGGCGTTTCCACAGCTCGTACCTTGCGGATCTCCTCGGGCAGCGCGTGGACGGGGCCGCGCCGCTCCATGGCCTCCCGCAGGCTGGGCGGGGGCTCCGGGAGCGGCGGGGGCTCGGGGCTCCGGGGGCTCGGGGCTCCGGGGGCTCGGGGCTCAGGGCCCGCCGGGGTCCCGGCACGGGGGACCCGTGAGGGGCGGGGGGGGCGCGCCGGCCGCCGCCATTTTGTGGCCGCGGCGTCCGCCGTAACCGCGGCAACGGCGCGTGCGCGTCACCGGCGCTGAGGGGAGCGCGGCCCGGGCTGGCCGCACATCGGGGTTTAGTGCACCCCAAAACCCCCCCGACGCCCCAAAGCCAGCCCTGACGTGCCAAACATGGCTCCCCAGAGCCGCCCCTGACACCCCCAAGCCGGCCCCCCCGACACCCCAAGTTGGGCCTTGGCACCCCTGAGCCAAACCTTGACACCCCAAATTCCGCCTCGCCACGCCGAAGCCGGCCCCAAAATCCTGAATTCGATTTTGACACAAAAAAGACAAAACTTGGCGCCCCAAATTCGGACCTGCCACCCCGAAGCCCCCCAATACCCTGAAGTCAAAGCCTGACACCCCAAAGCCAAAACATGACAGATTCAGCCCTGTCACCCCAAATTTAGCCCTGCACTCGCAAAGCCAGCCCCAATGTCCCGAATTTGGCCCTGACATCCCAAGCCCGTCCCTGATTCCCCAAATTCTATACTGACACCCCAAACCCACCTCTGCCCCCCCAGCCAGCTCTGACAGCCTGAATTTAACCGTGACACCCCAAAGCCCCTCCTGACACCTCAAACCTGTGTCTGACACCCCCGCCAGCCCCAATTCAGCTCTGGTGCCCCAAAGCCACCCCTGACACCCCCAGTTTGTCCCCGCCACCCCAAATCCGGCCGTGCCAGCCGGGTCATCTGCGTGTCACACCCGAGGCACGAGCTCAACCTCGGGATGAACCGGGAGCCGCCAGCTCCCGGTGAGACCCACTGGAGCGCACACACAGTCACGAAAATAAATAAATCAGGCAAGGATTGGCAGCGAGATTCGGCAGTTTCAGCGGGATTAATTCCACTTTCTGCCCTTCTTTCCAGCGCCGATGGGATCCTGTTTCCTCCAAAACCCAGTCCCTGTTGGGACTTGGATTTATCACACAGCAGGCACCATCTGCCCAAAGGAATTCCTACATCGCCAGAGCAGTTCCTACATCCCCAAAACATTCCCTACAGCCTTATATAAAACAATACGCCCCCAAAACCATAATTTAGGGACACACACGCAAAACTGGGGACAGGCCATGGCAAAAAAAAAAAAAAAAAAAAAGAAAAAACCCGAGATGACCTTTAATTTATGCGCGACCCATCTCTGAGGTGAAGCATCAGTAAGGTTGGGTTGGGAGACGGGAGAAAAGGGGGGTTGGATTGAAGAAAGCAGTGAATTTTAGGGGACAGAAACAAAAGCTTTATTGGGGAAAAAAGGAAAATTGCATCAGTAAGGAAGGGAAAAAAAGGAAAAATGGGTAAGAGGTGTCTCAACAGAGGGATGCAAAGCCGGGAGGGTACGGTGAGCCCGTTCGGGCGCCCGGTGCTCTCCGTGTCCCCCGGCTTTGCCCGGCGGTGCCACGCGTGTCACCGCGGGTCCCTCGCGTGTGGCCGCCGTGCCCCGTCCCCGTTGCGTGCCGAGCTCCGAGCCGCGCTAATCCCGCCTTGGCAGCCGCCTCACGCCCCCGCCTCCGTTTTAACCTCTTCGTGCTTCCACGCCAGGCGCGGGCGAGCGGGGGGGAGCGCGTGTTGCGTGTGAAGGGCGGCTCGCCCCCCGCGGGGGTCATTAATTAAGATCTGCATTAATAGGAGCTGGCGAGAGCCCGCCTTGGCTGGGAGCGGGGTCTGGGCGCGGGTCTGGCCGCGCCGTGCCGGCAGCTGTTCCCGCCGTGCGTGATGGCGGCGGGCGGGGGGGCGGCGGCGGCGGCGGCTCTCACGCGATGGCGGGGCTGACGTGCCGAGCCGGGGTGTCGTGAGGCGCGGCCGTGAGCTCAGCGCGGATCACCGCGGGCGGCGAGCGGGGGGAGCGCGGCAGCGCCGGGGGAAGGCGGGCTGCAGCACGCAGCAGGCAGGCAGGCAGGCAGGCAGGGACGGGGGAGCGGAGGCTGCTGCATCCCGGCCGCCCCCGGCTGTGCCCGCTGAGGAGGGGGCTTGGCCAGAGGGAGATGAAGGGATCCAGTCTTGGGGATCCCGTGTTTGGGGGGACTGAGGGGAGCCTGTGCCGGGGAGGATGAGGGGGGCTTGTTCCAGACGGTTCTGAGGGCATCCAGTTATTGGCAGGCCTGAGGGGAGCCTGTCCTGGAGGAGCAGGTGAGGGGATCCAGTCCTGGGGGAGATGGAGGCAGTCCTGAGGGAAATGGAGGCTCCCCTATGCTTGGGGAGCTGAGGCTGGACAAAGGGGAGCTTGTGGATGAGATCCAGCGCTGGGGAGCTGAGGGGAGGCTGTCGTAGGGGAAATAAAGGAGATCCTGTCCTTGGAGTCTGAGGGAAGCTTGCACAGAGGGAGCCTGTCCTTTGGGAAGGTCGCGGGGATCAGGTGAGATCCAGTCCTGGAGGTGTGGAGAAGCAGCAGAGCCACGCTGAGCCAGCCGGGATGCTCCAGGCCAGGGCCCTGTGGGAAGCAGAGCACGGGAGAAGCACTCGGCTCTGAGGCAGCTGTTTCCTCCCAGCAGGAAGCCCCCACAAAGCCCCGCTCCTCAGGAACCCACCGCCCGCTCCTCGCATCCGCGGGGGCTCGGGGGGCTCAGGGGGTCCGTCAGCCCTGCCCGAGGCCTCGGCCAGGCCGTGGCACGGTGCCGGTGTTCGTGCCAGCCCCGGCGCCCGGCACCGCTCGGGATCGGGTTCCAGGCGGCGCGAGCAGCTCCAAGGACAAACGGGCGGGCAAGAACCGAGTGCGTGACACGCAGCAGTCATAAGGCAGCTATTTCCATTGTTTTCCGGCAGGCTTTGTACCTTCTCAAACACACGTGGAAAGCCTCCCGCTGCTTAGAAATCCCAGCCCAGAGGAGCAAAGTCCGTGCCAGTGTGCAGCTGGGAAAAAAGGCAATAAACACCAACACCCTCTTCGCACAAAGCGGGACCGGCCGAGGGGCTGGGAGGGTGAATAGGTGCGTGCACACCTGCAGCGTTCTCTGGACAATGAGAAATCCAACTTTTATATGCCAGCCCTCTGGCTTTAGGCTGCCCTTACATTTGCTGGGTACAAGGAGCAGTGCGGGGAAGCGGTTTTGTCTGCAAACAGCTCCTCTGGGAAGCTCCGGTTGTTTTCCTAGGGAGGAGCAGAGCTCGGTTATCGCTCCGTAGGTACACAGGGGGTTTGGGGAGGAGCGGGGTCCCGTGCCGGGCCCGCAGCACGGAGCAGACGTGCGGCAGGAGGGGTCAGGGGAAGGACAGGGCTCGGAAGGCGGCGAGGTTATTCCCGCTGCTCCCTGCACAGTGCATTGGTTCCCCTTTTGCAGTGGTATTTGCTGGGTTTGTTTGGTTTGCTCCGTTTGCCCCCTCTTTGCAAATGTCACAGGGACGAGAGCGTGGGGGCAGAGGGGCCTCAGTGGGAGGATGTTTGGAGAAGGGATCTGAGCGCTCGGGCTACCTGGGAGTCAAGGTCAGGCAGGTCACTCTGTGCGAAGAGCAGAAACTGCAGGGAAATGATAAAATCAGGCACAGTGGTGTGTGTGGGAGGGCAGAGGAGAGGAAATGGTCCCACTCTCCAGAGGCACGGATGTGGCCCAGGGCAGAGCACAGAGGAGCATGCTGGTGGCAGCGGGACATGCGGGGCAGCAAAGGGATCCCGAGGGATGTGCTGCTGCCGTGACATTGCCAAATCAGAGTCAAGCTCTTGGCTGCAAGAGCACATGAGGTGACTCAGAGAAAGAAACCGTATGATTAAGCAGCAGCTGAGTGCCAGAAGTGAAGAGCTGTCAAGGATAATATCAGGAGTGTGTGTGTGGAGGACAGTGGGTTTATTTGCCACGATAGGAAAGGATTTGAAAGGGAATACAAGACGCTTGTACTGAGTCTGACTTGGCAGCGAGAGGAGCTGGGAAGGGTGCCAGGAAAAGCGTCAGGGATACAGGGCTGGAGTGAGGAGGGAATGCAGAGCACAGAGGCAGCTCTGGCAGTCAGGAACAGGCACGGAGGGGCAGAGGGCACAGACCAGTCAGCAGGATGCGATCTGGGGAGGGAATCAAAGAATGGTGAGAGCTGGGAAAGATCTCCAGGGTCATGGAATCCACCCTTTGACTGAGCAAATACCACACTGTCACCAGCCCGGAGCCCTGAGTGCCACATCCAGTCATCCCTTGGACACCTCCCTGGGCAGCCCCTTGGAGTGCTGAAAAACCCTTTCCATGAAGAAATTCCTCCTGATGTCTAACCTGAACCTCCTCTGGCACAGCCTGAGGCCGTTTCCTCTTCTCCCGTCAAAAGGTCCAAGCAATAGCCCAGCCCCTGGGAGATGGTGCAGAGGGGTGGGAGGCTTTGTTCTCTATTTTTAAGGCATTCAAGGGCATATCTATAAGATCTCCTAATGCTCCTGGCTGACAACGATGGTGGCACTCCTGACGGCTCCTCAGGCAAAACAGAGCTGTTACCATGAGGGTGAGGTTCATCATGCAGGGCTCAGCACTTTCCCAGGAGCCTGCCAGGGAACTCCCATGGGATCGCAGAAACCTCATCAATCTTCCCTGTTCCCCCAGCCACCAGCGATCTGCTCTTTCCTAATTTAAACACAGGAGCTGGAGGGAGCAAAACATTTCTACTGCTGCCTTAAAAAAAAAAAAAAGCAAACCTGAAAATCCTGCCAAAACAGAAACTGCACACAAAGCCTTCCCCACTGGAAGGGGACGAGGATGGATGAAACAACACAGATGTTACAGCCTTGGTGAGCTACTGGAAGAAACACCAGGCAGCGATGAAGGAACTGTGGAGTCACTGTAAAACAGGAAAAGATAGAGGGAAAACACAAATGAAGGAAGCCGGGATGTTTAGAGGATGGAGCATCCCCAGGAGGATGGTGGGGCTCACTCGAATCCAGGGGGCCAGATGAGTGTGCGTGCATCATTCTGAGATCCAGCATGCAAAAACAGTGCCTGGGTCTTGGGAATACCCATACAAGTAAGGACTAGTGAGGAGAGTCTTTGCAAGCCCCGAGCCGTGTTATGATATTTACTGGTGACATTTCTGGAGCTTTGCTTGGGCTCCTCTGCATGCCCTCTGAAACCCTTTTAAACAGCAGCGTGCAGTGCCTGGCAGGAGGTCAGGCTGCTCCTGCCTCACCTTAGTGCCCAGCTCCTGCTTTGGGATTGCCCTGCAGCGTCCTGGCACATCCTGACAGGAAAATGCAAATGTTGCATTTCCATGGCATGGCCTGACAATGTAAATTTATCTCCCACGAAGAGATAACAGCACGTGTGTGTTGGTTGCAGGCTGTTGCTACAACAGACTCGTTAAAAAGCAGCCCTACCCTTATATGTGCAGAACTGGGATGAAATAAGGTGGGATAAGATTTTTCTTGCCTTGCTTTAGAACCCGTTTCCTCATCTGTCAAACCCGCTGACTTCAAAAGGAGCAAGGGCAAGCCTGCAGCTGACATCCAAACAGAGATAATGTTTACTGAAGTGCAAAAGTGGTTATTTCTGCTCTCTAAAGGTAGAGACTGGGGGAGGTGGTGGCCAGAGGATGGCCCTCTGTGCTGCCCTGACCAGGAGCTCGGCCATCGTGTCCTCAGGCCACCTGCGGTGACCCGTGGCCACCTGAGGTGACCCATGGCCCAATGCCAGCTGAGCTGGCAGCTTGTGGAGCCCGGGAGGTGCAGGAGCTGTAGCAGCCACCACCTCACCGTGCTGGGGCTCCTCTAGCACTGCTCAGCATCACAAACTTTGCGCCCATTCCTGTGAATCTGTCAGCACGTGATGGTTTCCACAAGCTGTTTGCTATTTCAAAGTGTCCTAAATGGTTTAAGAAAGGAGATTTTAGATTAAATTGCTTTAAAATCTTTAGAATGTTTTTTGTGATTTATCCCAGAGAAAAGCTATTGAAGAACTTGGCACAGCTGCCAGCAGAAGGCCCAGGGCTGTGGGATCAAGCATGGGGACTCCCTGCCAGGGGTCCCTGAGCTTTAAGGTCCTCTCCAGCCCAAGCAGCTGTGACTCTGTTGTCAGAGGCACACAGAGAGGTGTCCGTGGCTCTGGGGAAAGCAAACCATGTGTGTGACCCTTGAGAGGCAGGGGAGCCTTGTGAAATGGGCCAGTGTTTCCTGGTCACCATGGAGTCACCGAGGGAACAGGCAGATTTTCTTCCTGTTTACACAACATGGCACCAGCAGCTTTGTCCCCATCTCTGGTGGCCTGCAGCCACCATTTGGAAGCCGTGGTGACACGCCGTGGTGACAACACATTGCCAGAGGGTTTCTGAAGAGGTCCCCAGCTGGCACAGAACTGGCCCTGGCACAGGATGCTGCGGTGCAGGAGGGCTGGGAGGAGATGCAGCCCAGCCTGCAGCCGCCAGGGCACGAGGGAGGGCACACCAAAGGTGGCCCAGATGTGTCACAGGGAATTGCTCCCCAGGGAATGGCAGCAACGACCTGCATCCAGCCTGTCCTGTGAGGGGGCTCAGGGAGCTGGGAAGGGGCTCAACCTGGAGAAAAGGGAGATCAGGGGGGCCCTTGTGGCTCTGCACAGCTCCTGACAGGAGGGGACAGCCAGGGAGGCGGGCTCTGCTCCAGGGAACAGGGACAGGAGCAGAGAGAACAGCCTCAGGCTGGGCCAGGGCAGGCTCAGGGTGGAATCAGGAAGAATTTCTCCATGGAAGGGGTTAAACTTTGGCAGGGGCTGCCCAGGGAGGTTTGGAGTGCCCATCCCTGGAGGTGTCCCAGGAAGGCCTGCACGTGGCACTCAGTGCTCTGGGCTGGGGACAAGGTGGGCATCAGGCACAGCCTGGGCTCAGTGATGTGGGAGGGCTTTTCCAGCCTCAGGGATTCTGGGATCTCATTGCTGTGTGCAAGACCAAGCCTTGCTGGGAGCTCAGGCTGGACCTGGGGCTCCTGCAGGGGCTCAGGCTGCTGCCACACTCTGTGGGTCCATCCCAAAGTGCAGCAGCTTAAAGCCAGAGGTGCCACTCAGGACCCCCACCCGTGTCACATCACACAGGGACAGTGCACTACAGAGTTCACCGTTTTCTCATGGCACTGTGATAAAATAAAAGTGAATTCATTCCCAGCGGTTGCAGTGAGTGCTTTCGTGAGCCCCCATTTCACGGCAGAAAATTTCATTCCCAGAGAGTTTTGCTGTCGTGTGGTGGTGGTGAGAAGTGACAGAGTCCCCAGCTGCACCAGCAGAGCAGCACGGGCTGTCACAGGGCATCAGTCACGGCTGTGCCACGGGAGCCACACAGCCAACCTGGCAGCCCACACTGCAGCCTCACTCACGAGCCCTGGCTGTCTTCCCTGCAGATCCCAGTTACACACACTAAGCTCTCTGACCTTCACCTGCTGGCCTTTCTTCCAGGGCCGAGAGGAAGGGCTGGGGGTTGTTCTGCCAGCTGTGAGAGCCAGGTCCTCCCGCAGGATTTGGGGTGCCCAGCACTGGGATCAGCTCACAACATGTCCCACTGTCCCTGCACTCTCCCTTCTCCCCATTCTTCTGTGGGATGGCACCAGACCAAGCCCCCCTTTCTGGGGAGGGAACCTCCCTTTCCAGATCAAGTCAGATCTGACTCCAAGCCTGCAGTTTGGGGAGCTCTGCAATGTGTCACCCGCTGACCCGGGCTCGGTGCCTGCGGAACAAAAGCTCTCCCTGCTGCTGTTTGCTCTTTGCACAATATCCCTCTGAGTACACTTGCCATATCTGGGCCGATAGGGTGGGAGATACTCGCTGTAGTATCTTGCACTCACAAAGGGAGGATCAGCACTTCCTGCTGGGGGTACAGCACTCCCCGCCCCGAGATTAAGGGCACATTCAATATTTATCGAGCTGTCACACCTTGAGGCCTTGTCAGGATTAAGCTCCACGGTACCTGGTGCTCTAAAACCCTGATAAGAGCCAGTCCCACTCCCCCCGTGCCATGTGTGTCCCTGCTCACCACCAATGTCACAGTGCCTGGAGCTGCCACCCCGGTTATTTTAAGGATGGCAATGACTTCCACACAGGTGTCACCTTTCAGAACTCTCAAAAATAGAACTTTAGAAAGTGCTTCACGCAACCCTTACCTTGTAAAGCCTTCCCAGTGGAGGGGAAGGGACCAGCCAGAGCAGCAACAGGACACAGGAGTTTTGGGAATTAACTTGGATCCAAAAAGAAACATAATTATAGGTTATTTATATGGAGCCTTTTTCCTTCACAGACTGCACAGAAGGTGGATTGAATCACAGAATCACTGAGGCTGGAAAAGCCCTCCAAGACCAAATCTGTGAGCAATCCCCATCTTGTCCCCAGCCCAGAGCACTGAGTGCCATGCCAGGCCTCCCTTGGACACCTCCAGGGATGGTGAAGTGATCAACTGGCAGAATAATCCTCATTTTACACTGGAAGAGAGGCCAAGCTGAAAGAGCATCCAGATGTCTGGATTACAGAATCATGGAATGGTTTGGGTTGAGACAGTTAAAGTTCATGTCATTCCAGCCTGCAGTGGGCAGGGACACCTTCCTCTATCCCAGGGTGCTCCCAGCCCCATCCAGCCTGGCCTCAGACACTTCCAGGGATTGTTCCATTGATTTCAGCCCACTTGATCACAGCTTCCCTGCTTTGTAATAAATCTGTGATCAATAACAGATAATTCTGTCAAGGTGGTAAGGGCAATCAGACAGGACTGATCACTTATGTTTGCAAAGGTGTGAGGCTCCCTGTGAAGTGCAGTCCCTTTTGCCAGTTCTTTATGGGGGTCAGAACACAGCCCCATCCCTGATTCCCTGGAAGCCAGCACTTCCCAGCTGTGCCTGTCCCCAGTGAATCAGAGGCAAATCCTGTCTCTGCCTCCCAGCCTCCCCTGCTCCATGGCACTCCAGAATGTGTCAGGACACCAGCACAGCTGATCTGGCACGTCACCGCTGCTCAAGGAAATGAAAATAAATACAGATTTATGAAGGAAGGCCCATTTCTGGCACCAGGCACGGATTTCCTGGCTGACTGCTAATACCAAAGTGCAGATCCTCTCTTTTATATCAGTCAGGGGAAATCCCAGCAGTTCATGCCACAGCATTAAAACACAGGGTTCTAAAAATAGCATTCCAGAGCTGGACTGGAAACAGCAGTAAAAACGAAAAAGGAAACCTTGTCCTTTTGTGTGCTTGGTTTTTTTTAAAGCAAGGATGTTAAATTCAACCCCGAGAGCTCATTTCAAAACAACAGGGCTTGGAAGGTGAGCTGGCAGTATCAAAATAGCTACTGCACAGGGACATTTCTCTGTTTAAATTCTACATTTATTTAATATTTCCAAAACTTGCCTCTCTAAAAAGGAGGGCGTTTCCCAACCTCCGTGTTCTGTCATTCCTGCTCAACCATGTTCATTTATCCCATGATCCTGATAATTAATCCACATGGATAGACTTGAAATTCAGCTGTTTCGCTCTTTGACCTGCAAATTCACATTCTGATACAACCCATGTCCCTCGTGCTGTTGCATTCCCTCAAACTCACGGGAAGAAGAAGAAACAGGGAAGAATCTTTCCTGCCTGAGGGCCCCCTGGGAGACCACACAGGAAAACACATCTCATTATCCCACCATAACGTGGGAAAAATCAAACATCCCCCGGCCAGGGAAGTGATGTCAGGGGCTGTAGGTTTCTCACAGCTGAATTAAATACACAACACCCACAAAAATCCCAGCCCAGTTGGATGCAGGACGGCTGGGACTCGCAGTTATCCCAGGAAATCAGCAATCCTCGCAGCACTGCTGAGCCAAGGAGATCCCCCGGGCCTTCCTCCCTCCCAAACGCCTCTCTGGCAGGTTGGGAAGGCAAAGTTTGTGGGAATTTCTCATGGTTTTCCCCTGGAAACAGAGTTTCTCAGGAATTAGGCTGTCCGAGAGGAAGAGGTCAGCGGGATATTTGTACAGCTGGCTGATCAGGTTGCCTTGGTATGGATTTTCCAGAGGTCTGGTTACTTATGGACCTGCCAATCCATTCCCAAACCTGACTCGTTAAATTCACTCAGTAAGCACTTCAGTATGGCAATAGCCAGCATTGCTCTGCCATATTTTTTAGCATTCTTGCTAATCCATAAAACTTAGCAACTCAGCATGAAAACCACAGGAAGAAAGAGCTAACGAGGTCCTCCTGTAAGGGCCTGTTTCCACAACTCCCATTAATGTTAATTGGCCTTACAAGAGACAGCAAAAGGAAAACAGACCCTGGAAGATGGAAAAAAATCAACTTATTTGTGCAGCCAGGTGATGATCCCCTTTCCTCAGCCTCGCTCAGCCCAACAGCTACAGCTCTTCTGGCTTTACCCCCCTCAAAAGCCTCGAGACACACTGCAGATGACCAGACTGCCAAAGACACTCAGTCACATTATTTATGCTGTCACAGCACATGACTTAATAGGAAAAGAAGAATAAAATCCAAACCCACAACGGTATCAGGGGAGCACTTGAATTTCAGCATGTATTTGATTAGTAAGTAAGGTTTAAATTCTGAAAAACCTGGTCTGGGGAAGGGGTCCCTGCTCAGGGCAGGGGAGAACAGCTGAAACTCCTTCCCATAACTATTCAAATAAAACATTTCCATAACCCAACCAACAACCGCCAGCAGGCTGTGAAGTGACAAAGAAAGGCTTCTCAAATAAATTTCATGAGAAGGAAGGTGAAAATGCACATGAGAGGTTTCGTTTGGGGCCACACGAAGGCAGCTTTTGTTAGCTCGTTTGTCCTTGTGGGAATCATAGGCTGTGATCAGATGGAATATGTTGGGATGTTGGGAGTGTCCTGTGCAGGGACAGGAGTTGGACCCGATGATCCCTGTGAGTCCCTCCCAGCTCAGGATGTTCTGTGATCAAGCAAAACCTGACACACCCCAAACCTGAGGCATCAAAAGCCTTTTACATGAAGCCCACAACAAAATTTCAGTCATAGACAAGGCACATTTAAAATAAATCAGGTTTAGGGTGGGGGTTTTTGTTATTATTGCAACTGCACAGCAGCCAGCAGAATTGCTGTGCCCTCCCATCCCACGGGATGCCAGCAGTGGACGCGGCACTACTCCTCAGCCTCCTGGAGGAGATGATTAAAATTCCCTGTCAGTTAAGGCTCAGGCAGTGTGGAGGTGCCTGCCCAGCCCAGGGGGCTCAGGGATCACTGGCTGTGGCCCGATCTCTCTCTCCCCATCCCTTGCATCACTCCGTGTCCCCAGGCAGCAGCTGCATCTTCCCACGTGGGCCATTAAACTGAATAATGCACTGGTGTTTCCCGAGGAGAGGAGCTCCCCAGCAAAGTGCTGACTCTGGGAATTCTGGAGGGCTCTGGTAAGGGGAGGGAAGGGCGAAGGCTCCTTCCCAGCCCTGCTAGGAGGGTGCCAGACACACACAACACACACATCTGTGCTCCTGGGCCCTCTCCAGCTGCCTTTTGGAGAATGCTAGGCAGGAAATTGATGCCACAGGGCAAATATTCATTCTTCCCGACTTCCCTCCCAAAGCAAGCCCAGATTTGCCCTGGCTAGACTGGCTTCCTGCAGCCTCCCCGGAGCACCCCCGGCAGAAATGACGAAAATGTGTGTGAGGTGGAAAAACAAACAAACAACGGGCTGCCAGATGTTTGCAACACCGACGCGGGAGCACAGAGCTCACAGGAGCAGCTGATGCTCACGTTGCACTCCCAAGGCAGGCTTGGAGAAGCTGCCAAGTCCGACCTTCGACCGAGTACCCCCATTCCCATAAACCACATCTCCAAGGGCCACATCTCGACCCCTTCCAGGGATGGTGGATGCTCCAGGCAGGAGCGGGGTGTTTAGTGCTGCAAACAGGAGCACTCGGGGCATTTTGGTGCCTCTGTTCCCAGCTAAAGCTGCTGCTGCTGGTTCCTCGTTCCCCAGCCTGCCCAGAAGAGACATCTCACCCTCTCAGGGACAGCCCGGGCAGGGACAGCCACCACTGCCACGTCCCACAGCTCGTCACCAGCCTGGCAGGACACCGACTCAGCCACAGCTGCTCTGGCAATCCCAGCCCAGCCAGGAATTCCCAGTTCCCAATCTCCCACCCATCCCTGCCCTCTGGCAGTGGAGCCATTCCCTGGCTCCTGTCCCTCCATCCTTGTCCCCAGTCCCTCTGCAGCTCTCCTGGAGCCCCTTCAGGCCCTGGAAGGTCACAATGAGCTCTCCTGGAGCCTTCTCCTCTCCAGGTGAACATTCCCAGCTCTGCCAGCCTGGCTCCAGCCCCCAGAGCATCTCCGTGGCCTCCTCTGGCCTGAGCCCTGCAGCCCCACAGCAGCTCCAGCCAGGACACTCGGGGTGCCCTGAATGCAAACCAATATTGCTCCTTTCCCTGCTTTGCTGCCTGCAATAATTATTGCTCTTTGTGCACTACAATGGCCTCCAGAACGTGTACAAATGTGGGCACTATAAACACTTGTGTGGTTTTATCAGACAGCTCTGAAATGTGCTTCCCATGCCTAATGCTCTGGAAAGTGGGCAGGAATGAGACAGAAAGCACCTGGAACATCTCTGTCAGCAGGAGACTTCTGAGCTCAGCAGATCCCAGCTGAGATTATCTGAAGGAGGCATCACTTGGTGCCCTGGCCTCGTGCTGCATCCGAGTGAAAGGCAGAGCCCTTTGGTCTGACTGTGCAAACACCGAGCTCATGGGAAACAAACAGCAATTTGACTCCATGGTGGTATTTACTGCAGCACTTCCCTGCCCTGCCCTTCCTGTGACCCAGCTGAGGGGGTTTGGGATGGCTCTCAGTGAACACCCGGCCTGGGGGCAGCAGGACAGGCTGGACTGGCCTTGGGGCAGCCTGCTCTGCTGGAGAGCTGAGCCAGGAACTGCCCCATCACTGGGGATGCACTAGAGAGAGGCTCAGGCTCCAGGCTGGGCCAGGAGCTGGGAGCAGATCCACCTTCTCCATGGACACCACGGGTCACAGAACCACAGAATGGTTTGGGTTGGGAGGGACCTTAAACCCATCCCATGTCCCCCTGCCACTGGGGACACCTTCCACTGTGCCAGGCTGCTCCTAGCCCCATCCAGCCTGGCCCTGGACCCTGCCAGGGATGCAGGGGCAGCCGCAGCCCCTCTGGATGACCTGCAGCAGGCCGAGGCCGTGTCCTGCCAGGCCCATCCCCAGCAGCTGCAGCCCGTGGCTGTGGAGCGGCTCCTGCCCCGTGCAGCTGCGCAGAGCTGGGCGAGGCTGGCCCTGCTGAGCTGCAGAGGTACAGGCAGTGCACACACAAACAAACCCAGCGTGGATCAGCACATGGGAATGTGCTCCTCGTGCACGGGGAGAAGGCAGGAGATGATTTATCACGGGCTAATTACGCATGAGACAACTTGTACCCGGCTGGTTGGACAAGAGGGAGCCCGAAGAAAATTGAGGCAACAACAACCCTTAGGTCAACCTGACATTTGTTGTTGGATCTGTGGGAAATTATTCTCATAAAAACAGACTTTGTAGCCATAAGAGAAAAATAAATATTAACGCAGAGGATGTGCTGCGATGGTTGGATGGGGATGACACGGTGGGGACAGAGGAACCTCAGGGGCAGCCAGAGATGCTCCCTCTGTCCATCCCCCAGTTCTCACTGCTGTGTCAGAACCTCAGATTTCCACATTAAAAACTACAAATAAGGCTGGGCAGGGGGTTGGTGCTGGGATCACGAGGCTCTGGTGCGTTGTGCTCTGTGCCACCCATGACTCAGCCCCTCCTGAGGGACCAAATTCCCCTGCAGCAGAAGGAAACCCAGGGCCAGGCTGTGCCCACCCTGCATGGACACCACAGCCTCGTCTCGCTCTGCTTCTCCCAGCAGAGCTGAAAGCAAAGGGATTTTTTTCCAGGCAAAACTCCGGTGAGCTACAGGAGAGCCACAGAAATCCGATGGAAGTCCTGGGAGAGCCACCCAGCCCTGGCATCCTGCTCCCAGGGAACTTCTCACTGCATCCATTTATGATCCCACCCATCTCCAGCCCCTCTCCACAGCCCCTGCCCCAAGCCTGGAGGTCACACACCCAGCTGCAGCCCAGGAGCTGGGGTGTGTCATCCCGGGCTACCACAGCCCTGCATTTTAAGGGTTTTACCCCCACAGGGACGTTGCTGTGCTGGGAGGTTGTGCAGGAGCTGGGCAGGTCCAGCCCTGCAGTTCCCAGGGCAGGCTCAATGGGCACATGGTGTGACCTCAGAGCTGACCCTGCTCTGAGCAGGACATTGCTTTAGACACCTCCCAAGGCTCCTTCCCACTCACAGGACACCTCCCCGGGAGCCTTCCCACCACCAGCCCCTCTGCCTGCACCTTCCCTGGAGCCACTTCCCCACAGAGCCCCGCAGAGCTCAGCGCCTGGAAGGAGGGGACAGCACCATTTCCCACTCCAGGGTCATTCCCTGATGAAATCCCGCAGCTGGGCAGCCCCAGAATGACCAGAACAAACCCCAGGCAGGGCAGAGCACAGCCGGGTCCCTGTGGGAGCCCTGGCCAGGGTGGCTGCCTCGGGAGCAGCGTTTGTGCCCGCTGGAAGGGGACAGGCTGGCTGTTCGCAGCACCTTCGGGTGCTGGCACTTCGGAGCCTGCTCCAGGAACAGCTCCTGCCCTTCTGCCAGCTCCCAAATCAGCTCCTGCTCAGGCTGTTCCTTCCTCCCGGCCTCTGGGGCACCTTTATCCCGCTGTCCAGAACAGGCTGTTTCCTGACAAATCCCAGGCACGGCGGTGACCGCGGCAGGGGTGACCTCACCCTTCATTGTCACCCACGTCACTGCTGCCTGCCGAGCTGCCCTGGCCGGGCAGTCCCCAAGCACAGGGTCCCCAAACTGCCACCGGAGCCACCCGAGTGCCTGGGGTACCCCCAGACCCCACAGCCCCCCAAGTGCCTGGGGTATCCCCACACCCCAGAGCCTCCTGGGGCACCCCCAGACCCCAGGCTCCTGCCCCGAGTGCCTGGCGTATCCCCACACCCCACAGCCCCCCGAGTGCCTGGGGTACCCCCCACACCCCAGAGCCCCCCAGGGGACCCCCAGACCCCTCAACCCCCCCCGGCTCCTGGGGTACCCCACACCCCAGAGCCTCCTGGGGCACCCCCAGACCCCAGGCTCCTGGGGTACCCCCAGACCCCTCAGCCCCCGGGCTCCTGGGGTACCCCACACCCCAGAGCCTCCTGGGGCACCCCCAGACCCCAGGCTCCTGGGGTACCCCCAGACCCCCCCGGGTTCCTGGGGTACCCCACACCCCAGCTCCCACAGGAACAGAAGCACCACTCGTGGCCCGGCCAGCCCAGCCGGTCCCTCTTGGCCAGGCCACCACTGGTGCCACCCTCTCAAGGCCACCAGGTCCCCGATGGGCTTTTCCCAGCCCGGCTCTGCCCTAAGGTGTGCCACCCCGGCAGTGACACAGCGCGATCCTTATCGCGAACCCTCCTTTGTCACCCGGGCCATCCTGGGCCAGGCGGCAGCCCAAAGCAGGCCAGGAGGCACGGGCAGGGCCGGGCGGGCCCGGGCAGCCATCCCACAAATCCCCCATGGACAATGGGGCCACCAATGCTCAGCTGGCCGGGCACTGCGGGGGCAGTGACACGGGACAGTGACACGGGACAGTGACACGGGACAGTGACACGGGACAGTGACACGGGGGCCGTGCCCAGCCCCGGGACCAGCCGGGACCCCCGGGGCCAGCTCAGGTGGCCCAGCAGGGGACACCGGGCCGTGTCACCGAGGCGGGGCTCAGCCCTGCAGGGTGGCTCAGCCACTCAGCACGTTGGCAAGGAAACACCATAAATATTTTCAGCGCAGTGTCAGCGGCGCCTCCCTCACCGCGCAGCCCCAGGGAAGGTGGGAGGGGAGGGAAGGCCGGGGCAGACCCCTCCCAGGGAGTGTCCCCAGGCCCGGGCTGCAGGAGGACCCAGAACAGCAAAACCCCATTACAACATCCAGGGAAAAGCTGGTTTCCTGCCTGTGGAGGTGGCAGGGGACGGTCCCCACTCGGGGGAGCAGCTGTCCCAGCTCCCACTCCCATCCTGCTCATGCCAGGCCCAGCCTGGGCAGAAACCTCGGGCGAGGAACGACTCAACACAGCCCCACAGGAACAGCAGCCCTCATTCCCAGGCTTTGGCTCTGAAATCAACCCAAAATCTCCATTCTGGAGCCACCACGGCCCCGGTGCAGCCCCCGCAGTGCCACAGCTGGGACACCTCCAGCCCTGTGGTGACTTCAGCCGTCCTGAGGGAGCCCAGCCCTCCCCAGCCCCGGTACCTTTCTGCAGCCATGCCGAGGGATGGGAGCCGTGGGCAGGAGCAGCTCCAGGCTGGGAGCTCCCACCCTGCCGTGCCGGTGTCTCCACCTCCCGTGGGAGCTCTCCCAGACTGGGGGCACTGGAGGCAGCTGCTGGTGCCTCCCCTTCTGCTCACCTGCAGCTGATCCCAGACTAGCAGGAGATCCAGAGAGGAACCAGCACTGGGGTGCACTGGGGTGCTGGCAGGAGAATTCCCTGGCAAAATAGGTTTCCCTGAGGCCCCAGGAAGCTGACTGGAGCAGGTTGTGACAAGGCACAGCTGAGTTTGGGGGCAGCCCCAGCACACAGAGCCTGAGCCCCACAGGAGCTCCCTGGAGGGCAGCGAGGGCTCCCAGCCACACCAGTGCTGCTGCAGGAGCCTTCAGAGGGACACAATTCCTGGAAAAGGTCCCAGTGAGGACAGGGCACCTCAGCTACATCCAAACCACAGGCCTGGAGGTGAAAATTACAGTCAGAGTGGTTTGGGAGGGGAGAGCCCATCCTGCACCACCCCCTGCACAGGCAGGGACACCAACAAGGGACAGACTGTGTGTCCCTGCTCCTGCTGGACAGCCATCCCAGGTTTTAAACCCTCCCCACAGACCATGCTAATCTCTTCCTGATTTTACTTGATTTTAGAAAATGATCTGTTTGTATTGTCCTGTTCTATAATGCAAAGTATGAGCAGGGGGTAGTTTTGTATCTCTCCCTCAATCTCTATGAAATATGATCATAAGAAATAGTGGACGGGGGAATGTCTTATTTAATATCCTTGGGATGAAATGTGGTTCTGAGTCCCTAGAAATGGACATGCTGAAATGTTAAGAGATCAGGGCGTGACAGGCACAGAAGCCACTGAAATGACACCCACAGACACGTTCTGAAACATGAATATTTACTAACATAAATAAACAGTGTTTTATAACAAAAGGCACAGATTTTCAACTATAAACAATGGAAAAATATGTACAGTTTCCACATAGGAAATCAACCAGCAAGTGCACAGTTGGTCACCTCAGTGACCTTCCTTCCAAGTCATTCCAGCAGTCAGGAAGAGTCCAGATTTCACCTCCCCCACACCAACTGCTGCCAGCCGAGTTTGCGGCAGGGAGCAGCACAGGCTGTCAGATGGAGACCGTGCTGCTGACCTCCTCGTACTGGATGATGAAGTAGGGGTAGCTCTGGTCGTCGTTGAAGATGACGAAGATCTGGGGCTCGAAGTAATTGTCCACGCAGGAGTCGTAGAGGTCGCTGGTGATGCTGCCGGGCTCCACGGGCGGCGGCCTCCTCATGGTGTGGTTGCCCACCGTGTACCTGCCCGTGAGCACCTTGGCCAGGAACATGAAGTGCACGCCCTTGGGGGAGCGCTTGGAGAAGTTGTGGGAGTAGCTGGCCTTCCTGGCGAAGTAGCTGCCCTGGCCGAACATGGTGGCGTGCTTGCCGCAGACGCGCGGGTCGAAGTTGTGCTTGCAGATGCCGTCCACCACGTCCTGCGACGTGCCGTGGAACAGGTGCCGCTCGTTCATGATCCTGTCCAGCCCGGACATCTTCTTGGACATGTACTCCTTTTTCCTGGAACACAGAATGGGAGTGAGGGTGAGCGTTCGCTGCGGGTCGGCCGTGTTTTCATCGGTATCACCCTCTGGAGGAGCTCAGCTGTGAGAGGAGATACAAATCTCCTCTCCAGAAATCTCTCCAGAGATTTCTGTCCACCAAATCTCTCACAGAAAATTCCTCCTCTAGGAGTATCCGTTATTAAAGATCTGCAATTCTCTTACCTTTTATACTTCTCCCAAAGGAACTGGTTCTGCACTCGCAGGATTTTCAAGATCTTGTATTTGGTCTCTGGCACAGTCTTGTGGAACAGGTTGTAAATGGTTCTATAGCTTTTGTCTTCCTTCAGAACAGGCACTTGGATGAAGTCCTGAGCTGGATCCATTCCAATCCAGGTCTCGGGGTAGAAGCTGGGAGAGGTGACAGCAGCTGGGGACAGGTCGTGTGCGGCGGCAGGGTCGGGGCACGGCGAGGGCACAGCAGAGCTGCCACCCAGGGTCCTGGGGAGGACAAAGGCTGTGCTCAGACACCCTCAGCAGCCTCCAGTCACCCCAGTTCATCCCCAGCGGGGCTGAAAAGCCTCTGGTAACCATGGGAGTGTCCAAGGCCACAGTGGGCAGGGCTTGGAGCACCCTGGGATGGTGGAAGTGTCTGCCTGTGGCAGGGGGTGGCACTGGACGGGATTTAAGGCCCCCTCCCGAACAGGAAGATTCTTACTGCCATTTACACAGCCAGAGGTGGATTTGCATTTGCAGCTGGTTATTTTCCTGCCCCTCCTCTGGGAATGCTGCCTGGAGAACAGGCAGGGCTGAGGGAGGGAGCTGTGGCCAAGAAGCCCCATGGATGCCAGGAAAAAAACCTTGGAAAACCCAGGAAAGGAGCCCAGCAGGACCCTGCTCCTACCCACAGCAGCTCTGTGGAACCCTCACACTCTGGAAGCTGCTGAACTGAGAGAAGTGGCCGTGGTGGTTTATGTTCCCTGATCCCACCTGAGTGAGCAGCCCTTACTCAGCTGAGTGAATCCTCACTGCCTGGATTCTCCCTCTTGTGCTGAGGGGAACATTGGGACCATGGCACCTGCAGGGCCCTGGCACAGCTCCTGCAGCTGCAGGAACTCGTGGGGCGAGCTCCAAAGTCCACCAAGGAGGATTTTCCCAAAGTATTTCTCTGGGAAAAGCTGCCAGCCCTTCAGTGCCCTGGGGCAGGCAGCAGGAGAGAGGCACTGGCTGCTGCCAGGCCCAGGGTGGAGCTGCTCTCCAAAGCCCACAGATGGCCAGAAACCAAATCAAACCCAAGGAAAAGTGTTGGGAGGGGAAATTTAGTGGAAAAAGATCTATTTTTAAATCAACACATGGAAAGCTGTGACAGCCCTCCCACTTTTCAGGGCAGAAACGCTCTCTGAGTGTTCTCTGGCTGTTCCCTCCTGCTGGAGGCCAAGGCCAGGATTCCCTTCATTTGCATGGATTTGACTCAACTCCAAGATCTCCTCACTGGTTATTAACAGCTGAGCAGAAACCCAGAAATTTGTTCTACAAATTGCTAATAAAATAGCAATCAAATACCAAAGTAGGCATTTGTTTTTAATTTGGTTTTCCTCTTGAGAACCAGGACTGCTCTAACCAACAAGTCCACTGCTGGTGTTTTACTGGCACCCTGCACTTTCTCTCTGATAAGCTGGGGTTTCCTTCCTGTAAAACCCTATCTAAAAACACCTCCCAGCCCACGTGTGCTGAGGCTGTGACCAAACCCCAGAGGGGTGAGGGCTCTGAGCACACCCAGTGCTCCCACTGAACCAGCACGGGAGGGTTTGGGCTGCCAGGACCTCCAAGCCCATCCAGAGCCATCCCCTGCCGTGGCAGGGACACCTCCCACAGCCCAGGGTGCTGGAAAATGGACAGGATGTTCCAGCATCCACAAGGTACATCACAAATTTAAACAAGGAGCTCCTCAGATAAATGTTCCTTTGGAAAGCGGCAGGAGCTGCCAGCATGACCCAGATTTTGGGTTCTCATTCCCATTTCCCACCCAACAGTGCCTGCTCCCTGTCACAGCCCAGGAACACAACTCCCCCATCCAGCCCCACGTGGAGAGCACTGGGAATGTCCCAGTTTTGGGGATACCTGCTGCAGGAAGGGCACTGGGAATGGCTCGGTTTTGGGGATACCTACTGCAGGAAGGGCATGAGCAGCAGGCAGGAGCGCAGCAGGGGCCTCCTCTTGATCTCCCTGCGGAAGCAGGAGTTCTGCTGGAAGCCATCCTTGATGTTGAGGATGTACTGGTTGTGCCAGGTGATGAAGCGCACCTCGCGCAGCCCGCGGCAGCTCGCCTCCTCGATCAGCCTCACCAAGGAAAAAACAGGGGAAAATGGGGGAGAAAATAGTGGGGGGGAAAAAGGGGGAAAAACAGGGGAGAAACAGGGCAAAAACAGGGAAGGGAAATGCACACATGAGAAACCACATGCTGCAAAATTCATATTCCTGTTCTACACTGCACAAATCCAGTTCTCCTCGCAGCTCCAACACCCTGAGTGTGTTATTTGTGGTATTTGAGAGCTGTGCCCAACTCTCTGCAGCTCTTACACTCAGGGATTATTTCTGGGACTGCCAGCACTGATGAGGTTTCACTCCAAACATCAGCCCAAGGGCTGCACCCCACAGCTCAGGCAGTGCATGTCCTGCCTCAGCAGAGCTCTGGGACAGGGAAATCAATTAAAAACTGCCAAGGTAAATGGAGCTGCTGTTCTGAAGGCTGCAGAAGCTGTCCCGCTGTCATAAAACCAAATCAGGCTCCAGAAGGGCTTCCTTGGTACTGCCACAAGCTGGTTTGCTCCCCAGAGGGACAGTCTGGCCAGCCCTCATGTCTCTGATGCTTTCAGGGTAATTCTAGTCACAGCATGACAGAATCACAACCCAGGCCAGCAGAGCTGTCCCTTCACTGCTTCCTCAGTTCAACAGTGACTCTCCTCCTCCTCAGAGGAGCCCCAAATCCCCTCCCTGAGTGTCTGCAGGGGAACCAGGCTGAACACGGATGTATGCAGGGTGTGCTGCATGGAGAGCTGGGGCTGGGGCCCAGCAGCAGGACTGGAAGGGGCCATACCTCGGAGTACTCTCTCCAGCCAAAGTGGTCCCTGCAGAAGTACTTCCACACCGTGTAGCAGTTGGAGCTGGAGCTGGGGCACGAGGCTGTGGACAGGCGCCGCATTTGGTCGAACTCTGCGCTTTCATGAAATTTCATGAGGTTCAGATCCACCCAGCACTCCTGGCCCCTGGGGAAAATGGGAGAAACAGACAATTCTCACCTTTTGTATGCCATTAAACACACGGTTTCCAGCACAGGGGGACAACACCTCAAACCCAGCAGCTGTCTGAGGTGTAGAATCCTGGAATGGTTTGGGCTGGGAGTTCACCTTCTGTATGCCATTAAACACATGGTTTTCAGCACAAGGGGACAACACCTCAAACCCTGAGGTGTAGAATCCTGGAATGGTTTGGGCTGGGAGAGCCTAAATCCCACCCAGTGCCACCCCTGGGACACCTCCCACTGTCCCAGGCTGCTCCAGCCTGGCCTTGGGCACTGCCAGGGATCCAGGGGCAGCCACAGCTGCTCTGGGTATCCTGTACCAGGGCCTGTCCACCCTGGAACAATTCCTGCCCAATATCCCATCCAGCCCAGCTTCCAGGCAGTTTAAAGCCATTCTCCTTGTCCTGGCACTAAGTGCCCTTGTTAAAGGTCCCACAGAGACTCGAGAGGTGAGAACAGATTTCTCAAGAATTTCTCCTCACCAACTCACCAAATAAAGGTCTCTATTTATAAAAATAAAGCAGTTCAGTGGAACTGTTTGCACAGAGAGAGCGAGCACGTTGAACTCTCACAAGAACAGGGCACACAACCCAAATTTGGTGCTGTAGAACAGCACAATTCAAAATAAAACTCCACGAGCTCTCAACAGCAGAATGTGACCGCACTAATAAGTTTCATTTTCTCTGTTCCCTAAATGTAAGAAATAACAGAAGGTGTCAACTTGGCAGGACGCTTGCAGGACTGAGCAGGTTCCTTGCCTGGCAAGTTTTAACACTGACAGATTTTTTCAGATTGGTGCAGCCAAAACAAGGATCTTTAGGCTCTTCCTTCCATCCTTCTGCAGAGCTCCAGCCCAGTCAGTGAATCCCCGAGCTCTTTCCCTTCAGCAGGACAAACACTCTCTAGACGTCACGGCCACGATCACGTCCAAGGAGATGAGTAGAGAAATCAGTCTGTCAGTGCTCTGAAACCACGTGTGGTTTGAGCTCCTCTCCGAGTTACCGCAAACAGGTTCAGAAAAACAGAACTGCTGCTCGCAGCAGGGCCAGCAGGAAACGAGAGCTGCTCCAGCAGAACAGCTGTGAGACACAGCACGGCCACAGCCCAGCTCCCTGCCTGCTGAAACTGCTGATCTGCTCTCTCTGACTCAACCAGTTCCTCCCTGCAGCAGCCTGGCGGCCCCCGGCCCTCAGGGGCTTCAAAGAGCCCAAGAGCACGAGAAGGTTTTGTACTCAGGGCTGGGGAGCCACGCTGAGCTCAGCCACTGCAGAGGCAAGGCAGGCACTGACACTTGCTGGTGACACCAGGACAGCAGATCTTATCTCGTTTGTGCTCTTGGTGCAAGCTGCAGGGGAAGGGCTCTCCCACAGATCAGCCCAGCTTTGGGTGGGGGGCTGAGTGTTTGAACTCCCGCATGAAACCAAACATCACTTAAAGGGTATTGGCTTCAAAAGATCAGAGAAATCACAGATTTGGTTCAATTGGAAAAGCTCCCGCAGACCATCAAGCCCAACCGTCCCCAGCACTGCCAAGGCCACCCCTGGCCCACGTCCCCAAGTGCCACATGCCCAGGGCTGTTAAACCCCTCCAGGGATGGGGACTCCAGCAGGCAGCCTGTGCCAGGGCTGGGCACCCAACCAGGAGTGTAACGTGGAAGCACAGGTACTGAAACAGCAACAGCAGAGCTCAGGCAGCAGAGCCAAACGTGCTGCCATGGAAAGGCAGGGCAGGAGGAAAGGCCAGGAGCACTCCCAGGGGATGCTCAGCAGCAGCTCTTCCCAACAGAGCAGGAGCCAGGGCTGGGCTGCCAGGCACACAGGAACCTCTGCAGCAGGGCAAGAGCACAAACAACCCATCTGAGCCTGATCTTATCAGGGCCTCCTCAGTTCAAACCCGAGAGGGGCACCAGTGCCAGGGCAGCACGTGAGTTTCAGATGTGACTGCGTCTGCCCTCCCACCAAGTCATGCTGCTCTCTGTGGTGACCGTGGGCCACGTGGGAGGTGACACCTCACACTGGGGAAAGATGCTGCAGACACATTTCCCTCCCAGCTTAAAGGCTCCGTCCTCAGGGGACAAAAGAACCCAAAACCAGGGACTTTGCTGCTTTTCCTGTGATTCTTTTTTAAAAGCTGGAAAGACTGTTTTCCCCTGCCTTTACAACTGGTGACTGGGGTGCTTGCAAAAGCAATCTTCTGGAATTTTCACAGCCAGGGGGCCAGCTTGTAAACCTGGAACAACTGCTGACACACTGGCCCATATATGTAGATGTGTGTGTGTACATGTACAGCTTAGATGAATGCCTGGCAGGGAAAATAAAAACAATAATAATAACAACTATAAAAGTAGCCCCCCAGCTCTGGGTCAGGAAGTCCTCGAGGCAGGGCTGCTGGAGGAGAAGGGACCATTCCAGAAGCTGTTTGTTCTTCCCAAGAACCCACTCCTGGCCACTCCTGAACACGAGGGCCTGGCCAGGGGGCCTGGGGTAGGCACGGGTAAGTTCTCAAACCGCACAGCAATGAGGATGTTGAGCACATCCCCCTCTCCCAAGGAGTGCACAGGCACTCTCTCTCCCAGCTCCAGCCCCAGCTGCAGCTGGTGTTTGCAGGGCAGCACAAACAGTGTCCCTGTGCCTGCTGGGCTCCAGGGGCTCTGAGATGTGGATGTGCCTGGGAGGGCTTGGGTTGTTTGTTTCATTGGTAAATCGGTGAAAGATGCTCCTGGAGGGGTGGGGCTCGATGACCTTTAAGGGTCCTTTCCAACCTAAACTGTTTATGTTTTAGAGGAGCACAAGCCCAGCTCTGAGTGGCTGCAGAGCTGGTACAGGCAGGGACCCTAAGGCTCACCCAGTGCCACCCCTGGGACACCTCCCACTGTCCCAGGCTGCTCCAGCCTGGCCTTGGGCACTGCCAGGGATCCAGGGGCAGCCCCGGCTGCTCTGGGCACCTGTGCCAGGGCCTGCCCACCCTCCAGGGAGGAATTCCTTTCCAAGGCCCCACCTATCTCTGCCTTCTGGCAGTGGAAATTCATTCCCCTTGTCCTGTCATTCCAGACTTTTCCTAAAAATGAATGTTCCCCATCACACCTTCCAAAACCAACATCCCCAAAGAAACCACTCCTGTGTACACGTGACTACAGGAATCAGATTCCCGATTATTACTCATCCCTCCTGATTTCAACAGCTCTGAGCACCCAGCAGGAACCTCCTGATCACTGCTCCTGCTGAGCAAAGCACTGCCACAGCCTCTGTGTCCCCTGGGTCCTGGCAGGCTGTCCTGTCACAGCCCTCTGTGTCCCCTGGGTCCTGGCAGGGCAGTCCTGTCACAGCCCGTGCTGCTGCCCTGCCTGGGAGCAGCTCCTGAGAGCCAGCCCTGCTCAGTGTCAGAGGAGCAGCCTGACCCCAGCCTGCAGCCAGGTGACAGCTGTTCCCCAAAGTGCAATCTGTTTATTGACAGGAAACAAGAGCAGGGATGGCAGTGATTGCCGGCTCAGGGCCTCCCTGCCTTTGTACAGCTAGGAGCCAATTAGTTCCATTTCATATGGAAATGGTGCTGCACAGTGCAGCAAAAAGGAACCACACAGCACAAGGCAAACACTTCCAAAATCACTTCACAGGAGCTTCATCCGAGGCTCTGCCTTGCATTCCTGCTGGAAAGGAATGAAAAGCAGCTCCCAGCCACTCAGAGGGTACAGCCAAGAACCTCCCCCAAACTCAGGCAGAGGGACTCTCAGCTGGTTTCCCATCTCCCTGTTATCACTAACACATGCCTTATCTCACACACTGTGGCCTGTGTGGATCACACAGAAAACTTCTGAAATTTAACTGTTTGATGGGCCAGAGATCTGCAGAACTCCAAGGGGCTGTGGCTCTGCCCCACCCCTGGAAGTGTCCCAGGCCAGGCTGCATGGGGCTTGGAGCAGCCTGGGACAGTGGGAGGTGTCCCTGCCAGGGCTTTAAGGTCTTTTCCAAGCCAAAGCACTCAGTGATTCCATGATTCCATCCTGAAATGCCTCCACTGTGCTCTGTATGATTTTAACACGTCAGGCACATTCTGTCAGCACCAGAGAAGCAGCCATCCCACACACAGAGGAATGAAGGAAAACCAGTTTCCTGTACATTTTGTTGTGTCCATGCCTCTCCTTCCCAGTCCCTTGACATGCCCCTGATAACTCCAGTGGAACACTCTGTATTTGGAGTCACGGAATGGCTGAGGTTGGAAAAGCCCTCCAAGAACACTGAGTCCAGCCCAGCCCAGAGCTCTGAGTGCCACGTCCAGGAATTCCTTGGACACCTCCAGGGATGGGCACTCAAACCTCCCTGGACAGACCCTTCCTGTGCCTGACCACCCTTTCCTTCCATGGAGAAATTGCTGCTGATATCTGAGCTGAACCTTCCCAGGACAGCCTGAGTTTCCTCATTGTCCTTGTCCTGTCATTTACTGACTTCACCCAAGGGCCAGCACAGGGAGAACAGCTCCCAGCAGGACACGTCCCACTGCAGAGCCACCTGCCCTTCCCTCACTGCAGCCGTCCCATTCCTCTCTCCTAGCTACAAGGAGCCATTCCATGAAATCACAGAAATTACGGGGAAAAAGAAAGAAAAAGGAAAGAAATCACAGCAACAGCAAGAAGCTGCTGTGTCAGGCGAGTTGGGAGCCCTTTTGCCAAGAGGAAGAGTGGAATTTCCAGCCAAAGCAGGGAACTGTCGGGTCAGGAACTGCAGAGTTGCTTTAAACAAATCCTCCTGTAATCTCTACTGCTGCTGCTTGTTTTGAAAAGCAATGTGTGCATGATAGGACAGGTGTGTGTGTGGGGAAACCTGCTCAGCTGCTCAGCCAAGTATTTCCCCTTAGCAAAGAGCATCTTAAAATATCCCAACGTGGGCATCTCCTGCTGGAAAGCAGCACTTGGCACTGCTCTCTCTTTGCTGAAAGCTGGAACTTCTCGAGGAAAGGGGAAATCTATCTATGAGGAAAACCGAGTGCTTCTAAGTACTTTAACCTGTTTAAGTTGATGTTCCCCCATTTGTTTAGATAGCTTGGTATGTGGCTCTACATACTTGGCAGACTCAAGAATACAAAAAAACCCACATTAGTAATTTATGATTCTAGTTTGAGGCCAAACTGCAAGAAGCAGCTGAAGGAGTTGCATTACAAAGTAACTAAACAAGGTTTACCACTCCTCTGAGATCACATTCCCTTAGGTGAGAGGCAACAACTTAATGTGTATTTTACATTACTCATCTCAATAACTTATCTCCATCATTACTCATCCCAATAATTAAGAGGAAGGAAGGTTTATATAAATAGCTCTTTGAAGAACACCCTAATTTAGAGCTGATTCCCTAATTGAGCCGATGGCCAACACTTTCTGGAAGGGCCCAGCTCCCTGGGGGCAGCGGCGGCGGTGCCAGGATCATTCCAATCCCGCTCACCACACCCCCAGAGCGTGGGGGACACAGAGCAGGACAAACAGCAGCCTGGCCGGCCAGGCAGAGTGCTGAGCAGGCGTTTCCTCGGGCTGCCAGGGAGCAGACAGGCCTGCAAAGCTCGTCTGACCACGGCAGATTAATGGCTTTAACAAATAATGCTGTAACCATGGGACGCGGCGCTGGCGGTCACGGCTCCTGGCTCCCACTGCCAGGGGACACAGCACAGGGACACTGCCACCAGGGAGCTGGGGCTCCCCACACCTTGGCAGGCTCTCCTCACAAGGCGATGTTGCCTAAGAAGCAGCTGGTGATGATGCACACTGAAACGTTGACCTCCCACCTCAAAACCTGGCTTAAAAGCTTGGCAAGTCAAAGTTCCAAGGAGGATCAGACTCAAAGCTTGAAATCAGAAGCTCTGGTCTTAAATGGAGCTTCACTCCAAAGGTCTCACTGACACATATCCAGCCGTGAAGCTCTTCCAAGGTTGGAAGGGATCTCAAAGATCAGCTGATTCCAGCCCTGCCCTGGCAGGGACACCTCCCCCTGCCCCAGGTGCTCCAGCCCCAGTGTCCGGCCTGGCCTTGGGCACTGCCAGGGATCCAGGGCACCCTGTGCCAGGGCCTGCCCACCCTCCAGGGAGGAATTTCTCCCCAACCTGCAGTGTAAATCTGCAGTTTGGCAGGACCCCCAGCCCAGCAAGGCCAGGGCTGCATCCCCAGGCTCCGAGGGCAGTGTCCCACCCGGCTGTGCCCAGCCCACGCCGCTCCTGTCCCTGCCCTCACACTCAGGAACGTCCTGTCCCTGGCACACACCTGCCACCCTGTCCCCAGCTGGATCAGACAGGCAGAGACCCATGTGCCACCAGCCCCAGCAGGCTGGGACCTGCACACCCAGGGCAAGGGAGGTGTCACTGCACAGCAGCTTCCCAGCCCGGGGTGAGCAAGCCATGAGCAAGCACCGTGTCCTTTCCCATTCATCATCCCCAAGTCCATCCTTTAGGACACTGCTCATGTGCACTGATGGATTCGGTGACACAACTTCCAAAAGAAAACCATTTGCTCATTTACACAGAATTCAAAGTTAAATCATCTAATGGGCTTGTCTCTGGCTGTGCTGTTTTGTTTTCAGAAATCATTTGTAACACTTGGGAAATAGAAGTTCCTCTGTGGTAAAATACAGCAAAGTGTATCTGCTATGCACTTAGAAGATTCTTAAATTTTCATTAAAGACTGGTATGTTTCTTCAGGACAGTTCTGTAAAATGTAGTTGTTCCCTACTACATATCCTACTTCATTTTCACTCTGGGACATCCATATTTTTGATACTGCCATCATGAAAAAGGCCCTGTGGCTGCCCCTGGATCCCTGGCAGTGTCCCAGGTCAGGTTGGATATTGGGGCTGGAGCAGCCTGGGACAGTGGGAGGTGTCCCTGCCATGGCAGGGGTGGCACTGGGTGGGATTTAAGATCCCTTCAACCCAAACCAGTGTGAGTCTATGACAAAGGTTGAATTCAGTGTCTAATCCAACATCAAATTAAGTGAAAGTAAAGACTCACGCTGACTCCAAGCGCTAGATTTGGTCTGGTGCCAAATGAGAAATCTCAGCTGAATAAATGAAAATAAAATATTGAGAAAGTAGGGATATGCTTTCTTCAGGAACTGAAAGGAAGAAGAGGCAGTGAGCAGAACCCCTCAGGATTCAGGTGGAAAAGGCAGTGTGAAGTTTTCACTCCAGAAATGTCACTTTGAACTGGGGTTGTGCCAGCCTGGCAAATTTCTCCTCTCTTATCTGCCCTGCCACGACGTGCACCACACACTTCCTCCAAAAAAAAAATCCAAAACCAAAGCAGTCTGCACCCTGCACTAGCTGGAGCCTGCAAACATCACTGTTCCCCTCTGCTCCTCACACTGGAACCTGCAGGGGAGAAGCTGAACAAGTTTTAGCTCTCGGGGTGCAGGAGCCCACACAGGTCACACAACCACATCCACCTAACAGCTGTTGGCTAATTTTAGAAAATGAGTCAATAAACAAGCTCTACAGAGAAAACAATAACTTCAATAACTGCTTTAATAGTGGAGATGATCAGCATTTCTGAGCGTGTGGCTCAGGCTGCTCACAGGGAATCAGCTGGAACACCCCCACTTCCTGACAGGGATATGACACTTGCCAAGGGCCCTGCAGAGCTCCCCTCTGGCTCAGCTCTTTGGGGTGCAATGATGCAGGCTGTGCTCACAGACACAGAGCAACTGCTCTGTCATCCCTGTCCCCAGCGCTGCCAGGGCTTTCATGCTGCCACTTTGTCCGACACAGAGGAAAGACTAATTAGGAATGCCAAGAACAAGCACAGCATTCCACAACAGTCTCTGAATTCCTACTGAGCTGAAGTTTTCTTATTTCACACACTCCAAGTCCTCCAGCTTCAAAGAACACATTCCAGATGCTAAATAACAGTTTACAAGTGTACAAATATTTTTTGTCCAGTGAAACTTGTTGGATATAAATCAAGAAACATCATGCCAGAGTTTATAACACACTTGGATACAAGTATCAGGGGAAAAAAGGCACATTCTGGTATATTTCTGCACCCTTCCCAGCAAGGGAGTACATTCAATTACCTACCCGTACTTGACTTTGATCTTGTCATTGTCAGGGTTGCAGTAAAGCCTTTCCAGGTGCTCCTGGGAATCGTTGGTCACACTTTGCCACCTCTGGGTTGCTGTCCTCCTCACCTGCCAGTGATAGGGTAACACTGTGTGATGCTTGGGACAGTCACTGCCATAAACACAAGTGCCCTGGAGAAAATCCACACAGATTTCAATCCCGTCCTCCTGGTGGGTGTGATACTGCAGCTGGTTCAAGAGCTCAAACACCAGGTCAAGGGAAGCTTCTTCACTTTTATCCTGGAATATCCCAGCACTGAATTTATTGCTTGGGGTCAAGTTGTATTGCATTGGACAGCTGTTCTCCTGGAGTAAGCCAGATGTGTAGCTTTCCAGAACCTTGTCAGGGAACAAAGGACAAGCTGCACCATCACCAGCACTTGGGTGCAAAGGATGATCCTGGAATGATTCATTACCATTATCAGCAGCAGTTCCAGGAGTTTCTGGGGAGAAACCTTGCTCTCCTGCCTGCACATCCTGCTCAGGATGCCCGGGGGAAGGACGAGCTCCTGCCAGCTGACCCTGCACATCTGGAGCTGTTGGCATCAGCACAGTCACATTATTTTCTGTCTGGGGGCAAGAGGTACCGAGGTCCAGAGTCTTTTTCACAGCAGGTTCACATAAGTCACCGTGGCCACCCCGCTGGCCTCGGGGCACAAAGACCCTGTCCAAGGCCCCGGCTCCCAGCAGGCTGGTGAAGATGGGCCGCAGAGCCCGCAGAGTCTGTGTGTCCAGTCTCTTCTGCACTTGCTGCTTCTTCTTGAAGCAAGGCTTCACCGGGGGGATCTTTTCAGCCAGCCTCACCTGGGGAGAAAAGTCCTCCGAAGGAGAGCACTTCATGGCTGGGCAGGGAGCCTGGGGCACCACGCACGCCGGCTGCGGCTCGGTGTCCATCGGACACAGACTTTGCTCCCTCCAAATCACTTTCAAACGTCCCAGAGCCTCCCAGGAATCAACCTAGGGCAGAAAGGAAAACAAGACAGTTAATCTCTCTAATTGCTCATGGTTGACACGAACAAGATCACCCCTGGAGAGGATTTTGAGCCAGCAAGAGCAAACTCCTCCCCTCGCTGTGACTGCGGGTAGCCCTTAGGCACGTAAAGCATGAAAACAGCTAAACTCGGGCTAATTAATCCCAAACCCACAGTGCTCCTCTCCCCGCACACGCAGGCTCTGAGACACTCCGGCACGCACACGCAGTCCCCCGAGGGTGGGCAGGAAAGGGGGATGGTCCGACGCCTCCTCCCTGTCAGGATGTTCAACAAACGGGAGCACTTGGGTTCGTTCTATCCCACAAAGAGAACATGACAGCGCTCGTTCCTGCGCCTCCCTCACACACAGACCCGAGCAGCATGAGACACGTCCCCCCCCGCACTTCAGGCGTTCCTGCTCCATTTCCTCTCCTACCGGAGGAGCAAACCTACACGTTCCCATCGCGCTGGCATGTGTCCTCCCTCGTGTCACCTCCCACAGCCCCGCGGAGCCGCTGGCTGCGGAGAGCCACGGCAAACCTGCGGCGGGGCCACCGTGCCACCGTGCCGGGCTCGCAGGAACCCGCTGCCCGTCCCTGCCCCGAGCCAGCCGCGGTGACACACCGGGCGCCAGGAATTACACCGGGCAGGGAAGCCAGCAGAAGGGTGATGTTACTCAGGAACCGAGAAAGGCATTGCAAGCTGCAGAATTGTATTGTTTTAAAGCACAAATAAGCAGTGTGTCTCGCACGTCACCAAAAGCAAGTGCTATGCCTTTTAATCAGGAATCCTGTAATATTTGATTACATTTAATTAAACCTTCTTCAATCTCACAGGCAGGCTCAATGCTCAGAGTGGAGCACATTAAGGATTACTTCCTGGATAAATGCATTCCGAGCAAAGTTACTCCTCACTTCAAAACAAAATCCCAAAGAACAGAGAAAATTTGGCAATAATCTCTTATTACTGATGATTTGCTCTGGAAAGTATCTCATCGAGCCTTCTGTATTTTGGAACATTCATTTATAAGGCTTTTCCATTTCCCTGGGAAACAGCACGTCAGAATTGCCAGGAAAAAGAAAAAAAAAAACTTGTGCCTCTCCAGTTTTCCCATTTTTAGATTAAAGTTAAAGCAACTGGTATATCTGTTTGGCAGCTAACCCCAAAGTCATCGGTGTATCTGTTATTCTTCCACAGACACCAGGCAATTCCTTCAAACCACCAAAGGCACTTCAGGTAACTCCAAAGGTTTAAAAATCCTCGGCTCCGAAGAGAATGAGACGTTCCCGCTGTGGCAGCCCAGGTCTGAGCGCCCTGGCGAGGAGCGAGAGGATCCGCCAGGGCTCAAGGACCCCGCAGCGCCAAGGTGCTGAGCAAGTGACTTCTGATCTCCTCCAGCCATACCTTTGCTGCCATTTCAACATTCATACTCCTCACTCCACCAGCATTTCAGTCTGGCTGCTATTTTTACAGAAGTGCCTCAGTGAGCAGAGCCGGGTCCCCCAGCGGCTCTAAAAATAAAGCGGCAGGAAGGACGAGGCTGGGGCTCGGCCGGCGCTGCCGTGCCGCAGCGGGCGGCAGCGCTCCCGCAGCGATGCTCCCGCAGCCGCCGCTCCCCGCCGGGGCTCCGCTCCCCGGGCGCTCCCATCGCACGCGAGCCGCGCCTCCGCTGCAAGGAGAGCCGCTCCGCCGGCGTGAGACGCGCTGCAACCACGAACAATGGACGAGCAGCCCAGCACGGAACCTGCGGCCGGCGGGGCTGCCGGGCAGCCAGCCCAGCGCAGCTGGCACCTACCGGCGCGGGCTCCCTCGGCGCTGCTCCCGCCTTCCGACCCAAATCCACGGTAACTCCAGAGCGAAATCACTTTTCTGGTGGGGGGGAAGCTGCAGTGAACACGGCGGGCGGTGCCGGGACACCGTGACCGCGGCCGGAGCGGGTCAGCCCCGCCGCGTCCACCCGCACATACCGCCCTGCCCGGCCCGGCTCCTCGGGCCGCCCGTGCCGCCCGTTTAAATAGCGCTGCCGCGGCAGCCGCGAGGGCAGCGCGGCCGGGGCGGGGCGGGGCGGGCAGGGCCGGCTCCCCGCCCTCGGGGCCGGCTCCCCGCCCTCGGGGCCGGCTCTCCGCCCGGGGCCGGTCCCCCCGCGGCGCCGGCCGGGCTGCAGCACGCCCCACGCCGGTGTCAGCGGCCAGAACCGAAAGCGCCGCCCGAGGCCATTCCCGAGAGCGATAGGACAAGAGGCCCCTTCGCGTTTCATTTATCACGCACCGAGCGTTTCGTTTCGGGCGGCAGGGAGGGAGCGATGTCCCCGAGCACGGCGCTGCGTGCGCGGGGCTCGCACGCGAGCCGGGGACGCGCCGGGAAGGAGCCGTGTCAGCCCGGGCGCTCCAGTCACGCAGCACGGAGGAACACGCCGTCCTCACGGAAGGCAAGCACGGCACCCTGAGCCTCCCCGCGCCGCCGAGCTCTCGGTGCGAGCGGCTCCAGCCGCGCTAATTAATGAGTAAGAGACAAACAGGGAGCCCGTCCCGGAACAGTCACCCTGACTCACGCGGTGCACCCACACGCAGCCCCTGGCACGGCGCTGCCCCCATCGGGGCCCTGCTCCTGCCGGTGACACACTGCGGAAAAGCGAGCGTGGAGCGGAACAGGTTTCCCGGAGAGGCTGTGGCTGCGCCAGGCCGGGAAGTGCTCAAGGCCAGGCTGGACGGGGCTGGGAGCAGCCTGGTCTGCAGAAGGTGTCCCTGCCCATGGCAGGGCGGTGGAATGAGATTGGCTTTAAGGTCCCTTCCGAACCCAAGGCAGGCTGTGATAACGCGCTGGAGGCAGCTATTGTTTGTTGAGGAGTATTTTATAGGTGGGATTGGTTAAGAGCAGCTAGCCTCCCTTTGTCCCAGCCGTGCCCGTGCTGTCACCGTCTGGCTGTACGTGTGCGGGAGCACGGCCGGTTCAGCTGTCCGTGCCGGCCTGGCATGCTTCCCTGCTGAATCACTGCCTGCTCCGGAGAAACCCCAGCAGGGCACGGCCAGCGGTTCACACGGACACCAGCCACAACCGATGCTTCTACAGCACTAACAGCCAGATAAGATAACTTGTGAAGGGGGCAGTAACTTCAGAATGGGACACTGGTGTTGATGGAACACCTTTTGTATCATCTGCCCGGAGAGGCTGTGACTCCCGCCCCTGGAAATGTCCAAGGTTGGACGGGGCTTGGAGCAGCCTGACCTTTGGAAGGTGTCCCTGCCCACGGCAGGGGCTGGACCAAGACGAGCTTTAAGGTCCTTCCATCCCAAACCTTCCACAACTCGTGTTCTTGTTTTCTTTCTAAAGCCAGTCTTTCATTCCTTGTGCCCAGTGACTTTATGAAATTACGCATACAGAAAACAAAGGCAGCTGGAAGGAAACTTGTGTTAAGGTGGCACAAACTGTACAGCACAGTTGGAAAATATTGCACAGCTGCATTTATAGCGCAGGTAGGATTTGCCATTTTCCCAACAAATTACAGAAATGGAGCTCCATAGAATCACAGACTTTTTGGGGTTGGGAAGGACCTTAAAGCCCATCCAGTCCCACCTTCCACTGTCCCAGGCTGCTCCAAGCCCCATCCAACCTGGCCTTGGACTTCCAGAGATGGGGCAGCCACAGCTTCTCTGTGCAGGGCCTCCCCACCCTCAGAGGGGAGAATTTTATCCAATCTAAACCTACTCTGTCAGTTTGAAGCCATTCCCCCCTGCCCTGTCCCTCCATGTCCTTGTATATAGTCCCTCTCCAGTGCAGTTGGAGAGAGAATGACTCAAGAGAGACTGAGTTAAGGTGGCATCAGTATCTGCAGGAGCTGAAAACAAATTATCATCTATAAATTAATTGAGCTCTTGAGTGTCTGAAGCATCAGACAGAGCCTCCCAGTCTGTCTGGACTGGAGCATTCCCAAGCAGGGTGACTGGGATGTGTCACATCCTCGTTCAGGGAGAAGGAGCTGCTCACACACACTTGTATTTATGTGCCACCACCAGAACAGAAATTACCACTTTGGAATAGCTCCCTTCACGCATGAGCTATAAATAAGAGGCACATATGGCTGATCTGCACACTGGGGTGGGCACAGCTCCACTGCACTGGGGCTGGGAGGATGGAACCAGGCAAAGGCAGAGGCTGGAATAACCATCTTTCCCCAAACAAATATATAATTAAAGGAAACACAGCACACCAGACCCTCGGACACCCATTTCTGAGGCCACTCCACACAAATATAGAAAGAAACTCTGACCACCATGAAAGCATGATCTCATCTTTAAATACATGTTTAAATCTTCAGCAAAAGAAAGAAAGCTTTAATTATTTCTTTCAGATGGTAAACGGCCCCAGCTGAATACAGCAATTTACAACTCTGACTTGCAAATACAGGATAATCAGTATGCACTCTTGGATTCGCTGATGAAAAGAGGGGAAACATCTGACTTAAATGTTTGTGATAAAACAACAAAGCTCTCAGGCTCCAACACATTTTTTTCTAATGACAGAACTCCTTTTCCACCTCAACTCTTGCACAATGAACATTCTTCACTTCCTAGAACACATCCCAGCACAGGAAAGTTCATTGTCCCTTCCAGTGTTTCACACAAGGCAACAAACAGCACCGTGCTGACAACTAACAAAGGGATCACAGAATGGTTTGGGTGGTAAAGACCTTAAATCTCACCTCATTCCCACCATGGGACAGGGGAGATTCTGGGCCAGGTCAGGTCATGTGGAGCTCCCAAATTCTTCTCCTCAGGGCAGCTGCCAATGGCTGGACTCGTGCTTTTCCATCCCAAGGCTTGATGGCAAGTGCTAATCCCCTGCAAACACCACCCCAAGCTCTGCCCCGCGCCAGCCAGCCAGGGGAGGTAAGCGCCCAGGGAAGGAAAGGTCAGCGATGCAGACATTTATTAAAAGTTAACAGGAGGGACAGGGGAACCTCTGGCTGTGCCTCTGTGACGGGAAATGAGGCCAGCCAGGTTCCACTGATGGGAAGGAAGGGGCAGGAGGGCAGCAGAGGTTCATCCACAGCGGGGCTCAGGAAGCCTTGGCTGGACTGACACCTACTGGGCTCCACCTGCTCTGCTCGGTCCTCAAGACAAGGAAGGCAGAAATGTCACAGTCTAAATAAACATGCCAAGATGAAATTCTCTACTCACTAAATTAATTTATTAATGAATTTTTATTCATTCATTCATTTCGTTCTGTTCATTCATTCTATTAATCTCCAGACCATATCTGTTTATACATGATAATCTAGAGCAGGTCAATGGAAGAAGGTGGAGCTAGACTTAAAAATTTTCTTGCTGGTTACATATTCACTGTGTGTTGGGGATTTTTTAGTAAACCTCATATTTTACTTTTTTACACTGCCCAAAACTAGAGTGGTTCCAATTAATCAATTTGAATTCAGACCCAACTTTTACATTTGCAGCTGGCAGTAATCAAAGTCATTTCTTTGGTCTCAAATTCTCCCTCTTTTAACATCTTGTACTAGTAATTAAAGGTTTTGAAAGCACAGCAAATTGTTTGTCCTACTGAATATCAAGTCTGGTGAAAACAGCCTTTATCAGTCATGTATTATACATTAATATCACCACACCTCTATTTCACTATCAAATAATCTTATCTCAGGAAGTGATTTAGGATAGATGAATTTAGACAGGGAACACATGCTTCCAAGGTGGGCCCTTTTCCTGCAAATTTGTCAGGAGTTAATCATTTCAGCAGAGGTATTTTAGTGCCCCAGGCAGAGGAATGGACCCTGACCCTTGGCCATGAGCAGACGCCACCTCTGTGCTTTCAGGATGTCAGCAGAGCAGCACCATGCCGCCAGGGCTGGGTCACTCCTGCCTCATGGAACAAGAAATCATTTGGCACAGAGCTTTTTTCTCTTTCTGTTCTACCACTCACACTCAGGTCAGCAGTTTCCCCAGAACTCAGCCTTCTAGATGGAGTTTCCTTCTGCAGCTGGACCAGTCTGAGGGGGAAATTAATGATGATTTCCAAACTAAAACAATATTTTTTTAAATCCCTACACTTTATTTTTAAAAGGCATGCTGTAGCATTTGCAGGGAATCAGGGATAGACTGAGACCAGGTAACACTGGACACCAAAAGGTACCAGACT